GACTTGGGTGCCAAGTTATATTGGCGGATCGTGTATGTACTCGTGCATTACAGATGATATGACATAAAAACTATTATTTATCATTATTATTTTATGCGTACGTACCTATAGAAAAGCTCTAGGTCGGTAGCACATCATACTCCGATACTGCCGCCCGCGTTAATTTATAAGTCGACTTTTCTCGTTGACACGTTTCAGTTTATAAACGAGCATTACTTATTACAACCTTCCCTAGGAACTGGGTTAAGTTGAACAGGTCTACTTGGTCTACTTGCAACGTTTCATGACATTTCTCGCGTTTACGAGGAAAACATAATGTATATAGGCCGGTTTACAATTTAACGCTGCTCTGTAACGTAGTACATATGGTACATATGTCATATTATTATATATATATGGTATATTAAATTCGATGGATCTCTCGCGTGTCCCTTTTTTTGTTCCGCGATCCCCCCCTCCCCCCAATGTGTTTGATAGTATATAATATTATATATCGGTATACGTACATATAGGTTGGTATACTTATATACTGCGAACAACAATGGTCTTCACAAATCGTAGTCGTATTTTTGATATGCGGGATTTACATTTTTATCGACTTCCATCTCGTTTGGGGGTAGATATTATATTGTTATTATACTATGCAGGTATATGTATGAGCTATCGTGTGTGTGTGTGTGTGTGTGTGTGTGTGTGTGTGTAACAGGGCAACTAAGGTCCTGAGGCGCAATCATCGTCGTGATTACAGTCATTTGCATATATGTGTTACGTCTGCTCAACGTATAAGTTCGAGCTCCATACTAAATTAACGGTGTTATTTCCCTTTCGTCCGTATAAGATACGCCGTCTTGTCTCTCTTATGTAGTTATTACTTAGGTAATTTTTTTTATTATTTTTATCTCTCACAAATCATTTGCTCGGCGACGGCCGCCGTCGTGTACATCGTACACCTATACTTGTGGCACCTATCACACCGCGTGTATATTATTTATACACACCCCAGGTGAACGGCGACGACGGGGAAATTCCCATGATATCCGCTGACAAACGACGGAAAACCAGTAATCAAAAAATGTATACACACACCGTAGGTAAAAAAGAAACTGACGTTGTTGTTTACGTGTATTATATGTATATACAGTGTATCTAATTTTCGTGCATGCGTTAAGAACAATTGTACCTTATATGTATTATAACAATACGTTTTCGTACGAATAGTATATACGTATATATACATACGATTTGGATCATTTGACGATCAAATATACAAAAAAAAGTTATTCACATTTAATGCCCAGAGAGTTTGAAAATTATATTGTTTGTTTTCTTAAGTAATTATGGTTCTTGTCTTTTTTTTAAGTGCCTTCTCGGATATATGCCTTTGGGTTTTCGTGCACTGTTGAGTTTTTTTTTTTCATTTTTTTCAGGAAACCCTTAGATTTCGTTTTCGATAAACATCTGTAGGGGACGACGTGTAAATGGTGACCTATTATATTTATTATCGACTACCGCATCTGTATAAATGTCTCTCGAAGGGTAGTAGTAAACAAACCGTGAACATTTTTCGGAATCATGAGAATTTCGAGCATCGTGGAGAAAATAATAATAAAAAAAAACCGTTACTTTATACACACATGCCCTTTTTTTTCTTTAATCGCTATATTTAAATCGTACGACACGACTTCTAATCCATCTACGTACGCCGCATCATAAACATACATAAATATATGTATATATATATATATATATATATATATATATATATACATCCTTAAGGTCCTCAAACACGCACACACGCATAATACCCACTCTCGACGGTGTCGAAAAAACAAATATTGAAACGATAAACGCGCGAGACACTTGGTGTGCTCCTCATTTGTCAATGTCGACCTTTAAATCCTTTTCGCATCAAATTGTCCCGGGCCCGTGTTTATGCAGTATGGCCGTGTACGCGTACGGGCTCGGTTACCTATTGTCATATCCGCGTACTGCGAGAACGCATGAATAGAGCGTTAAAAATGAAAAAAATCTCTGGTTGTGCAAGACAGGATCGTAAATGATTTTCAAAAGGGTTGTGTAAACACGCACGCACTACAGGAGGAGGAAGCCACATCGCGGGGCGCTCCTAACTATATACCCGGTAGCGACGGCCGCACGGACGTGCGGAACAGTTCTCATAGTCTCTCATTGTTTGCCATTTGGAAATCTTATAAAACAATTAATCACCGAGGGGGGTCGCGTCTTCTCCGCGTTCCGACATCCGATTTCGTGGTCCCTCGTTTTCTCGTTCATAGGTATTCATCGTCGACGCGATGACTTTTTTCCTCCGCGGCATTCTGTCCGTGTTACGGTCTATGTACGCGTGTTTTTTTTTTTTTTTTTAATGTTTTCATACGTTCCCGAGCCGCTGCTACACGTTAAGCTGCCGTCGGAAGAAAATAATCGCCCGAAACGCGTTTGCTATATTGTATTGCGTGTCCGCGTATCGCATATTCGGACGCAATAAGAAGAAAATCGTATCGGTTCACGCACCGGCGGCCGTAAACACATAACGGACACGCCGTGCGCAACGGAGACCTACATTCGGTGTAAACACGATGATGTCGGTTACGAAAAACGATACCGCGTAATAATAAACACCGCATGTCGTCATGGACACGATGGTTGTGTACCGATACAGTGGCGTGGACAGGAAACTTTTAAGGGGGGCGCTCATGGTCGGAAAAAAGAACTATTAAATTTATTTCACGTACGACAACACTTGTATTTCTCTTGGCTCACTTGCTAATTCATACTGATGTGTGAATGTGATAAGGGTTGAAACAACTAACGGTGTTATGAAATTTTATGTATCCAGCTAAATAAAAGGGTTGAACCTCCCCCGTGTTTACGCCACTGGTGATTAAGTGATTAACGACGAAACCAACGAGTGATAATGTCATCGAGAGGGACGCAGCAACAGTGCTAGAAATGCGCGTAACGCGGAGATAAGGCGACGCGGAGTGATGATGTGACGAGCGGTCTTATCGCGACGTCGGCACGTGTTGCACGTGGAACGGAAAACTAGACGCGATGACACCAACTTGATAATGAAATCGTTTGGGGAGCCTACCGGTCGTCGGTCGAGTCGGTGTAGTTTGCATACGTGTGCGCACAACAGGTTCCGTTTTTTTTTTTTTTTTTTATAATGAGACCAAAGGTCACGGCGCGGTAAACACACGAACAATATAACACGCGAACAACAACAACAACAACAATAATAACAATAATAATAACTGGTTATCTGCTGCTGCTCGTCGTCGGGCGAATAGGATAGGTCGCGCGCGCGTAGAACGAGTTTTGCGGCGGGCGCGAGTCAGTCCAGTTCCGAACAAACCGATTTACGGCTACCGCGTAAAACCACCGGTCACACAATGGGAACCGCCCGAACGCGCGCACAATAGGCTCGGCGGTCTCCGACGACCTTTTTTTTTTTTACGATTGTTAATTTTTTTTTTTTTTTGAAACACTTTTTGTCGGAACATCGTCCGCGCGCGCGTTCAATACGCGTTTCGACGAGCAGACGACACCTCGTCGTTATTACTGTTATTACCGCGTACGCGCGCCCGGAACCGGTTGATCGAACCGAACCGGTCCGGTCGAACGGGCGCCGCTCGTTAAGAGCCGCCGGCGTGCTGGCGATATCGCTCCGTATTTACTCGCGTAACAATGCGCTGTCATTCATCCGACGGCGACCAACGGTTCATTCACGAAACGCGTGCGGCCGCCGAAGCCAAACGCGCGCGCGCCCGACTCTCGATCACATTTCCCCGCAGCGGCGTGTCGCGATACAAATTACACCGACACGATTACAATAGCGATCCTCCACGAATGTTTTACCGGGCGAAAAATTACTTTCCAATGCTGCGCCCTTGTAAAAGTTATCTTCTCGCTTCAAGATCGGCGTATAGAACCGTAGGCAGTTAATTAATGTTTCCGGCACGAACGATAGCGATTGAATAATATCTATTTTTTTATTATTATTATTTTTTTTTTTTTTTAATGCTTATTTGCCTCCGTGTGACTTTAAGAAACTCTTGTGTCGATGTACAAAAAAAAAAAAAATAATAATAATAATAATTCAATTGACTCTCCTGAAACATCAAAACATTTAACCATTTTAATACCGTCCATATCGTTTGTATTTCAAACGTGTGTGTAACGATTACGTCTTCACTCGTATTTATTACATTATTTCATCAGTAAAATCATAAGGTCTACGCATAAAATTCTCTCTAAATAAAAAAATATTCGATTACGCATTCGTATATTCGTATGTATACCATCCGCTACACGAGCTCTCGCGGTTCTATCGGTGACTACGGTCTACAAGTATTACTGCTTCGACGACGTTAATCATATTTACCGTACACATATTGGTTTTATATTTATTGTTATTGGACGAGATCGGATTTCTCTGGTGAAAAAAGTAAAAAGCAAACCTCCGTCGACCGATTCGTGTCGGTGGCGGTGAAAGTCTGCCCGCCGCGACAGAAGCAGCTGGCAATAGTCGTTTGAAATCTATATCGTATTTTCGCCATTCCATCCGTCGCCCCGTGCCCCTTCGCGGTATAATTACTTGATTAGCGCGTATACACGTACGCGTGTGATACGGATTCGTCGACGCGCGTTTTTCCGTTAAGATTTCTCGTAAAAAATGCGTTTCGCGACAAGCCGTAATTATTTTTTACCTCCCGTGCCCCGATGCATTACGATCGATATTCGTCGTACGGCCGCATCGTTATTACGGTTATTATTTCGTGTTACGTATTCGCGTTCGACGCGAAATGGATTTCCGTTATTTTTATCAATATTGATTGTAATTTTTGATTCGCTGCAAAGGCTCCGTTGCAATCTATGAGGAAAACGTAACGATAAAGAAAGCGCGGCAAATTGGCCTTATGTATGTGTGTGTTTGATACCTGAACGGCGGACGTTATTTTCGGGGGCTGTTGTTGTAGGAGACGACGGGACGGCAGCTGCAGCGAGGACGACGAGGCCGCCGTTGACCACCACCGCCGTGCGGGTGACGACGACCAGCGACAGCACCAGCACCACCACCTCCGGCCACACGATCACCCTCGGCGCGGCGACGACGACCACGACGGCATGGCCGATTCGGAAACGAACGGTGGTGGCGCCGGGGGCGGTGGCGGGGGCGCCGTGGCCGAACAACCTGCCGAGCCTGGCGGCTGGAGACAGTCGTACTACGAGCATCCGCTGACCGCGGCCACGTCGGCCATGCTCAACATATCGGGCGGCGCCGCCGGCGACGAACAGGGCCAACAGTCGTCCGGTCACGGACAGGGCCAGGGAGGCGCGCCGCTCAGCTTCGTCTACGAGTATTACAAGTTACCGCATCTGACCGCGTCCGACGGCGTCAAGGACAAGCAGCTTGCCGACATATGGCCGTAAGTGTTGTGCGACCAACTCGTGCCGATGCGCTGCCGCTGCCGCCGCCGCCACCGCCGACGCTTCTTTCATTTTCTTCACCGCGTACTATAACAATAATAATAATAATAATAATAATAATAATATCTTAAACACTTGTATAATTACAAGTATATAATACCTGTTTAATTATCACGTACGTTTGCGCGTTCGTCAAGTATACAACGACATGTGTATAATATTATATTAATTTATTTATATCTAATCGTATGTGTATTGCGTACACCTAACGCCGGACATAACACCGACAGTACCGCAATATTTCGTTTTTGTTACGGTTCGCTTTATTAACACGCTTCAAACGATTAATACTTATGGATTACAATAATTGCCGTCTAATTCACCGGTTGGTAACCATTTTTTTTTTCGACCGTGCGAGTTCACGTCGTTAATATTCGTCTTTGCGCGTCCAATGACGATATCACATCATCCTATAGGTGCTGAAATCTCTGAAAATAAAATTAAACTGTATCCAACCGTAATCACTATAGATTATATAGATCTGGAAAAAAAAAACAGGAGTGCTGCGTTTGAAGAGGGGTGCTAAAAACCCTATTCCCCCCCCCCCTTAGTTGCTCCTACGATTATCCCGACCGATTCGAAGTGCATAGTTTTGCAAGTTAGTTATAATACAATCATGTTCACGACTGCATACGATTTATCCACAGTTACGTGCGTGTAGATTCAACACACATATGACCGACAACGTGTTCAACATGCCTTACATTCGCTTTCGGTGTAGTATTTCAATAGTTCTTGCGTTTGTTGTGCCGAGATTGTATCACGGTGGTGAAGTATGGGCACAAAAAACACAATGCCTCGTGCGTTTTACGAAAGTGACCAAAAAAAAAAAAACTTCGGGTTAAAAACCTGTACAATAATCGCATGTAATAGATATTCTCCATATAACGTAATATTAAAATTTGTACTGGGGCGTAGGATAATAAGGCATTGAAAAATAAATATATTTGTTTTCCCATTTTAACGAATTATGAAATCTTCGAATTGTAAGAACGTCTTTTGGTACTAGGAAATCGGTTCATTCGTTATTTAGACTACAATAGTGATCAGCCCGTACAAGTATCAAACCTTTATTCTATATTTCTACGTCCCTTTAAAGTCTCGGCAGGGAGTCCCTATTGAACGCAAAAACCTTTTCAAATTTTTACAGCCTTTCAATTATACGTGTCCTTTATCTTGCATTTGAACATGATATATTGATATATCATAACTCTTCTCGATCAAAAGTTTGATACAAAATAATAAAATAAATTTGTTCGTGATAAGCTCCCCTAAAATACTTAATATCGTTACTTTATTAATAATAATAACATGTTTTATGGGATTTTGTTAAATCTTTAGGCAGTATGTCTAATTTTGAAATTTATTTTTCGTATACCTAATCTTTTACGATTCATTGAGTATTTGCAAAAACTTAAAAGTAGCTATACTGGTTGGACAAAACACTAGTGGTAGCATGCGAATGTAATCAACTTATTTGGGTGATTTCATAATATCTTTGAAATAAATTTATATATTATACGGTGCTTTTATAATTATATATATTTCATTTGAAAATACACGACAACGTTGAAATGCACATTTGACCAATGGATTCGAGAGATGTTTTCAGGAACTTGATATTTCAATCGTGTATCGTGTCGTGTTCAAAGCTTGCTATATTTATAAATGCTATTGTTTTGAAAGTATAACGTTGTAGCGTTTATTCTATTTATATACATGTACATGTTTGTATATATGTTAAATAGCTTATTTTTTTTGCGATGGCGTCAGGTCGCAAAAATATTATGTTTCGAATAAAGACGTTTTATTTTATAATCGATTCGAAAGAACTATATTACTTTACATTACTATTCTTAGACCGGAAAATGCTACTGATTTTATATTTTTCGAATATATAAGTTATAGTTTTTAAAACTCACTCAGTCGTTTGTGACAGTCGTACAACTGCAGTGGTGATGTGCAACACAATATAGTATATGATGCGTTTTTTTTACCCGGATACCGACGGCGGTGGTTCGTACGCGTGTTGCATATGCTGCGGGACCTTTGATTACTAATAATATCGAATTACGAGCAAAGCCACATCTCGTGTGTACGTGTACACGAAAATTAGGCTGATCGCGATGCGTTTTTAGTTCTTTTGTGCGCGCTCAGGTATTTATAATATTATTACGGACGTGATCTATAATTTATAGCCCACGGGGTAACTGCGTGCGCGATGTACCACAATGATCGCAATTATGGCCCATTGTCGTTACGTATTCGACCGTCGTAATATTTCATAGCACGCGGGCTCGCGCACAACCCTTTTTCGTTGGCACGTAAAATACGCGCGTGCGTGCCTCCAACGGTGTACCCGCCGCGCGCATCTCTCCGAAATCCGATATCCAGAGCAGGCGCACACATCGTCTAATTGTCGACGTTTAACGGACGAATAAATCCGAAGATTATCTCCTCGCGGACCACTCCCCTATGAGCATATTTATATTTATAATATACGTTCGTGTGCCATATATTCACCGTCGGAGGTTGCACGTGATGTTATGCGCGTATTTTCGCGTAGGTACTAGGTGTGCGCGCTTGTATAACGGATACCTTCCGTTACGTTTAAAACTTTTGTGATGAGAAGCACAAAAAAAAAAGTTAAAAGTAAAATAATACGTTTTTTTATTTCGAAACATTATTTTAATTTGACGTGAGAGACCACCAAGGCGTTGTTAAACGGTGTTGTTTGCGCGTGCGTTTGCAGTGGTGGCTGGGTGTTTGTTTCCAGTCCATTTAATTCGGCATTGGCTCGCAAACGTTCGGATGGGCGTGGTGCCGGCTGCACCGAGTTACGGGGCCAGGAGGGGCATTGTATTTAACGTAAAATGTACGACACCGCGTCTTCGACGATAAACACTAACCGTATAAGAGATATGCATGTACAAATATTTCAGTGTTCCTCCGTACGACTTACACGTTTCGAGCGAATACGACACGTGGGCAGTCTAAGCGTGTTTGTTCATCGCAAAAACACGGACCTGTACTTTTGAATTCAAATAATCCTTCGAGGGAACAGTCGGGTTTCGAGATTAATCCGCGCGTGAATATGTAAATTCTAGATAATACAACGGTTTCAGTTTTACGTCGCCGTATCGGAAACCTGTGCAGGTTTTGACGGTTGTTCTTTAGATCTTATATACTTACTACTCGGGCCGTATCTTAACTACGGACGCATCTATTGCGCCACGTCTATAACGTGCAGATAATCAGTGCCTAGTCGTGCTGCACATTCACGTCTCTTAAAAAGCCGACGCCGCGGCCGTCACTGCTTCAATCGCGTTCGCGTTTTTGCGCTAAGCCGTTTTTTTTTTTTTTTTTAATCCGTCTCATCGATCTCGCTGCAGTCGCGTCCGACCATCTGATTGCAATCCGTGCTGGTCTAATCACCGATGGATCAGAATCTCCCCGTACGATCATTTAATACATAATATTCTTTGTATAGATGTACATGAAAATACCTTCGGCGGATTTGTCGTGTTATTAAATTCACCGCTTTTAGATATAATTTTTAAGTACGTAATGTTCGTGCAATATATATAAATGTGAACTACTACTATCGTCCTGAACAACAATGTTTCAGTATTCTTTTGTTCTCCGCAAGAACTTTAAAACTGACCATAAATATTGAACTTGTTGTAAATCGTGGTTCTTTTTTTTTTTTTTTATCAGAATTTCCGTCAACAACGTGTTGGTTATTGTTTCACGACGGTGAATTTCTTCGCAGACGTTTAGTTGTAACTTTATACGTATTGGTATAATATAATAACTATGTGTACATGCCGCTAAGAAATATGTGTATATAAATAATATTACGTATAATATTCATCCGTAAAGTGACGCGATAACGGGTGTGTTTGGTATCATGTTACGGATACGTAATGGAATTAAGAAAAATAAAAATACCATTATACATTTCCAGCACCAAGCATAATTATCGAGAGTGTTGTAGAAAGTTATCTCCGAAAAAAATGTTTATTGGTTCGGTTTTTTTTATAAAATATAATACACCGAACAACGGCGGCATCGACGACTATACACGACCGATTAAATCAAGTCTCCGAAGCTATACTATACAGTGTAGTGTTATTCAAATAATATGTTTACACACACACTCACACACATATGTGGATGACTGAAACAACTTTCTAATTAGACTTGTGCAATGACATTTGGGAAGACCGCGCTCTTCTTAATGGTGAAAACCAGATGTATAAATGGGTACATTAATTTTGGCATTTTTGACAAGTTTAAAAGTGCGGGGCGGGTTTTCTGTTTTCTTTTTTTTTCTTTTTTTTGTTCTTTGTATGATATATTATACGCACATAAGTATTTCGTTTCGTGCTTACTGTGAAAACCTGTTTTTTCCTCGTCGCGCGCAAAGATAGACGATCCGACACGCGAGTCCGGCGTGTAACATTATAAGACAGACCGCGATATCAAATGTCCAGATCCGGTTTTGCGTATGTGTCGTGTGTATACGCGTGCTCGCCACCGCCGCCGTCGTATCCTTTTGGAGAGGTCTTTCACACCGTTTGAACTCGTTTTTTTTCCTCTTTAAATACACGCGAGACGCGTACACATTAATTTCGTACGTTTATTTTATTAAAATAAAAATAATTATTTTTATTACGTTATTAACAAAAATAAATCGTTACTTTACGCGCTTGTACGTGGAAATAAATCTCCTTACTGTTCTCTGGTCGTTTTATATAATATTTACCAATTGTATACGTCTGCATGTACTTATGCACAACGCACTAATGACCCGTGTCGAGTTATAAGCATATGTATATATGTGAACGCATACCTGCAGTATAAATCTATGGGTATACGCGCACATTTTAGTAGTGGTGTTTGGTTGTAAATTGACACGTACCGAAAAGAAAGAAAAAAAACTCAACGGTGGCCGTGTAGCAGAGTGCAGTCGTCGTCGAATGAATGAGTGAGTGATGCCATGACGAGTTCATTATGACAAGCTCGATGAAGTGATGGGAAATCGGGTGTTTAGAAAGGGTGCCGAAGCAAACGCACTTGGATATCGCCACCGCCGCCGCCACTGTTGCTTCGGCTGCTGCTGGTTGTCTCTCCCTCTATGATTATATTTATTATTAAAATAAACTAACTAGAAGAATCCGTTGGTGCGTAATGTTTTCCGTAAGGGGACCCGGCCATACGAACCCTTACACAGTTATATGTATATATAATTGTATTGTGTAAGAATACGACTAAAAAGGGGTTGTTGTGCGTGTTGTAAAACGAAACCGATCCTAACACCTGTCCGATCCGGTGTGTAGTTAGTTGTATATATACATGGATTGTATTATATATATTTACATGAGCGTATGTTTCGGTGCAACAGTTTCCAATAACCTTGTCGAAAGCCGATAAATGGTTTATATACGCATGTTATGCTCAACACGATACTGCCGGAGTAGAGAAAAAGTTCGAAGCCGCCGACCACGCATGCAATTACCATAGAGCGCTTATTGTTATTATCGTACAAAAAACCGTGTGAAGATAATAAACGAAAAACGTATTGCCGCGTGCAAACCTACGCCTCAATATTGAAATACTGCGCGCGAGATTAGCCGAGAAATGTGTGTGTGCGGTTATAATATTATAATATGTTGGACTCTGTTGTTTTCGTTTTCCCGTTTCGAGGTCATGCCACCGCGAATATACGCTAGTTAACGCGAACTATTATTAATAATATTAATACTATTATTATTATCTTTTTTTTTTTCATTATTGCCATCAACGATGTGCGCGTTTCATCGTGTTTTTAATCGATCAATTAAAATTGAAGAAAAAAATAAGTTACACGGGCGAGCGGTAAAAACTCGTGACGGGGCGCGTTTGTCCAATTTTGGAAAAACTTCAACTGCCACCGCCGTCGCGGCACGGTGTTATTAAAAATAATATCGTGTCGGCGAACCAGCTTCGGGACGAATTATCACCGCTCTTTAAAAGTCATTAATAGTTTCCGGTAGTCGCGTCGATCGATTATCTGGAATGATTATATATTAAAATAATATTAAAAAAAAAAAAAAAAGTACACATATACCGAGGAATAATACATATATTAATATTAATAATAATGCAGCCGGACACTGTATATCATTAACACGGATTAATAATATACTTAGCGTTGTTCTGCCGGCCAGTTCGCTTTTACGGGATCTTTTCATGCCCTTTTCGTGCCCCGTCGAGGGGGGGAGGAAGGAGTCTCTGACGAATCCGTCCGATCGAAGATCCGCCGCGACTATTAGCCGCGCGTCAATCAAACGGACGGACGCGTATTTCCAACCCGTCCGGTAAACAATATTTATTGCCGGCCCTGCGGCCGTGTGTTTTCAAACCCCTGCGGACGGTCCGCCCGCGCAGTCTAATTAATTTCCCCCGCTCGGTCGAACGCATAATGTGCTGCGAACCACGGTAGTGCACCGCGTCGAACGGGGGGGGGGGAATAATAATTTTTAAAATAATATCTAGTGAAACAGTGCGTTTAAAAACGCATTACGTCGGTGACGACGACGGTACTTGCACTCGTGATGCCTGCGCCACGTGCACGTGTTGTGACCACGTACAGCTCGTCTGCGTACGAACGGACTGTCGAAAAAATGAAATTAAAAATTATTCTTGTTGTCAGCGAGCGACGGATATTAAAACGTGATTACCACGACCACTATTAATGACCTCTTAGCGCCCCCGAGAGGTTTGATTACCGCGCTACAGCGGACGGACGGCGATGCGACTTATTGTTGGTTGTTTCCACGTGACGTTATTTTTAATGGCGGATAACTCACCGGTTCGTAATCGTTTTCCGGCAACGGAAGTATATTATTATTATTATAGTTGTTGTTATTAAATTCGGATCGGTACGCCTGTTTATTTATTTTTTTCGGTCCAGGCGCGGATAAAAAACATGTTGCGTTCCAATTTGTACACGTACGTGCTCCAGCGGTGTAATTAAGATTACCGAATTAAAATCCACGCGCGCCGCGTAAATCATATTATAATTGGCCACCGTTTCTTCGGGAAACGACCACGATGGAAGACCTGGAGGAGTGGCGAAGGTTTGGGTCCGCGTGGCGTACGGAGTAGTCCGGGTACCCAACGTACGCGTACCGAACTTGTAGCGTTCGCGTGCGTGCGATGGGAATATATTTTTATTACAACGGATTTCGAGATTAATTAAAAAATGCCTCACAGTTATATTTAAATGAACGTTTTACAACAATGGCCCTGTTAACATATTATACGCGCGCGCACACACGGGCGCGCGCTAGCGTATAGGTTATAATATTATGTATCCCTTAACAATACGCTGAAAAATTCTTATCTCGTAAACCGGTTTCCGCGCATAATTTCACCGACGACGTTGCGATATTATTATATTGCGCGCGCACGTTACGAGATACGTAACGGGTACCGCCTCGCCAGGAGACGTCCCTGGTGCCGCAGAAGGGATCTTGCGTCGGTCCGCGAGTGTCGTCTCGCTACCGCCACGATCATTCCTTTCGCACGTGTTAATTTGCCGCGTCTTCGCGTTACTACCCCGTTCGATAGTACATTATAATATCGTTTATTCCTTGTCTTTTTTTTCCCCGTAACGTTCCGGTTCCAGTGCGCTTCCCGTCCCAGGTAATTACCAAACGCGATTTCCGAAACGAAAGCCGATCGTTGTGTCTACGCGTACGTGTTTCGGTCCGCCAGTGCCCGGAATCCGGCGAGACGCAACATAATGTCCACTGCCGCAACACTGCCGACGGTTTGTCTTTTTCACGCCCCGAATTACAATCGGTCACATCGCACCGACTCTTCCTCGAAATAAAAACGACGTACGAGCGTTGTTCATCAACACATATCGTATTTTGCATTTATTAGGCACCACTCGCGTAATCGTTTTAAACGCCGTTGTAGTGCGGTGAAGTATTTTTTTTCCATCGTCGATATTATTAGCGGTGATTTAGATGTTGTTTTTGGTTATCTGTTTGCGGTCGCCATTTTCACAATAATTTAACGACTTCTAGATTGCACGCCGCAGTTTTACGACTCGCGTATATTTTATTCGATTTAATGTTTTTTTTTTTTTTTTTTTTTTACATGCATGCTAGTATATTATGTACGTCTATTTTGTAGCTAGAGGATGGTGTTTGTTGAAGTTGACTGAATAGTTTTTGTATTACATAACAAATCGTAATTCTATATCTCTGTTTACAGAACGACGTCTTCACCTAACGGCTCGTTGTTACCTTCGCAACTGAAATCATCGTCCAACGGACTTATCGGCACTGGTCCCGGGGGCTTGGAGATCGGCGCTGGACAGCTAAACGACCTGCAAGGACTGTTCCTGCATCAGCAGCCGCTGAAGCGCGAACCCGAGGACCTGAGCCATCATCGCGGCGGGCCGAACAAAGGTGGCAATGCGGACGGGCTGAAGACCATCGGAGGACGGCCCAAAGTCGTGTTGGTCGCGCCCGGTAACAGCGGCCAGCAGCAGCAGGACCAGCAACAACTGGTCGTGGACGTTGTCAACAACAACAACAACAGTCAGCAGACCAACAACAACAACAACAACAACAATAGCGTGAAAGAGGAGTACGTGAGCGGGCATCATTCGCCGCAGCATAACAGCCGGTCGATAAACGGCACGCCGTCGTCCACATCGTCACTCATCACCGAGATGAACCCGCCGCCGCCGGCCATCGAACTGATCGCCACGCAGGACGGCCTCAAGCCCATGTACGGCACGCACATATTCACCACCATGTCCGGCGGACAGCACGGGGACGGCGGTGCGCCGTCGACCAACGCGTACGAGCACCAGCAGTACACCACGTCGTCCGTCCTTACCGGTGGCGGTGGTGCCGGCAACCCTGGCGGCAACTACATCACCACGTCCGCGGGCCGCGCGCCCTTCGCCGACCCTTACGCGTACCGCGAGTACTTCGGCGGCGCCGGTGCGGCCGCCGAGCCCGGCCCTTATGGCGCGCAGATCGGCGGCGGCCGGCAGACCGCTTCGTACGGCGGCGACGCGTCCGATCCCGGCGCCGTGTCCAACGCCGCGGCCACCGCGTCGTTCGTCGAGCGCTACGTCCGACAGAGCTCGTACCACAACAAGGGCGTGATCGCCGCGGCCGGGCTCACCGTCGACCTGCCGTCTCCCGACAGCGGCATCGGTGCCGATGCCATCACGCCCCGGGACCAGAACGCCATCCAACAGGTACGTTACCGTTCGCGAGTGTCGCACCGTAAGAACAACATTATCGTATTGCGGTTGCCTAAGCATTCGCGGGGAGCCGGTTGCACATCCCGACTGGGGTTGTTGGGTCCCCGCTATCTGGTTTTACTTATCGGCCGTTTTTGACAGTTTTCTGCGGGTCTACAACTACCACTTATTCAATCCTGTACAACGTAATAATATATTTATAATTGTTTCAATGTTGGAAAGTGTTAAGAAGTGTATAACATTAATTTTTTCAAATAAAAACCTAAAAATTAATAATTTACAGTCGACAGTTGTATAAAATTATCCAAATCAAATAACTATAAGCTAACTGCAATAGAAATATGTGTTATTTAATTTTATATCTAATTATAGTCAAATTTACAATGATATCCTTAGATAATGGTAACTATTACTATTCAAATAAAACAAAACTATTTTTCTAGGTTTAAATTGTAAACCAATACGGTTGCATAGTTATTCATTTTCAATTGGAACCTTATGTGTATATCGTAACATTTTCATTTAATTTAATATACTAATACCACCTTGAATAATGGACGAGTTCTCATAAACCTACTTTACCCTATTGTAAATTTTAGAAATCTAATAGGGCATGTTGTTTTTAATTAAAAGTTTTTCTTTAATTTTTTTTTTTAGTCTTTCGACTACAACGAGATGTGCCAAACACCAGGTATGTTGAACGAACACCAAACACAAAGGACACCTACCGGAGGACGGTCGAGACCGTGGCACGATTTTGGTAGGCAAAACGACGCCGACAAAATACAAATACCTAAAGTGTAAGTATATTTCAGTGGGCTTGCTGAATTTTTTTTTTTTTTTAGGGAAATTATTCGAAAGTCGGTTGATAAACAATCCGAAAAAAAAAATTTAATCGTTAGAGTTACTTTCGCAACAAGTTTTCTGTCGTTTTTTTTTTTTTTTTATCTAATAATTTAACATAATCCATGGTGTTTTCGAGAGAGCGTTTGTCAACGTATCCTCGTATACATACATATTTAAGGTAATAAATTCAGACTTCGACATTTTCGTCTACATCGTTAAAATGTTCAAACCAGTTTTCCGTCGCATTTTTTTTTTCTTGTATTAATTTATAGTGTTAAAGTCGGCCTGAGGTTCACGTGTGCCAGATCTCCAACGACCCACTTTGCACGCTAATTTTAATCAAACGCCTCCGGATGTGTCCACCGCCGGAAATTTAGTGTTCCTTTTTTTTTCCTACGAAAAATATCAAGGCGTGTCCCATAGACATTTATTGTTAAACAATTGCTCTTGGGCACTTGGTCCATTTTTTATTAAAAAGAAATACATGCGTCCGACCAAAAAAACGCCCTCTATAAATGTTCAATAGTTTTTTTTAATTTTTTTTTTTTTTTTTTTAAACCATAATACAAACGATATATATATTCGCTTGGAATATAATTTAGTTCGATGTTCAATATGAATTATAGTTGATGTATATTATATCAGTATCGTTTCCAATCCGGCAGGTTTTCCAATTACGGGTTCCGCTATTATTTGGAATCGCCGATCTCCACGAACCAGAGGCGCGAAGACGATCGGGTGACGTACATCAACAAAGGCCAATTCTACGGCATAACAATGGAGTACATACCGGATCCGGACAAACCGTTGACCAGTCAAACAGTCAAGGTAACGATTACCGTATATTATTATGCTTGGTTATACATTCTTACGAGACGCTTACGTTATTGAAGTGAAGCTTATTTTATAAAAAAAATTGTACGCGATTTCCCAAGATCCGTTTGTTACGATTTCACGTGCTATAAATACGTGTATATTCATAAACATTAAGTTATTCATTCAAATCGCATAAATACATATGTACATTAGACGTCGACAGTAATTTAATCTCTCGGTTAAAACGTTAACTATCGTTATTGAAGCCGCGTGCAACAGTTCTCTCTCTCTCTGTATATATTTATACTGATATTTTCTGCTTAGATATTTGACAGAGATATTGGCTAGATAGTTTTATAATTGCGTATACGTTATACACGCATAAAATTATATATCGCTTGTCACCACCGCACACGTTTCGTACGAATATGTCGTGTTGTTGGGACGTACTGTGTTGGATTTCATCAAAATAACATTAAAACGGTCGTAAATTATGCACGAGTGTAACGCATATATATTTTAATAATATATTTGTTACTCGTTTATTTTTTATTTCTAAAAACCCGTACTTTATCCCGTCGATTTATCAAAACTATCTCGGCGCTAATCGGCGGTGACGTGAAAGTTTTACGTATATTATATCGGGCTAAGGCTGTTTGCAGCAGCAGCAGCACCGTTGATATCCGAACCCGACATATTATATTTACATTTTTTTTTTTTTTTTTTTTGTAATTTCATACGAATGCGTACAGGTTTGTTTTCTTGCAAGGGGAGCAGCCGGAGTTGTGACGTTAGCGGAGAGCGAAAGCGAAAACATTTATGTCCACTTGCGCTTAACGTTATGCGTACACACTGTTTGTACACGCATGTGTCGTAAAAGTTCACCTGGCTAGGATAGTATTAATGTGTAACGTTTTTTTGCGGCCGGAAGGCAAATAAGGTGTAAAGCTCGGATTTCTATCTGCACGTAATATAATTTTATGCGCGCGGCAACGACCGCGTTCGTGTTTTCCCGGCGACGGAGAAACATCGATGTAAAAAAAAATTAGTCCATCCAGACGCGCATTATTTTTATAATCTCGCAGACCGTTGTACATGTCTCACATTCAACCACTCCTAACGCGCACGCACACTGCAGCACCACCGCCATAGGAATATATTTTGTTCACTGTTGCGCTGCACGGAACGTGTGTGTGTACGCGGATGACGATAATAATAATAATAATAATAACGCCAATCGGTGGTCCATATGTACGTGTACACGTACTAATAGGTACGACGAGGCGCACTGAAGATAATGTATAATAATATATTTGTCTTCCGGCAACGGTCAATGAGTATAAAAACTCGCTCGAGGTGATTATTAGACGTGTGCGTGCGCGCGCGTCAGCCGGGGCACCGAAGTGTGTGTGTACAAGAGTTAAATGGTTGCAGGGTAGACCGCTGTTGTTTGGTAGGAAGAGGACGACGACGAGGATAAGGAAGAAGGCGCGCGCGCGCGTATACGAAAAGTTGTACGGCCACGGTGGCGGGTCGATGACCAGTGTTGCAGGAAACCATGGTTTTGGGCACTTAACGTGTTATTACGCACACGTACGTATCCCGTATATAAATATACGATTTTTTTTTTACTCCTCGTTCGAAGGAAAGTAATTGGGCCGTCGTTTTCTCGTAATGATCGCCTGCCGACCGAACTCCGGCCTACACACGCCCTTGTACTCTTCGAGATCTAGTCGAGATCTACACAGCTATACTCTATACGTTGTGATCGGTATTTCGATTTTACACCGTACGTATTATTTTTTTTTCCACCACACATCCGACGTCGTCTCGACGGGCAGCTTCTCCCCGTCGCCCGACGCACGCACTACTTTACTCTACTCTACTCTACTCTACTCCCATTTAAAATTACGACCTAATAACTGTGGCCTACACTTCTTAAGACGTAATCGTTGCGATCGGCGTGAACTCTGTACGACGTATACATGTTATTATAACAGCGCATGTGATATGTTAATCTTGCCGGCTGCAACACATACGTGCGATATACGCGGAGCCGGACTCTTACTGCAAAACGCAATCCTTCGAATCTAATGGAAAATTTATCACCGTCGCACATTATAATAATATTATGCTGTGCCGTCTAACCCGGCGACCATAATATTATTCTTCGATGTCCGCATTGAAATCCTCCTCTCCAACTCGTGCGGTTTAGACCGCAATCTTTCCGTACACATTTCTGCTCGCGCACATGTGTACATACGATTACTATCGCGCTAAGAGTTAATTGATTTTGCGCATTAATTCGTTTTCGAGTTTTCAACAGCAAACGTCGTCGTGACCTCGGATCCCATCGTATTGGTCGTGCGCGTGCGATTATCGCAAAACATTGCCGCCGTATTCCATGCATGATTTTAATATCCGTAGTACACGTTGTACAGGTACGTTTACCATATTATTCTGATTGTTCTCCGCGTACGCCGCGCACAATCGTAACGTAATCCGATAATTGATGCCCGCATAGAATCTCGGCAAATCGTTCTGAAAACCTTTTACCTTGGTAGAATTCGTACCGACGCGTTTCGCGGGTACACACCACATTCGATTTTTTGTCATGTGTAATTATATTTACACAATGTATAAGTCCGATCCGGGGCAGTCGATGCGATACGGTGAACGCCGCACAAGTTAACCCCCGACGGCTCCAGTGATTTATATTATTTGTCAGAGGAGAAAGAAAAAAAATAACTCGGTTCGCCGTCCGTTCGACGACGGACGTGAACCTAATACGCGCAGCCCCCGGCCGTATAATGGTAACAAGCCGGACAGATTGGTAATAATTCTGAAATCCGCTGCAATCGACGTTTCAATAATTCATAAGTTCCACGGTGGCAGTGTCGCAGCGGAAGTGACTCGCAGACGATGCCGAGAGAGACAAACGGAAAAGGGGTATACGTCGGTTGTGACTCTGTGCAGCGATTTTTTTTTATACATATGTATTAGTATACGCAACCAACTTGATCGCCAGCCGCCAGGGCGAGTCAGCTCGACTTGTGCATGCGGTAAACTTGAGTGCATGTGAAAATTCAACTCCTACGCAAGATGGTGTTTCGTACTTGTACGCATCAACAATCACGCAGTTTATATTTTATTTCTATCAAAAATCCGATTCCGTACGGTCGTTAAATGTGCGTATGTGTATTATACGATTCGTTTGTATACGTATAATATTATGTGTACGTGAACGGAAAGGACACTCGAAAACAACAGCAGTACCTATTTTAATAGTATTAAGAAACTCGTTCTTCGGTAAGGAAGATAAAGGGTAACTGCGGAGAAATATAACGAAAACGAAATTTGACGGGCGTTAAAATCTCCACTTGTCCCATGCGTTACATAGGCGTACAGCACGCATCAACGATTTCGCTCTTTATACACGCACACACATGCACATGAAGACGACTCTAAAAGGAAATTCTTGTTCTGTGAGATTAGGCGACTGCATTGAATTTATAATGTTTTTTTATATATTTATATATATATATACGTACATTATTACTTTTTTATGCGTTTATAACATTGGATGAGCATATCTTGTATTCTTGGGGTCAATTGTCAACTCACGGCTATATTGGATTTCATGATTCCTTCTTTACACACACGCACACACATACACACATATATACATATTTATACTCACCACCGGATAATGTATTATGCGCGCGCTGCAGTTCTCACGGAACACCTGTCTTACGAATTTATCTTTTATTTTCCGTTGGATCGTCGCTGCAGCGGCGGATTCCGATGGAAATTATCTCTTTTTCGTATCTGTCAGATCGGTGTCGCACATAAAGTATGCGTATTTCAAAGCGGCATCGTTACACAATTCATAATTTTTCTTCTCTTTCTCTATACACATCGTGTATCATAAACCCTATAAATTATGTTGGTCGGTAATATCGTTTGGGTACGCGCATAAAGTTATATTAAAATATATTTGGGTACGTAAAGGCGACCGAGTGAAATATAATTTGAATATTCCTTGTACTCACCTTTTTATTGCCCCGAAGCTTCCAGACAGAAGCTATTATACGAAAATTACATTTTTACCGTGTTAAATTCGGGGTTTTGTCCACTAATACTTTTTATGTTAAGTGCACGTACAACGAGTTTAATATGTATTACCCACTTATACCTACAGGTATATGCGTTATTTCTCAAGCCCGTGCTCATATCATTTTTATTTTCTAGACAAATTTCGATCGTGTTGTACGCCTGTTTATAAGTTGTACGCGGGCACGTCAACCGCATTGTTGATCGGCCGACGTTTTCGATCCATTAACGTAATATTATATAACGATACGAATAAAGACGTAGAGATATAGTGATACGGACAGAGATGTATCGTGCTGGATAGTAAATTAATTGGGGAAGCCAATAATAATCCACCCGTACTTTTGTGTTCGGACGTTTAAATCTCTCGCTGCACTCTGTACCACGTATTTACCGAGTATATAGCAGGTGGACGATGTTAATATTATATCGATTGTTATTGTATACGCGCGCACAGCGGGTTAAAAGCACGATCACAATAATTCACTGCTGGCCCCAGAGGGAAACAAAAATATAAAATACAAACACGACGTGTACCCAGAGCAGTGCGTTGTTAAAACCCATGTATTTTCAAGGCCGCGATTTTAAAAACACGCCGTACACCAAATCTTATTACCGATTGTTATTATACCCATAGATTGCTCTCTGTTCAATTAATTCGAACGATTTTATTTTTTAATTTTTTTTTTTTATGTATACATGCACACGTTATACCCGTGCGTTGTTTTTATTGCTTCTCCGTGAAAACTATACGTAAAAAAAAAAAACTACCGTGTTCTAAAATGGTCCGGAGATTAAAAATTAATAGCGCGTCTTGTGGCCGGCGTACGTGTGTATGCATGCGTTTTTCTCGGTAACACTAGCGGCCATCGCGCAGTCATTTAATTTCAACGGCAATCCTAATTACAGTAAATTATATCGAAACATGCGAACGTCGAACGGACGATCTTATAACGTATACAATTGCGGTTGACCGTCGATTATTTTTGTATTCTGTTATTTTGATTGTACAATTATACGGGGAAAAAAAAGAGAGAACGTTGGACAAACTGCTACTAGTAGCAAGTGTAATATAATTGAAATCTATTGCTTTATTATTAGTCATCTATGTGCATAATACTGTAACGTGGTACGTGCAATACAGTTAAAACTCGGTGGCGATGTACACCTCGCAGGGTTAGGTAATCTTCGCCCCGGGACACACGAGAAATGAGTCGTTTTACATATACGTATATATATTATTTGAAATGATAAATTTAATGATCTGTTGTTTGGTTTTGTGCAGAGTGTAGTCATGCTGATGTTCAGAGAGGAAAAAAGTCCCGACGACGAAATCAAAGCGTGGCAGTTTTGGCACGGCAGACAGCACAGTGTCAAACAGCGAATACTCGATGCCGGTAAGTCGTAGTATAGTTGTTATTTTTTCAACTTAAACGGGTCGGAGACGAATAGGGAATACGACAGCTCGTGCGTATACTATAGGTTTAATGGAAAAAATAATAAAAAAAAATATACCCGAAAATTCCCAGTTGTTTATTTTTGTTATTTTTTATATGAATTATGTATACAAGTCGTCAATCCCTCTTTCGAATATTCGTGTACTGAAATCCTACACCGCCGCCGCCGTAAACGTTAATACTTTAATGGAAAGACGTGCGCGCGTTAACCGAGAAATCAGCGGACCGTACCGATCGGAGTGCGTGTTCTCGTGTTACGCTACTTCGACGTCGGGTCCAGAGTAGTGTAGGGCGAGAAAAATAGAGAGACAGACGAAAACAAAAATTATATAAAAAACGGACAACCCGGAGACGATATAATAATATATATGTATATTATTATGTATCCATTTTCCATTACGTGTCGTTTCTCAACCGTACACGTATTATGTTATTGCTACGTGTATACTGTTAATACCTAACAATTGTCATTTATTTATCGCTGTAGCGGTGAAGGAGATATAATTAATAACATAGTCGAGTACCGCGGTGTATGGACTTTTTTTTTTAATCCACGGGGGATAATCGCGGTGCTCATTCGATCGACTGGAGGAGGGATATAGATGGCCGGCGAGGATAACGTGTGGGCACACACACACACACACCGTGGAGATTACTTCAACGGACACGATTCGTTACTTGGTGTGCATGTGTATGACGTCTTGTACGCGCATATGATTAGTGCCCATAACACGGCGGCGTATGTATTGTGAACATATAAGCATAGGATACATAATTTTTTTTCCCAAGTGTTTTTTCTCCTCTCCGCCACTGCTTCCATCGATTTTGACGTTACAAATTTTTTTCTATAGTATATACACTATACGTACATAAATATAATCATCTTGTACGTTATTTATCGTATAGAAACGTGTATATTATTATACGAAACGCTCTTCGTCTGGAGATTATAATGTAGCTCGCGGATCCATAAAATAACAACTCGGTCGAACGCGCAGCAATTTTTTTTTTTTTTTGCCCCGAAATGATAATGGGACATTTCGTATGATGTATATCTATGTTATCACGACTGCCAAGGACTTCCGATGAATTAATTTTACACATCTATTACTGGCACATTATTTTGTTCAGTTAATGATTTTTTTTCTCCGTTGTTCCTTACAATAATACCTAATTATATATTACTTAGCGCCCGTGTAACATTATTTATTTTTGATTCAAAGAAGTTCACACTAATTCGATTGCCACTTGAAAATCCGTACGTTTAATAAGCCGAATAAAAAATTATCATATATCATATAGGTATGTTAGCATAAACACACGTAGATATGTGATACATAACATTACTATATTTATTTATTCATATATATTTTCTTTAATAATCGTGTGCTGATATCATCGCACAGAAACGATTTCTATTTGAAATCGTCGATTGAAAATGATGCAATGATATGTGTCACGTGCAGTGCATACAGTTCAACTCCCTTTATTTGTACAACTTGTATTTTCAAAAACACTACTTATAACCTTTTAAGCCTTATATTAATTGTTCGTTCCCTTAAAAGAGTGTAACGATATATATATATATATATATATTTCCATCTAATTTTTATACGGTGAACGTAAGACGTATACAAAAATGTGACTTCCTATTCCGTTTCCGTCTGACAGGGACGAAGGAAAAAATCGTTTCCATCCGTATTTGTCACACAAATTCCGAAAATGGTCACACACCACCGGACCGAGTACGTGCACTGCAATCCGTCGGTGGAATATACGTAGTCGGAATGCCGTTTTACACGATTTTATATATATATAAATCTACTATGTAGCTATCTAAAATGAAAAAAAAAAAATTAAATTAATTAATTCTGACGACAGTCTCTCGCAGGAAATATCGTTGCGACCATTGTGGTCATTTCCATCGATCTATAGATATAATATAAGTGCATGTACAACATACATAATGTATAATAAACATTTTCGTATAAAATTAACGTCACTCCCATAAGACCATCAGAATAAATGTTAATTAAGACGAAGGGGCCCTGTCATTATAGCTTAGTCCAAAGTCTAAATCTCCGAACAGATACAAATCCAATGTGTGTTTTAATTGCATCAACTTTTTTTTTCGTTGTATTTATGTATATGTATATATTTTATTTTAATGTGATATTTTTTTTTTCGTCCGTGTTCCCGCAACGACCAATAATTATTATTCTAATGGATTCTGATGTCAAAGATGGCGTAGTCGGGTCTTATGTTGAATAAAGCTTAAAATACACACACGAAAATATATTATCTTCTTTCTGAGGTCATCATCGACCGGTGAACCTTAATAATTTATTAACGAACAAAATGTACCCATATGTATAATATATGAATACATGCCGCGATGTGAAATATACGATCGACGAAAATAAATTAAACAACACCGAAGATGCATTTCCCTAATTGACATTATCCGTTTGCTATCTTCGATTTTTTTGTGTATCCCACTCGAGTCACGATATATTTTTTGTCAGGAAAAAAAAATCGCACGCGCTCACTAAAATCTACATTGTTCTCTTTGGATAATATTTAAAGTTTTTGTCCACGACACTCTTGCGGAAACTGAAAAACAAAAACCCAATAACAATGGCTTACTGTGTTTTCAAGATCGTAAATTTTTTCATCCTGCGTCACGTCTTGCGTGTACGAATGTTCCATTGTTTTGCGTTTTTCCTCGGATTGTTATTCTCGCCCATTTTTTTATTATGTGGATTATTTTTTTTTATTTATTTTTTTTTTTTATATATATTTATGGGTACATGTTTGTAGTTATAGTTTATTGTATTTTCAAAATTCAGTTCGCCTTCATCTTTTCGGAAAACGTATATACTATTATAAATTATAATATGATATTCTAAAACCCCACGCTCTCCTACAGTATTTTTCATATCATTATGTGTACAATGCGTTTACCTGCAGAGTTTAATGATAATATATATAAATGTACCTACTAAGTTCTTCTAGAAGCGAACACGTAGTATATTTATGTATACGTGCATTTATAATGAAACGCGTAATATCGTAACTCGTAATTAACCGGCATAAATTCGCACGGCCTCAAAAAAAAAAGCCGAGAGGGTGGGGTAGATAATATTATGAATGCCGGTAATCATAATCATCAGAAGTCTATTATTTATAGTAATAGCATTTAAACTGGTTATTATAAAGCCGCGATCTGTTCGGGTCTATATTAAACTATACCAATGTATAACTCTTGGGTTGTGCGGAGGCTGCACTAATATTTCAGTGCGTCGGGCGTAAGAAAATCTTTCTTTTTTTTTTTTTGACAAGTGAGGGAGGGGATCCACTGTTTCGCTTGAAGGAAATCGTGAGGACTGGACTCTCTCTGGTAGCCTGTAATTATAATTATTATTATTATTATTTTATTTTTTCATTTTAGACACGTACTCTGACCCAAATCGTATACAAATAAAGATTACAGTTCGGTCCAATATTAATAATACGGGCGCACACGATGAGAAGCATTAGGTCTGGGGAAATCACGCGATAGCAGGAGGGGGGAGTGATGTTTAAGATTTACATTTTATGTGTATACATATATTTTGGGTTTTACTAATTTATGTAAATTTGCCCTTCACGAATATTGTGTACGTCCATAGGAAAAAAAAGTTTCGTCTGTCGAAAATACGCGACATATTGTTTGTGTAAATAATACTATTACTCGATACACGACATTGCTTTTAGACGATTTTCGACAAATTTGCAAAAATAATTAAATAAAACATACATGCAAATATAAAACGCGCTTCGTTATGTACCTAGTTATGTGAATTATATATCTGCCGTAGAAGATGGGATTTTGTTTCAAGACATCTGTCATATGTTTAGTTAAGAGAAGTTTAAGAGCTAAAAGAAGCAACTTGTCGTTTCTCATTAAGTATTACAATTGGATATCAGCCAGACCGAGGTACGAGCGCAACCGTCCGGTAAATCTAGTTTGTTTTTTTGTCCTGTATGCTGTATATATTACACCACGGTATTTTCGTGTTGTACAAATTTCTCCTAGCGTGTTCGCCCAAAAATTGTTTCAGCGTCGTGGCGTGTTTTTATAGAGCATTGGTAAATCTTGGATGACACGGACGATATACATTTCGTTATGTAATATAAGTTTGGCACATTTTAAACCAAAAACATTATTCATCGTTTCTTTACATTTGAGGAGCACGATCCGTTTCCTACTGGGCTATGCAAACATTAAACAGTAATAGTACCTAATATTTACAAGTGTATCATTATTACCCTAGAATTCCTGGTAAAAAAAAAAAAGATGATTTGGTCCAATAGAAATTTTTTTAATTTCCCGGTCACAAACAAGGGAAAGATCATGAAGTATAGGTGTTGAATGATAGTGATATATTTTCGTAGCTCGTGTTTGAATGTGTACGTTCGAGCGAATTTGTTCGTAGAACTAGTAACATCGTCGTAATAGCCGCCGTCTAAGAAGTCTCATAGAAATAATATTCACGAGTCCGACGAAATAATATTTTAAATAAGCTCGTTGTAGAAAAAATCGGCCCTCTCCGATTGGATATCGTACGCTTTCGGCGGGTGCTGGCGACGTGTGTACAGTGTAGGTGGTCATCACAGTTATCTGCATAACAAACCCGGTAGATAACAGTGGTATGGTAACAGTAGTGTAGATACTTGCATATATTATACGAAACACACGTGCGTTGTGACGCATGGGTGGGTGTCTCGCATATCATGTCCACGGGACCGGAAAGACCTGAAATCAACGCTGTACTGACCCATTTGTTTTTAACCGAGACACCAGAGCAAAGGCCATACAAAATCAGGTTCCTTTATATTTACACATGCACTCGTTGTCGTCATCGTCTTACAGTAACGCGAGTCGGGACCAGTTATTGAAATCAGGTTGTGCATCTTTGATGTAGCTAGTCACTATTCTGCTGTTATTATATTATTATATAAATACACGCATCGCACGCGCTTCATTCATAAAATTCAAAACCGCCTCCGTTTATATTGCAGTTGCCGCGTCTTTCGCGATGCGATATCGAATCAAGTTCCTTACAATTTATGTACGATTTGTTAATAACCCGCTCATGACCCGCCGCCGTATACCGAATTCAAAAATCAATCGGTCGTTTTCGCCTTTTCTTATTTTTTGATTTCCTTAATTAGTCACGTTTCTACGTTAAAATTAATTTTTTACCATTAACGTTTTTATAATGTGCATGTGTGCAATATCTACGACGAACACAGTAACGCGCGCGTTAACACTATATTGGTATAAGATTTAATGCGATTCGTTGGTTCTGTGGCGCGGCAAGAGGATTTCGAATCGTTAAAGATAAATTTAAATGACTTGGCGTGGAGCCGAGAAAACTAATGAAAAACAAAACACGCGAATATTTTTTTTATACCGATCATCGAGCCACGCACGCGTTCAAACGTATGCAACCCGTTCGTCAATGTATACTTTTATTTTATTATTTTATTTTCCTTATGTATATGGATAAATTGCATACCATTTGAGCAATATACAAATTGGGTATAATGTAATAATATTATTATTTTTTTTTTTTCATATAGACACGAAAAATAGTGCTGGTCTGGTGGGATGCATCGAAGAAGTATCACACAATGCCATCGCCATTTATTGGAACCCTATGGAGAGTCCGGCTAAAGTAAGTTTCATGATATCATTTCATATACGTATACACATACGCATAAACGTACGACGCATACACAAGTGTACCGTACATATATAGGAGACAATAATTAACGAGTAACGAGAACAATTTTATCCGTTTTTTAACCTGTCGTCCGAATTCCTAACCGTCTATGCATTTAATGACCGGTATTTATTATTTTTTTTTCTCTAAGGAAATCGCGCCGCGTATTTATCTTTTAATAATGGTAATTAATATCTACATCACGTAGTAGCCACGCAGAAGTGAAACGAAAAGAGATTATTGTATATATATTGCTAAACTCCCGGATTGTGTATGTGTGTGTGTTTCGATATCTATATGAGAGAGAAAAAACAAATCGCCTGAGGATTAGTGTGTGTTGTGTGTGTGTATACACATATATATATATATATATATATATATATATATATATATATACATGAGCGCGAGCTTAACGAGGTTAAAAAACCCATTTGGAGATGCCACACGGTGAGCAATTTTGAAATCGAAATTTACACACAATAATCCGGATTACCTGCGGCTTTCAGTACCAATCAAATATAATCAGTACATTATTTATAAAATTAATATTTATCGTAGTCTTTGGTTGGCGTTTTTTTTTTCTTAATAAATAACTTAAATTTGTTTTTTTATTTCAGATCAACGTTGCCGTGCAATGTCTGAGTACGGATTTCAGCAGCCAAAAAGGCGTAAAGGTGAGTTGCTATATTATATTTTACTACTCGATGCGAATGTTTTCTCCCTTTTTCCAAACAATAATAAAATATGAAGAAAAAAAAACTATTAAAAACCGAACTCCTGCTGTTCCCTTCTCTGCGGGGGCGATGGAGAACGTCTTAATTGGAGACACTGCGTTTCTTTTTATGTACTCAGTTCATATTGGACCCTTAACACACTGCCTATACAGTAATAATGCAATTGCTTTGTATTATTCTACAATTTTGCCATAACAAGGTTGAACATATTTTTAATAATTGGCGTATCCAGTAAACCGATTGTCTTTATAGATAAAACAAATTAGAAATAAATATTGAATGTAGTCCAAGTTTTCACGTACATAGTTGAATCATATGCAAATCCGAAACTTCATGGGTCATCTTTAATTAACAGCTACAAAATTACCTTGGGATATTAAAATGAAAAATATACCAAAGAAACCGACTGCACGGTCTGTTGTATCACGCGATGTTCTATCTATAATATACTCTCAGCAGTTATTATTTTCTCTCGAATAAATACAAACGCACTACTCCCGAGATTGCTTTTTGCGTTTATCTCGATTCAATTATTACACAGGCGCGCTATTACTATGTAATACTACTACCTTGGGCTAATTGAAACGATATTCGACCTGTATGTTGAAAACAACTACATTACTTACTCTTAAATGGAATTTATCCATCTACACATATGAATGTATGTGTGTATGTGATTGAGAGAGAGAGAAAAGAAAAAACAGAGTGATATACACGAAACGTGAGCAGATACAAGTAGTAATATGATTGACACAAGTTTTTGTAATTCATTTAATAAATGTTCGCCTACTAAATAACTTACGATACGCTTTCCGATTTGTTTTCAGGGATTGCCGCTGCACCTGCAAATCGACACCTACGAAGAGCCGAGAGACGGACCTGTATATCACAGGGGATATTGTCAAATCAAAGTTTTCTGTGATAAGGTAAGAACGAATATTATAAATTGGATTTTTTTTTTTTTTTTTTTTTCGTAAAAATACTTCTATGGCTTGTTTTGACCGGCAATCAATCTTGCGAAAGAATAATACGCATAATAATTTCGCACCGCCGTTGTTCCGTTTACGTTATACGAGTCTCCGACACGCCGTCTCGTATGCTTTATGGTCAAACACACTACGGCGATTATACACGCGCAGTTTATAACGTGGACATGTGCGTGTACGTACCGTATACATGCATATGTAATATATTAGTGCGTGTGTTGTACGCGCTATCACACGTGCAGAGAAATATGCGCCTCGTCTATTAAAACCGCGCCGAAGAGGTCATTTATTTTTTCGGCCCCCAGAATTTCCAGGCCGGTATCTTACTTGTAGATCAGACATTCTGGCGGACAACGACGACGACGCAGCTGGAAGGTTAATGTGTGTGTCGTTTTGTACACGTATATTTCTTAATTTTTGTTTTTTTTCCTTCTATACATAATAGTCGTATACAATCTGATGCGCGCGCGCGCGTGTGTGTGTATGTGTGGTCGAATGCTTCTAATTTACTGCACGCATCTATTTTAAATGTATGTAACACAGTTGGACCACCGAAATTAACAACCTCCGTGTTCATGTATTTTCAAATATTTTGTCTGAAAAAATCTACCTAATGTTTCTTCATCGTCGTACGAGAAGCGCCGCGCGCTGAAAACAACGTACCACCGCGTAGCGCGATCGTGTCGCGTCTTTTGATTCCGTGGTGACCCCCGTAGACAAAGGATGCATTTAAAACGCTATTTATTATTTATTCGATTCCCTCGGGATATTTATATGTTCGTATGTGCATAACGTAATAGTCGTGTGGTGGGAAATGAAATGAAATAAGAGAAGATAAAATAGAAATAAAAAAAAAAAAACCTAAGAAGGAAAAATAGACATCTCCGTTTGAGATCTCACAGTCAGATTGAAACAGTATCCCCGAATGTTTTGTGTTTTTGAAGTTCAACGTTGGTCACGGCGGTAGAGAAATAGTCGTTACCGTCGTCTGCCTACCCCCATTGTACGCACGCGTGTCATGTTCAAGTACACCCGCGATCGCCGCTAATGTAAACTTCCCTGTGCCCGATATCCGACCAGCTTTCCGGCACTCGGCTTTAAATTCAATGTATAAGAATATACATACATTCTAATAAAACGCACTTATTATTTACGCGTGCAGCATGTATAATATTATTTAAGATCGTATCGATACACCGCCGTCGAAAATATATCTCTATAGATATGAAGAAATGATACCTTAAACCGATTCGTTCGCCGCGTACGTCTCGTTTGGGATTAGATCGCGTGTATAATATAAAATACGAAATTCGGTCGTTTCATGACGTGTTTCGTAAGCGCTCAGGTTTTTTTTTTTTTTTTACACTGTCCAACGCATTAGAATAAATAAAACGTAGATACGGACATTATTCATCGAGATAGCATGTTATAAATAATAGTTTTCTCCGGGGTACATTAGCTCCAATAAAAGTCATTAAAATTTAGTCGTAAAGCCATAAAACTAATACAACAGCGGACGCACGTCGAAAGTGTCTGCCGCGCAGGTACGAATTTCGGTTCGTTTTTATTGCGTCTTCGCCGTGTGGTGCGTACGTGTCCGATTGGAATTCGGTTTCGAATTTATCTGCCGCGTTCACCATAAAATATAATATTATGTGCGTAGTAATACCTGTATTGCACCTGTGCGCGTTGCCCGTCGAAAATGTCTTCGGTCGAATTTCCTCGTGTCCTAACGTTTACCCGGTACGTCAGCGTTTTATTAATATATATACGCGCGCCCGCGTGCGATATCAAAGGACCCGAACAACTTTGGATACGCAAGTAGGCTAACGAATCATGCGACAGACGTCACAGCAGCAACAGACGTCGTTGTGAGATGTACAATACGTAAAATCCGCTGTAAGACAACTTGACGAGAACGCGTTCTTTTTCGTTTATTTATTTATTTAACTATATTATGTTTCATTGGATCGGAATGGGGAAAAAATGTCGTTTCTGCGAGACTTGTCCGACAAGGTTCTCTCCGGAAATAATTTCATCAAACCGAAGGTTCGTCATCGTCGCGCTATGACATTTGAGGACGCAAATAACGTTGTCCTTTGCTCGTCGTCGTAACTCGATCCTATAATATAGGATATTATGGGAGTGGACGAATAGCCATTACGCCGGAAAACGGATATAAAATGAGAGAGAAAAACCGTTACTAAACGTATTCGTGAATACGCGCATTTCCAATATTATTGCCTGTACATATTATTTTCTATTTACAAATATGTATCTTTTATTCGATGTAAAAAAAAAAAACTACTAATACTGTAAAAACATTAATAGCGTGTTATTTATCGATGTTGAAAAATGAAATAAAAATAAAAGTTCAATTTATAATTACGAGTACCTGTGTGGTTAAGGTATGGTAAACGTGCCGTAAACCGTGCGACTCATAAATTTGAACGCATGACAGGATATAATATTTTCCAAATCACCTTCGTACATTATTTACATTTGTGTAATACGTTATAGCAGTCGACTACGCGCACTCAGATATAATACATAACTTATTTGTGTATAATACGTGCATATAATCGGTATGATGGTGTACGTATAAGTATGTGTGCAGAGAAAACAAATCATAAATTATAATATTCATGTTACGCTATCAGAGTTTTCCTCGTGTGACAGTGGGCATTATCATTATCTGTGTTAAAAAAACTTTCCCAGTTTAATAAAATTATACATCCGTTCGTCCTGGTGGAAAAAAACCGCATAAATTGAACGGTAAAAAATTTCGTTTAATTACGGTTTTATTGATTTACTGTCTTGCATCGGCCGACAGTTGATGATTTACCGACCGCGGACAAAAATATTAAGTATATATATAATCGTTTAAATTACCCGGCGGTGCGCTCGGAACGTGTAATCTTTTTTTATTCGAGGATTTATAACGCCTGCGACTCGCCGTGGTTCCCAGAATGTATAATAAATATCTTACACGGCGTGTGCACAATATATTATATGAAATTGCCGGGTTCGCGACAAATTAATGACGGTACAAATTTCGGCGTTTCTGTTTAATATTCGTACGCGTGTTTTATGATATATAATAATTGGGTATTTGAACTCGTCGTGTATTATATTATAATAAACGTAAATTTACGTTTTTTTTATTTTTATCCTAATATATTTCTACTTTCTTTTTCAGGGAGCCGAAAGAAAGACCAGAGATGAGGAGCGGAGAGCGGCAAAACGAAAAATGACGGCTACGGGACGCAAGAAGATTGACGAACTCTATCATCCGCCGTGCGAACGGTCCGAATTCTATTCGATGAGCGACCTCAATAAGCCGCCTGTGCTTTTCTCGCCCGCCGAAGACATCGACAAGGTAAATAACGTACGGTTTCCGAGAGATTTTCCGCCGATAAAATATTTCGCGTATCATCCTCTCGAACCAGTCGTATCCTGTTTCGGTATTGCTTTCCCACTCGATCAGTCCCATTGCCAATCTTTCCGAATTATCGCTCTTTTGCGTACGGACTAAAATCTAAACCAACCCTAAGCTCCACAAGCGAACCTCCCCTCCGATGATCCTGTACGCGCGTAACGTCGATTATTTTATCACCGTGAACCATTACTATATTACGCTAACGACACGAACGTGACGTTTCAGCTGACGTCGATGGAGCTCCAAGGATTCTACGGACACGACACGGACACGTCCAGCTTGTCCAACGGCGAACCCGGCTCTCTGAAGCACTCGTCGCCGTTCCTGTTGCACTCCGGCGTGGCCAACAAGCCGGCCGGCACGACCACCACGCAAACGCTGAAGTTCCACAACCACTTCCCGCCGGACACGCACAAGTGAGTAATTCGTTTACGATTTTTTTCTTTTTTTTTTTTTGCGCCGTTTATCGTGTACATATACCTATATAAGGCATGTTTTTTACACATCAGCGTGTCTTATTACAACAGCGAGAAGAAAGAAGTGTTGGACCAGAGCGGACTGACCACGGACGGCACGGTGTTCTCGAGTCCGCCCAACAAAAGGACGAAACTGGTGCCGCCCATCAACGAGCGGGTGATGCTGTACGTGCGACAGGACGCCGAGGACGTGTACACGCCCCTGCACGTCATACCGCCGACGACCCAGGGATTATTGAATGCTGTAAGCACAGACTTCATTTATTATTGAAGTACTTATTGACAAACAAGTATACATTTTCTCTATTATTTTTTTCTATTATTATTATTATAATTATTATTATTATTATTATTATTATTATTATTATTATTTTTATTTTTATTTTTCTTTATGGTTCCTAAATTTTAACTAAAAAATATCCGTGCTGCTTTTGGATGATGAAAATAATATTATTATGTCCATCGTAATTATCGTGTGCCTCCGTTCGTTGTTCTCGCCTCTTGCTCCTATTCTTGTCACACACTGTTCGTTTTTCTCCGCACTCTTCACGCCTTCTTCCGTTTTACAAGTTTTGCCACTATTATCGTTTTTTTTTTAAAAAAAAAACAATTATATAATAATCGCTTTCTTGTATGTTATTGTTCTTTTTTGTTCATTTTCATTCTTCAACGTCTGCTAAGTGCTATCTGTGTCGCCATTACACCGATAACTTTCCAAAACATACGTCCTCATATACATATAACAGAGAGTAATACACAGATTCATTTTACCCGATTGTAATGGTTTGTTAAGTGCATTTATGATTTGAGTTTGAAAATCTAATTAATCATGTAATTCGCACTTCATTATTATTAATTGCGCTCTGTACTACACCACATTCTGTTCACTCCCAGTACTAGCCACAGTAGTCTTAAACCAGTGGCGTAATTTCAGTTTTCTCTACGGTAGGGCAGTCGGCATGCACTTATTGAATAACCGACTCGGCAGCTCACTTTACTTAAGTACCGATTAACGGAGCGGGAAGGAAACGTCAAACCAGTCCAAAAATATAACGATTTGTACTTAGTACATAAGTACCCTTATACTATACGTCTCATTTTTCTGATTTATAATATGCCAATGGTTTTATAAAAAAAGACGTATTTAGATTTTTATGATGTACCGACTTTGGAATAGCTAAACTCTATACTGTGGCGAATGCATGAGTTACCCCCTCAAATTAAGTCATTATCTTAAACACCTTGGCTAATACATTGTAACGATCCTATACATTTTTTTTATATGTATGTACTTATACATATGATACCATATTATACCATATATACCCTATACCATATTTTAATCACGCTTTATTTTAATTTTCGTCTAAAACATTTAACCATCTAAATGTATATATTTTTTTTACAAGTTTATTTTAAAAATTACGGTATAAAAAGTCGTGGGTGGTGTTTATTGCTCAAATTATTTGAACGTTTTTGTTAAACATTTTTTTATAATAAATAATAAACAGCTTGAAAATGAACTTGTTAACATCGCGTTAACAATTTTTGTGCAAAAAGCTCTTCGATATGAAAATGTTCGAAATCTCACACCGGACTTTTAAACACAATAACCTTTACTTCTAGAGCATTGAAATAACCATAATAATAATATATTATCATGATATGTCATATTGCTTGTTTTTTAATGCAGCATGGCTTATTCTCGGATATTTTCACCTTCTCTCTGGTAAGTGGTACACCTTTTTATCTCTAAAATATGTTTTTACCCGCTTTGCATGGCTACTAACACAATTTTCCAGAGATCCTATTTCGTCCAAACCAACACGATTATTTTTTATTGAATAAATTTAACTAAATAATTAAAGTATAACTTAAAATCGAAAAATTAAAAAAAAAAAAATACTAGAGATGTTTGTCCGTTTTACTTTTTTTTAAAAAAAAAATTAAGGAGTATCAACCTACTCCTTGTTAATTTTTATTTCCCATTGTTTTTCCAGATTGAGGCTAAGTACAAAATTTCTGCTTCCAGCATTAGTAACATGTATCGAAAAAACAAAAAAGGGTAAGTGGAAATGTTTAATTTTTTGTTTTAAGTTTTCTATTTAAACGCTTTTCCTATTTTTAACAATATTATTTCTAAGTCGATGAATATTTTGTATCCTAAATGTATATTTTAAACTTTAACAATTCATAACAACGCTTTAGCAACTAATTTACTTTCAAGTTCTTGAAACTCATGTATATAATGTAAAAATAACACCAAATTTAAAAATCGTTTTTTTTTCAATTTAATGAAACTTGGGTGTGTTTCATTGGTGTGGAAAATCGCTTTCTACCTGTAAAATTACAAAAATTATATTAGACACAGTCTATTAATTTATTATTTAATAAAACATGTTTGCCAAAGTTCCTATAACAAATTAATAAAGTAATACTCTTGAGAAATTACAATAAATTTCTGCAATCGCCTTTGAGTCCATTATTAATCCAAATTAAATTTAAAATAATTATATAAATGTATCATACGAGTATATTGCGGATAATCTATACCATATTGTTATAATTTTTTTATTATTATCATTTATCTTATAATATTTTTATAAAATTATATCTATTGTTTGTTTTATAGGATTACAGCCAAAATTGATGACGATATGCTCAAATATTATTGTAATGAAGATTCATTTGTATTCGATGTCAGGCACTCTGAAGAAAATGAGAACATGATTGATATCATACTAATTGAATTTATGGACCATTAACATCAAATTAAATGTTGTTTGAAAATAAAATAGTAAAAAATCAGTTAAAAATTCCTATAAATTTACCAAGTAACACTCGTTTCTTTATTCTTATTGAGGCATATTTTGTTTAAGAAATATGTGAATAATTATTTATTCAAATTGATAACGATGATTTTATAGTCTTAAATAATAGTGATTAGATTTAAATAGAACAATGTACATATTAGAATATATATAGATATATATATAGGCTATGTTTACTTTTAATTGCCATTTGAACATCCATGACGTAATATTTATTGTACTTAAGTGTTTGTTTGACAACATTATTAGGAGGATAAAATTTTTTAATTTTTGCACACCTTATGCTCAGTCATTTTTAAGTTGTTTATTGAAACAGTATTTTAGAGATTTATTTTATTTGTCTAATAAATTAAGTTTATACATAAATCTATATTATAAATAATATATTTTTTTTTATTATCATTATTAAATAGTTATTGCTGTTTGATAGGCAACAAAAATTAACTTAAATGTGATAGAAATAAAAAGTTATTTAGCATTTAAATTGTATTATTGCAATATACATTTTAAATAAATTGATTGTGATTTACAAATTGTAACTAAAGTATTAAAAACATAACCTTTTTGCTCAATTTTTATTTGAGAAATAATTTAGATTTAAATCATTACATTTTATCAATATTGTTGTATCATTAATATTTTTGCTCATAAAACATTGTCAATGATATACCGTTTTTGTTTTATTTTTTTAAATTTTTTTTTAAACAAGGGACGAGGATACTATTATTATTATAAGTAAACATAGATCAAAACATATTGCGCCATGTTACTTAAAAATGAGTATTTTCAGAATGTTTTTGTATTTTTTTTTTTTTTTTTTTGTATATACATTTATTTTTAATGATTATCAAATAAAATATATTAATGTAGAGTTAATTAGTTTTATGTAATTAAAAGTATTATGTTTTGTTTTTTATTTATCTATTGTAATTATAAGTTCAAGTTAATTCATGTTATATTTTAATTTTACCCAAATTTATATCAAATAATTATGTTAAATGTAAATAATATAAAACAAAACATGAAACATTCCAGTTAAATTTGTATTGTTGCCCTATTTATTAGTAGAACGATATAATTCTTGCCATTTTTATGTTTAATTTTCTTTTTAATCCACGCAAAATGTATCTATCTTGAGATCTGTTAAGTAATAATATCTAGTGGTCTGAACACTAAAAAATTGCCAAAATTAATATCATTTTATAGTAACTTTGATCTCATGTTGCTGAAAAGCTGGATGTTCAATTTAAGATATTTTTTTTTTTTTTATCAAAATTATTTTTAAAATTATTTAGTTAGTATTGAATTAAATTAAGGCCAGAGCCAGACCCAGCACGCATGACAATTTTTGTGCAATTTTTTAGCTACTGTGCTCCATTAGTGAAAAAAAAAATAAGAATAACAAATGTAGACAATAGAGTGCCATTTTTTTATTTTTTATTTATTTTATTATTATTATTTTTTTTTTTGCTTTTGGATGATATATATTTTAAAGACACATTATAATGTTCCCACTTATTAAATCGACACAGTTTATTATTGTAATAATCTTACTACTTTTTTCTTTTGTCATTACTGCCAATAATAATTAAATAACATGTTTATTATTGTTTTAAACCATATGATTGTCAGTAATATATATGTATATATTTATATTATTATAATATATTTTTATGTTCAAGTGTTTGTTGCCTTTTAATGGTCAATAAAATGCCATTTTTGCAATACTTTTAAAATTATTATATTAATTAGTTTTGCATTTAAGTCAAAGTTATTTTTAACATTTTACATACATTACAGAATTTTCAAATAAAATAAGTCTGGTATTTTATACATTACATAATAATTATTTATTTTAATTAAATTAAAAATCTTTTACTTTGAATAATGATTATGCCTTGTCATATTATGTCATTGAACCTATATTGATGAATATGATTAAAATAATACATCACAATTTCTATAACATATATTTTATGGTAATCCTTGGAAAATTGTCATGTTTGAAATGATATAAATATTGTAGAGTCTAGATGCTAACACTAGTAACTGAATTGCTTATAATATTAATTTAATGAAGTGAGTTATAATTTATGTACATATACTATTTTTATTTTGAAAAATCAACAATCTGTTACATATACAGTCAACTCACGATATAACAAATAAAATTGTCGGTCCCTTAATATTACAAACTTTACGAGTTTGTTTCAGCTATTATTATGTGATAGAATAATGTTCATATCGTCGTTTATAATATACATGCCTGTTAAATATAAATTGAGCTATTGCAGAGGTTATTTCAGAATGTTCTGAAGATCCCTCCGTAAGCTTGAAGAAAGCAAAATCAGGTCTCTCCGTTGTCTTAAATATTTACAAAGATATGACATCAATGGCAATATATTTTGAAACACTTTAAATTTGTCACCATTATTGATCGCGTAAGCATAAATAAAAATTATCAACTTTTTAAAAAAAATAAATATACTAAATGCACTTAATAAGCAAAAAAAAAAAAAAATGTAATTAAATAATAACTCATTATGTAATTATAAAAATTTATTAAATTATAAATTTTCTTCTAAATCTCGTTTAAATGAATTTTGTTGATTTATGATTTTGATATACTGAACTTTTTGCTAGGTCCCTTGAAATTTGTTAAATCGCGAGTTGACTGTATATAGCAACTATTTCTGACATTTCTATACATTATTTATTACATTGAAAAATAATTGCATACCTTTTTTAAAAATGCAGTTCTTGAAATTTTTTTAATTTTGTATTCGACTATTACGTTTGTTTTATTAATTAATCGTATTTTTATATTACACCTAACAGGTTTTTTATACCTGAGTTACAACTGTTAATTTGAATGTGTACGTTGTTTTGAACATTTGCAATTAAAATTTTTAATAATGTAACATAATAAACATTAAATCGGTTTATATTTATTTTAATAGGAAGGAATTACTAAACGTCAAATCAGTTCAATATCAAATGATTTATCCCGAATCCCAACATACATCGATGATCGATAGCATTGTAGATATACAGGGGTTTTCAGATTCCATCTCAATAATATAGGTAAAAATAAATTTGACGGAAACTATTACCGTCTGTATCACATCAGTGATGATGCGGTCATATAAAATTTTGAACACAACAAAAAATCTAAAATATAAAATATACAATGTTCTAAAATATGATTAAGATTTATATTTGGCAGATTACTTCTTTCAAGTAATTATCCATATAAACATATGCCTTGTTAAACACTGTTTTAATGATAATGTTTAAATCAAAATATTATAAAGAAGGTGGGACTGGTGTCCGAAGGTAATTAACAAAAATACTCAGACATTAAAGTGCTTTCAAACTAGGAATAAGGATAACATACTATTATTTTCCTGCTTAACCTCGACACTATAAGGTTTTATGTTTATTAAGTTGCCTATTAGGCCACCTTGAGTAACTAAATATTGTAGGTAATAATTCTTATCTGCGCAGAAATAAAAATATTTTTAATTATTTCGTTTCATTGTTTTAATTTTGGCCGAAATTATCACCTCTGTTTCGTCAATTTAAACAATTATTTTGTCATGACCTCTATATCTAAAAAAACTGTAAACTAATTTATAAAACTATATTATATAACTACATTATCAGTCGTATTGTAATATTTGAGATATTATTTTATACATATTATATTGTATAAATGGTATTATAGTAGGAACAGCTCGTCAACACTTAAACTTATGAATATGTGATTATATTTTGATACTAATCAACATAATACATTCAATTCAATGAAATTGTAACAGTCATTTTTTGAAAAAATGGTGATTTCACCGTATTTTGTTTATTTTAGCACAGATCCATAAAAGATAAAACCTAATCGGTGATTTTAGTATAAACAAAAATATGATGAAGTTATGGAGGTTATGTCGTATACAAAAGAGCCGTTTTGTTGAAAAGAAGTTTTCAAGCTCCAATCGGTTTATATTTATAAATTTATGAACATTCATTATTAACACTTGGTTAAAAATGTTTACGGACTTAAATTGTTGAGTATTATTCTCAGTTAATATTACTTTATCTATTATATTATTTCCCTAAACATTACCATTTACACATATATCGTTCTTTGAAGTTAATTAAAAATGCTAAGAATTTCTTATTATTGTCTCACATAGGTACCTTTACTATTAAACCGAATTCAGTTTTTCGTGAAGACTATATATGTTATTTTTATAAAATTATTTGATATAATTTGTGGTCTCAGTGATATAAACAATAAAATATTAATAATGCAGTGAGGGTTGATTGAACGAACTACGTAATATACATACATATATATTTTACATTTTTTTAATTATTAACTACCATTGAAAAAAAAAATGATAAACCCTAGGACGAAACTTATTTTTTTTTTACTCGTACTAAAAAAAAAAAAAAAATCATTGTACGGTGTAAAGCATAATAATATAAAATCAAAGTATCGTTTCGAAAAACGTGTCGAGTCACTCGCTTTAGAGTCTTAGCAATATAAAATTAATATTGTTCAACAATGATGGTATTATGTGAGTAATACTCATAATCGAAAAAGAAAAAAAAATCGAATTATGTATGTTTAGCATTGTACCCGTAACTTATAAGTAGAGGTACAGTTAGAGTTCGTAGTACGTTTACTTTTTAGCAGACACCGCCGCGTGACGGATATACAGTTCACTATAATATATACATAATGTACAATACATCACTATAAGTAGGTACATATATTCAATGATATCCACGTACGTGTTTACGTTACCGTATCCGGTTTTCGTTCTTCCTTTGTCCACTACATCCTCTTCCGACACGTCTTGTCCAAAAATCAATGGCCTCTTCATCCGTCGCATGCGCATTAGGCATATCTCGCTTAGGTTGTAAGCACTTATATCAAATGGCGTAAATAATTACGGTAGTATGGAGCAACATAATTTTGTTTTATTATCCAATATTGGGCAAAGTGAAAATCGATATTACGATGCGGTCTGGTGATCAAGACATGCAGCAACACATACAAACGTGGAACAAAAAATGGAAACGGAAAAATAAAATGTATAAAAAAAAACCGTATACGAGTATTTGATAAGTGGTGGAAAGAATCATAATCATGTACGTATAAAATGTAAATATAACTTTCCAAATAAATTATATTTATCCATACATATATCAAAAATAGTATTATATTTATAATTATGATTACTTAAAATACTATTAGTAACATTCCATTGATCAAACTAAAAGTTTAAATAAATTTCAAAAAACAACGTGATTATATAAAAAAATTTTATAATATTATAGTATAGGTTATAATTCAAATAAACGCATACCAAGCATTGTATACAAAAAAAATCATCGTCGTGTAAATACATTGTTAATTTTATTTTTTCGATGATTAATTATTGAAACGATACAATGTATAATAATCACTATAGAAAGTACAGTTAACTTGATATTGTAGAGTAGTGATATATTATAAAACCTATCGTACAGATACGAAATCGTTTTATACAAAATTTTGCTGTGCAGTTATCGTATAAATTTCTTATTATAACTTAATTAAAATTTAGAACACATATTTTTGTAGGATAATTGAATTATAGAGACTTTTTTCAAACATGTTTGACTCTCACAAAATATGTAACAGCTCAATGTTTATAATTTGTAATCAGTAATAATTGTATGTGAAGATATAATATAATATATTTTATAAGTCAAAATTATAATAGAATTTAAACAAAAATAATAAAACATTAATTTTTGATTTCTTTAATGTGAAAGGAACAATCTACAGTGGTAAAATTGAAGAAGAATTGGCAGGAAATTGTGACAAGTTATCCGTTGGAAGTAAGACATAACTAGGAATCGGAATTAACAACATTGATTGAAGATAAGTACTACTATATTAAAATTTTTAAATTCGTCAAAACGTTTTCAAATTCGATTTAATAAAATCGTTTTAATCAACGTTTTGTTTTAAACTGGCACATTTCTTCGTGGTTTATTGTGCGATTACCTCTTGATAAAACTACCCAAGTCAGTTGCACAACCAAAATGTTTTCACGGAAGAGGTTGATAAAATAATTTGTCTTTCAGGAAGGAGAATACGAACACATGAATACCCTGGGGACCTTTTGAATAACATACTATGTACAGCTCTAAATAACGCTGTGTCGTTAGACAAATACGAGGCAACAGATTATCGTTGAATTAAAAGAGATTAATAAATTACGACGGATATGCGGGAACGCGCGTGGGTACTTCGTCTATTGGAATCAAAACGATGAAACTTACATATTGTTTGGAATTCGTTGAAAAAAAAAAACCTTCCGGACCCTTAGTAACGTTACTGATTATTATAAGTCAATGATTAAACAGCGTATAATACGGATTCCGAAATTTTGCAATATTATAATCGCGGAACTAGCAAATGGATTTTAAACTAAATGAATCGACGAATGTATTGGTTTTACCATGATGTGTTTTATTTGTTGTGTCTGTGTACACGATTTCGACTATAGGTATTACACCGATCGTCACACTCTAGGATGTAAAATATAGATTATATAAGAAATGGCCTCTAGTCGGTACTTTAGGGTGTCATTTGTTGAATTTCTCGACTATGTTCTCGATAAATGCGAAAAACCTATGATAAAAATTACAAAAGCAAAAAAGCGGCAACGTTTACAACATACCAGTTTTCGTTTTATCGTATCTCAAAAAACAATAATTTTAGTGACATGATATTTTCACCAAAAGCTTATGTCACCGTTAACTATGTAATATTTGTTGATCTATTCACAGATATTTGAAAATTGTATGTGTTTTTTTTTTTCAATTCGAATTTACAATATTCATATTTTAACAATATGACGTTTCAAATAAGTTTTTTTATTTTTATTTTATTCGTACCCGATTTGAAAAGATATAACCGAAGAAGTATTTCCAAAATCAGCCGCTCGAAAACATTTCAATACGTGTTTTAAACCCGGAGCGCAATTTCAACAAAAAAAACTGGAACTGCTGAAGCCTTTCTATCTTTTTCATGTTCTTTATTGGTTGTAGACACCCGCAACCTGTACAATTTTACAGTTACTAAAATATTTGGTAAATATTTGAATATTTTTAAATTTAAATTGTTCACTTTGATTTATATATATTATATTTGTTTTATTGCGCGTATAACGAATTACCCGTCTGTAAACACAAATGTTTCATCACATGATCACTTTTCGATTTTAAGTGAAGAGAAGGATATTATGGTTTTATATTGATGTTTGTATTTTATTTTTTTTATCACTTATTCGGATATAAATACTGGTCCAAAAGTTTTATCTAGGAAATTTTTAGATTTTAAATTGGAATGCGGTGGTACATTAGATAGGTAATTTTTTTAATTCTTAATAGTATTTCTAGGCGTGAGGAAATAACTGTGCTGAAACGATAAAAATACTCTGTAAATAAGACTTTCACTTTTCAGATTTTAGTTATTTAGTCATAATTCTAAAAGTAATGTGGCTAGAAATTTGAAACTTTTACCCTATAGCAAAGATATTTTTTTTCGTATTTGAATTTTAAAAAAGTGTTTATGGTTTAAATATAGAACCATAAAAATTCCTAATTTTTTGAAAGTCTTTATGTAATAAAATTTTTATTTTTTGATATTAAGTGAAAATGTAATATCATATTACTCATATACGAGTACTTATTTACCGATTATGAAAAAATTTTAAAAATCGATAGTCCGACATTTTTTTCGTAAGCGTTTAAGTAAATTATTATACTTACGACTTTTACAGATTTTAATGTATTTACATCAATTTTTAACAATAAATGTTTATTAAAAAAAATTTGGTCTATCCAATCATAATGAAACTTTGAATTCATTGAAATATTTGGTTAAAAAAAAAAAATTCTTTGTCAAACAATAAAATGTTAAACATGTTGATAAAAAAAAAGAACCTACCGATAATTAGACTAAAAATGATAAAATATACATTTTTTTAATTATTGATTTTTATACTGGACCTTTGCCCAGAACCATTTTGATAAAGAAATGACTTATCATTTCTTTAAAATTCAGTATATTTACTACTAGGCTAGCCACTCGTCCCGGTGGCCCGGCCGATAATTCAGTTTATCCCGGTTAATGGAAGCTGAGAGAAAATAACATTCTACATTATATTATTTATTGATTTAATTTAATTCATCATTATATTATTGTAATCTAATCGGTACGGTTGTAACAATAATGATGCATTAGCCAATAAACATTTAAATCACAAAATTATATACTTATTTCATTTTCATATCAAAATAAAAAAAAATAATCATTCAATACGATGTCTCGGTTTAGGGATTTCAAAATCTGGCAACCCTACCTATTACTATTACCCAGTTCGAGGACCGAATTGATGACGGACGAACTCCACCACGGTTATTTAAACAATAACGTTACATATTTATACGATAAAAACTCTGTTCTTCTACACGTAATGAGTATTAAGCATTTAAATGTGTATTAACATGAACAAATTTGGGGGCGCTAAGCACACCCAAGCCAAAGCCGCCCCCCCCCCCCCCCTAAAATCGCGCTTATGATTGAAACACAACAACACGTTTCGGCGTAAGAGGCTCGTTCCACAATAACAATAATCATAACACGGTAGTGTGATCGGTTTCCGTCGCGTTACCGCGATATTACGGTTAACCGAACTGCAGCTGTAATAGCGGTGTTGTTGTTATGTGCACGTTTTCACGTTCGGACAGCACACGAGCGCACGGTCGCGGTAGACACACATCGGATTCCTGAGCGATCGGACGACGTTCGTCACAGTACACGCGCGATTACCGCAACACCCGGTATCATCAACCGATCATTTTGCTGCTCCCGCGACCACAGTCGTACACCAGTATTCCCTTACAGATTGTTCCTTCGCACCCCGTGTGTTACGGTACGTGCACGCGGACGTCGATATGAACGCAATCGTTTCGTTCGCGCTGTTGTTCAACTAGCCGTTCGTCAGTTCTTGCAGTTCACGGCCGGTCCTTTTCCGCCCCTCGGTTCCATTCATTTCGTTTTTATGGACTCGAGTGCTTGACGACGATGATGTACTGGTAAGTTGTTTATTCTATCCTCGTCCAGCCAACGTTGAATAATTCCATGCTTTGAACCGGTAGGCACGATCGCCCTCCCCTCACCCTTCCCCCGTGCTCGTTTACCGGCGGTATTCGGTCAAACGTTTTCACCGCGATTTCACGTTTCCGCGAACCTTTGACGATGCATTTTTAATCGTCACGAATTTTCAAACGTATTATTTGACTTGTTCCTTCCTCCTTTCATCTCTCCTGCGAAACGTTTTGTTGTGTTATTCTGTTTTTCGCTCGGACGGGTTCCGTCATAATTTTTACTAATGCGATCTGGTACAATTAAAAAACTCGGCGTTCGAAAGCCATTCACAATTGTTTACATGCATTTTTATAGCGTAGATAACGGCTGATAATTGTTGTTCTATAACCGTGTAATCGCAGACCACAAAGAATCAGTTAATTAAACCGATCAATAAAGTTTAATTTTAATACGTCCTAAGTTTATTCCGATGAGTACAGTTCGATTATATTACCAATATCGATGTTATATGAATATAATTTCCGGTAATGATCTTATCAATTTGAAAACGATTTTGAACGCGGTAAATTCAAAACTGTACCGTATGCACGGATAATTTCGAAAGTTAAAAACTTAAATATTGCTTACTATTTTTTTTATAATATATATATTATATATATTATAATATATTTTGATTTTGTATGAAACGGTGTTCATTACCGTTGTGAATGTTTTAATGTCTTCGCGATATCAGTCTGATTAATAATTCATTTTTTTTTCGATTAATTTTCTCGTAGGTATTTGATAACCATGTGTTGAAAAAATAAATTGCATTGCATAATTATTTCAAAATAATATTATATACATTTTTTACGTGTGCCTTAGTTACATATACTAAAATCTAAAATGCTATAAGCTCATATTGGAGCTTAAATATGACAAATAGTTATTTTTTTTATTTTTATTTATACATAATGAAAAATTATTACTAAAGATAATTGTACTAATAAAATAATCATAAGAAATAAAGTACATGTAAAGTATTGAAGAATAATAAATTAATGATAAACTAAACATAGGTAGATAATTTTTCTTTTTGCTGTACTTATAAAAACCGGAGTAAAATGTTACAGTATTGAAATTTTTGCATTCAAATTAAGTCATTACAACACAAATTGAAGGAAGTTTTTTTTTTCTTTCTTAACGAACCGTTGCCGCTAGATTGATAGGTATCACAAAATACCTGCCTGTCATCTAGTACAGTTTCCAATTTATACATAACGTGCTCACCGTATAATATAACGATGTAATATGAGATAATACACGATTTAAAATATGTGTGTGAAACAGCGTGGTTATTTCTGCGTTCTTAAAAATCAAGTAAGTATTTTACTTTTTGACATTATCAAAATTGATTCGTGACATTAACATCGTGACGTTATTGTGCAAAATATGTGGGATACACAAAATATATTTTAGTGAATAAAAAAGAAAAAAAAATAAGGTCTTATAGTAATATTCGATTTTGCGTAACAATTACACACTTAAACGCATTCATATTTTATGTTTAAAATATTACAAAATGTTTTCCTTTTTTCAATATACCATCATTAAATAGAGATTCGGAGCATTGTAAAAACAGAATTATGTGCATGAATTTATCATTTCGCTCGACAACATTAGAAATAACATTTTTTTGAAATCATAGATTGAATAATTTTTGGTTTTTAATTTTTTGATAGTTTAATAATTCCATAAGTATATTTACTTTAAAGTAATTATTAAAGTACAACTGTATCGTTTTTTTTTTTTTTTTAATTTTACATAAATAGTTAGTTATTGTTCGATTTTTAAAGTATAATACTGTAAATATAGGTATAAAAAATATTTATTGCATTTGATTTGCAATATTTTTTTTTTAACTACATGTTTTCACTTGATGCATAGGTATATATATATATATATATGGTAGTTATATAGATTGTATAATATAATATGAGTTTATAGTGTACAGTACAAAATTGCAAAATAACAAGTGTAACGCCGATCAAAAAATTTCCATAAATCATCATATGGGTACTGTTTTCATGAAAATAAACCTGTATCGTAACTTTTATTTTATATAGCAGAGATGGCGAATCTTTTTAGGGTAAAGTGCCAAAATTTAAAATCAGATTTTTTGAAATATACTCGTGAGCCAAAAAAAAAAAAGACTAAAGAATAAAATTATAATAATTATATACATTTTATTACATTCACGTTTATTTGTGATCATATACAATTGATTTGATTCAAATTACTCACACTAAAGTTTTAAATTAGGTACCTATAGTTAATTTTTTTTTTAAGATGAACATTTTATAAAATTTTAATTTTTGATATGCCATTGAAATTTAACCAACGTGCCACTTCTGGCACGCATGCCATAGGTTAACTACCCCTACCGTATTATATAGGGTGCATAGCACATATTATTTTACGGTAGGTATTATAGAAGTTGGAATAAAAATTTAAATAGAAAAATGTAGTGTTGATTAAGAATAAGAAATATGAGCTATTATTGTAGAAATAAATTGTTCTGAACAATTTTAAATTAAATAAAAAAAACATAATCTATTGAATTCATAAATTGCCACTACCAGAGGTGTTCCCATAGGGTATACTAAATGTACACCGTATACTCTCAAGACACTATTGAAAAATTACGGGTATACTACGTGTATTCTCAAACCATAACAAAGGATACCTTTTAATTTAATGCCTCGGAAATAAATGTAGTTTTATTTTTCCCGTGATAAGGTAATGATTATTTACGATATCGATAGCCGAAGACATTATACGCTATTTGACTACAGTAATCAGAGGTAGACTGGAACTAAATATTTCACCGGGATTTAGAACTAAAGAACTAGAGCAGCCACATCTAAATACCTACCTATTGTTTGCATACATAATGGTATATTTAACAGAAAACTTTAATGCATATGTAACTTATAACTTATAGTATAAAAAATAAGAAAATATTTAAAACAATTTGATTTCAATTGATTTATTTTTATTTGTACACGTCCTTAATAGACCAAAAGATAATTATTTGTATTGTATTAAAAGTCCATATTTTGGTACATAATGGCATAATATACTCTCAAAACAATGTATGGGAACACCCCTGGCCACTACCACCATCGCAATTAGAATAAATATAAATATATCTTATCAAATTATTATTTAAATTACTTTAAATATTATACTCATCAATTTTTGTGATGGCATAAAATGTATGCTTTTTTTTCATATTAGCTCAATTGTCCATTAAGGATCACGCTGCTTCCTAGAGGTTTCGCCATCCATCTCTTATATTAGTCAACCTTAAGTTTACATTTTGGTCTATCTCTTTCAAGTATCTGATTATTACATCGATACCTACATCAATATGTACGTATGTATGTATACTTATGTAATTTAAATAATTAATAATTATGAATAAAAGTAGTAAATACTATAATTATTTTAATAATAAGTAAATTGTGTTTGCAACATATTTTCATTGAAGAATATTATTATGATCTGGGTTACAAAGAGATTGATGTCTTGGCTCGATCAGATCAATCGTTGTAGTGTCGTGGTTATGTACGATAGATTGTTTTATATCTTTATGATCAAATCCTAGATGTTTTTCAATATTTTTGTACGTCTTCGTTTATTCATTTGACTTCCAATGTTATTGTAAAGTCGAATAAAGTCCAAATGTTTGTGTTATTATTATTACATTTACTTGATCACATATTATTATTCTAAGAAACTAAACTTTTAAACACCATCATAACTTTATACCGACACAAATATTTTCTTTTTATCGGTTTTAACTTTTGAACTAGTTTTTTCTAATGCATTCATCTCATATATATAAATATATAAGTACATTTTTTGCGGACTAACCTGTCTTTATAATAGCAATAATTATATACTTATATGGAGGAATAGGTCATGCATTCATTGGACTCTGTCGCAGTGACAGTATAGTTGTTGTTTATAAAGTGTTAGCCAATATCAATTGGAAGTTAGAATTCTTGATAAATATTTTACTCGATTTCAATAGATTGGTGTACTTTTTATTGTATTTCTTCTTCTTCTTCTTCTTCTTTGCCTTTCTTCCACTTATTTGGGGTCGGCCACCCTTGTTCTAAACCTCTACTTGTCTTGATTTTCTATATCCCAGACAATATTCTTTATTGTATTAACTATTTTTATAACTTTTTTTACTAAAATAATATACGATTCTTATCGTCGAATACTTTACTGTATTATTATATTGATTTATATACATTAGAGTTTAGTACGTTTCAATATAATGATTAAATTTTATGTTTTATTTTATTGTGTTTTTGATTCCCTCGCATATAAATACTTACCGAGTCATTTTGATTTATTATAGGTCTTAATTATTTTAATTTATGTCTCAAATTTTTATCACTTGTTGGTCAGATTGTGAAATATATAAAATATAATATATTTATAGTAAAGTTTAGTATCATTTGCAAAACTTATGTAATAATTCATTTTTCATGTATATTTGATTATCACGTTAAAATAATAACTATTGATCGGGGATTTTTGATTAAAAATGTTTTAATGACATATTTATGCGTATGAATTTAATGTATATATTATACGTGTAGGTACCGGTTGAATTTACAACATACATACATGTACATTGGTAAGCAATTTTTCATACGTTTCGTTTGAAAGATTAATTGTCCTAAAAAATAATACACCTGCCTATCATTATAATGAACCGCAAAATAATAACCGCGTACCGCTGAACACTTTAAACGAACCTTGACCAGATAAATTTGAATAATTATGATTTCGATATTAAAAATTTATAGTAACATTGACTTTGGAAAGAAAGAAAAAAATACAAATTATACCAAATTGTATTTAATTTACAGTTGATATACTTCAGTAATCAGTGGGTCACAGCTTAACACTTATTTTCTGGAAATATTTAGCAGTCTAAGAGTTCACGGTTACTGATCGATTATCAAGTGCACGAAAATAACGGCAATTAATTTACAAACAAACCGAATACGTAAAGTATTCAATTATCACTACGAGTTCTGTCCTTGGTGATTTAGCCAACTGAGAAATGCATTATTTGATTCCGGTTTTAGACTGCAGTGTATTGAAATAAATAATTATTGTATGGCAAGATTTATTTATTTTCTCGGTACCCTAATTAATTGTAAGGAAATAAAATTATTCATGAATTCGCCGGCGAGACCTAGCATAAATAAACGCAATGGATACGGGTAGATTGTGTTAACGGACGTTAAAGTAAATATCGATTGCAATACGAGTAAGTAATTACAATATGGAAATAATTGTAACCGAAGATAATCACTCTTTCTTTTACATTAAAATCATAATCATAAATAAGCAATAAATATAATTGTATACGTAAACGATTCTTAAAAATAAAATATATGTGTATAAACAAAATATAATAAAACTATTTTCCAATCATTTGGACGAATATAATTCAAGATAATTTTATCAACAATATTAATTGAAGCACCAACAATAAGAAATATTACTTCTTTAAATACGTAGGTAGGTAATTATAACTATGAATATACAGTTAGCTAAATTATGGGGTTTTTTTGTTAAATGTCCGTGGATATTTACATTTTAAATTAAATACGCTTAAAATGCATCAATTATTTGAAAGAAAGTCATTTGATCACTGCACTTGCTTTGGACCCTTGATCCACTCCGTAAATTTAAAATATTTCTTGACCGGTTGTAAAAATCCATGTTATAAGTACCTAACAAGTTAATTCAGGCTATAGCTATGATCAACAAGCATCACGCCGTAAGTCTGAGAGTTTTGTAAACAAATGTTTTAGTTATTGATAATCAATTATTGCTCATTAATTCCTTTTAATTTACTATTTACTTGTATAATAAGAATATTTCTTAATAAATAGTTATAAGCAACGTATAATATAAATCATTAATAATCGTATACTTCGTAAAAGGCTCATATTTTTTTTAGTTCAAGCACAATAACTTACAATTAATTACACTGATTACAAGTGAACGAATAAGATACCTAACAAAATTAATTATCTTGTGTGTATTTATTAATTGATATGTGTTAAAGTGGATGTATTACATATAATTTTGACTCATTGTACTACAAATTATTATTCATGTATGTAAAAAAGTAGTAAAATAAATAATAATGTAGCAAAACAAGTGTATGAGAACTGAAAAAAAATACTAATCAGTTAACATAGTTCAACTGAAGTGTAGAGAAATACATTTTATACCGAATTTCAACATACTTCATAAATTAAACACAAGAAAGAAAAAAAATACACTACATCATTTTTTCATGTATCAAGATTCTCTCGAATTCAGTATCTATAAATAAAATATTAGGTAAATTTTAAATTATAATTTACAATCATTTTCTTTAAGAAGTTTAACTAGATTATAATGAAAAAAAAATATGAATAGAAACATTTCATTATTCGTCTTTCCCGTTTTCAATTTGATCATAAAATAGCAATTGCTCATAGCAAATCGCATATATATGTTATGACTTTTTATAATTACATAATGCGTAAACATGTAACCATATTACGTGAGTTAGAAGTATAAAATATTATATCCTAGACACTAACTGTAAATGTGTTCTGCTGTAATAAATAAATTATATAGAGTTTTATAAAATATTCAGAGTTGAACATTTCGAAATATTTTCAACTAAAATTATTTTAAATAAATCGATAGAATTTAATGTAGTAAATCATCAAAGTACCAAGTTACAATTTTTAACCTTTTAAAGTTTAAATGTACATATTATATTCGATATTTTTCGTTTGATATGTAAATGCATGTACATTTAACAGAAAATAATTGTTAATTTTTTAGTTGAAAATACCTAGTACATTAAACAATAAACGAATCAGCTTATTGCAAAGAAACTTATACTCGTATACTTCTAATACGTAAATCTTCTTCTCCCTCACTTTTCTCCAAACCATTTAGGATCGGCCACCTTTGTCCTAAATCTCCACTCGTCTCGATTTTCTATATCCCTACGCATACGCCAACAGCCCTCATATCATTCTCGATCGTAATTTTTCAAATAATACGTAAATAATCGTGGCAAATAGTCATAAGACAAACGAAAAAATAATTAAACGATTCCGTTACGTACGACGTAAATGATTAAACAATTTACAATGAGTCATGAATACTTGATTTACACGATGGACTAATAATATTGTTAAAACCTATTTTAAAATGGCGATCACGCGGACGGGATTGACGTGGTGTAATATAGGCTCGTCCAGGATCGTCACCATCCCATGCGTTTCGATTCTTTTTCTACACTTGTGTTTGACACCTGCAGTTTAATGAAATTTTCCTGTAAAACATTTATTTTTATTTTTAACTATCATATAAACGGTATCTATTATCATATTGGTTTTATCTCGTAAACGCGTTGGTGACAAGAAATCGTCTTGGGCGCGCGAGTTAAAAAAAAAAAAAGCCGCGAAAAAACGTACGGATCATCGTGATATTTTTACGTTCGACCGTTGTTTTACGGGGCCAACTAAATTCACCGGCCTGTTTCGATTTAATGACGTTCTCGTTTCAAGATAATTTCAATTAATATTTTTATCGTATGACGTAAGAGCACGGTGTTCGGATTCTTCAACTATTATTTATTTATTTATTTATTTTCCAGTCGAACACCGGAAGACGTTGAAGTACACTGACCGTTCGTTTCGCGCGGCGATAGCGGATCGACACACGCGAGCCCCGCGAAAACAATAACAAATGCGTTGGACGCCGCTTGTAGTAGCGTTCAGCGGATGAACACGAGGAGGCGCACGTGTCACGGCGCGCACACCTATAGCGTTACGACCATGTCGGCGGTCCAGGCCGTTACGGTATTCGCAACGACGACGACGACGACGACGACGACGACGACGACGACGACGGCGACAACGGTACCGGAAACGCGGTAACGGCGGTGACGGTCGCCGCGCTTAGAGTTAGTATCAGGTACCCGCGAGTTGGCGCGCACGCGTAAAAAGGCGGACTCGTTGGGCGAAATGGTACGCGTCCGGCGTCCGGGACCAATGATCGGCACGTGACCCGTGACGACCGTGGTAGACGAGCGACGACCACGACAACGGCGGCGCAACAGGTCACGACGAATCGGTCCGCCAGTGCGCCCGCGGCAGTTTGCAAGATGCGGTCGTCCGCCGCGGTGACGACGACGACGACCAACTCGCCGAAGCCGACCACGACGGTGTTCGCAGCCACCGCGCTGCTGCTCTTGGTCTTCGCGAGACCGACTCAGGCGATCGGACAGCTGCAGGGCCAGTACAACGGCCCGTACCCGGACATATGTCCCAGGTAGGACGTCACGTTTTCACGTTTTTCGTTCCGTCGGGGACCGTGTTCGTTGGACGAATAATACGTTTATCATCCGGCCGCGTGTCGTGTGAAGTGACCACCACGTATTACTACAATCCAGTGGGTCCTTTTGTTCAGTACGGTTCGAGAGAAAATAAATCGCCCGAAAGATCACCGTTTAACGATCGATCGTTAGAATCGGCTAGATCGAAAATTCGCTGTATCGTTGTTTTTAAGTTGTTCGCAACGTTACTATAAATAAATATCTACTGAATTTCATCGGTACGTGATTATTTTTTAAGTCATTCGTGATAAACCGAAAATTAAATTCACTTAGATGCACGTGATTTGCACCTAATTCGTATACGTGTTTATAATACATCAAAACATATTTGTTCGTACATAACGTGTGTGCATCGTGGTGCATGAGCTAAACATCATACCGTAAACGAATGATCAGTGTTATGCCAATAATTATTTCCGAATTTATGGCATTATATTATTATGTTTTATTCTATTTTTTATATAAAAATATGTTTCGATTTAAATAGCATAATATATTCTGTATTGTGTGTTTGACGTACACATATTTTGCACCTACATTTCTTCTAAAATTATAATTTAGACGGAGAATTTTATTTTTAAATTAAATCATCATGTTTGGCATTTAGACATTTAAAATGCATATTTAACATTTTACTACTTGATTGAGAGCAATTATGTATTTCCATTAGTTGTGACTACTTAATTGAAATATTTGTAAACCCAGTTATTGTATTATTACATTATATACATTTAATTATACTGGAGCACCCTAATTACACTTCATAATATTTATTTAAAATGTATACCGAATTAATTTTATTAAATGAGTTACCAATAGTATTATTACGTATTTTTTTTAAATATTAATCTTTTTTTATGACTTTTCTTCTTGAATAAAATAAATCTATTAGAATCTAGAGAAATATAACAATTAATTAGTTTTCCTTCATTTATTACTAATGGTATTAAATTACAGTCTAATATTAAAATTAACTTTCTGTATCGTACAAGTATTATAATTCGATAGTTAAATGTTAATGCGTGTACATTAAATAATACATATAATAAGTATAAATGTTTATAATTTATTATCTTCAAATTAATCATATACGAGTACTACATACTACTATTATTTTATTACTTTCAATTTGTTTATCCTAAGTAATAACAAATAATATTTTACTAAAGTATAGATTTTTCAATTTTACGAAATAACTGTGTTATATGCAAGATCAAATATTACGATTTACTTATTATCGTTAATAATAAAATAAATGATACGTAATTTCTTTTAAAATAAATTTATTTCTTTATTTTTAATATATTATTATATATTCAATCATTTTGACAAATTCTTTTTTTTGTTAGTTTTGTTTGTTAATATTTTGTAATTCTTGGTTAAAATTGAATAAGCAATTGCTTTAACATAGTAATTATTAACTGATCACTATCATAAAGATTATATATTTTTACTTATATAAAATAATTATTATTAATAAATTTAATTATATAAATAATTTATAATTAAGGAAAAAAATAAAATATTTAGTAAGTAGTAAATTTTGTTTTAAACTTAAGGTATAGAATTATTTTTTGATTAATCTAATCCTCGACAAATTTCAATATAACAGTATAGCTAATTTATACCGAATCATTCGATAATATACTAAAACTCTATATTTTAATTTAATATACAATAATAATATTCAATCATTTATTAACTAATTTATAATTATTAATTATTAATTAAAATATTAATTGTTCTAAATAAATTTTGTATTTGAATTGGGCTAATTCCGTATTAAAATAAATAAAAAAAATAATTTTTTTATTTTAATTTTTAATTAAGAGGTGTGTCTATCTTATCTATACATTTTTAAATATTAATAAATTATATTAACTTATAAAATAGATAAATCTAACACTTATTATCATCTTAGTTGTTATTTGACTATAAACAGGCTGGATTTCAAAATTAGAAATATAATGATATAATAATATATCTTTATTTTATAAACTACAATATTTTCATATTTTTTCTATATTTTTTATCTACACGGGAAAAAATTTTAATTTAGAAATTCCAACCAATTTATTCTTATTTTAAATATTATATTTATTTATAAAAACGTTAAAGTACAAATTAAAATAATAAATTATACTAATATTATTATGCTATGTAAATATATATGTATAATATTTTTAAGAATTCATAAAATTGCCGATTTTATGAAATTAACATTATTGTATTTAATTTTATTCATATACATTTAAAACACATAAATTAAGTTTTCGCAAAAGATAATTAATCAAAATATTACTTCAATTAATAGGTTTCTTAAAATTAAATACATTAAATAACTGAGGCCTTGAGATTAATTAATTAAATTTAATTTATGATTGTCTAAAAAATGGAAATGATTGCGAGAATATTGATAAATTATAATTTTGTAACTTATAAGATCATATTTATTCTAATAGATTGAAAATTTTAATTATTATGAAGTTAATATAAATAAAAGAAATAATATGCTTAACGAAATAAGGCTCACCCTCGTTTCAGCAAATAGAGCAGCGATTCTCAAATTTATTCAGTCACAGAGCCTCTTTTTAAGCAGTATTTTATCGTGGACCCCAAAGAAATATTTAATATTAAGTTTTATTTGTCTGTTTTCTATGAAGCATAATACACATGTTATGTAAATAGGTAGGCTCGGATTATCACTATCCTAGGCCCAAGTCCCAAGGCACAGTGATTTTAATGCTAAAACGACCATGCAATCACCAGTATTTAAATGGTGAAAAACTTCTCTGGGAGAGTAAATGTTGAATTTCAATTTTACGCTACCTATTAAAAACAAAAATATTTATAATATAAGGATCAAAACTTTTTCAAATACCATAAAAAAAACATTAATTTCACCATTTTGCATATTTCTGTAATCCTCGTAATAAAGTATAAAATAAAAAAAAAACTGTAACCAACAAAAATAAATAAATAATAATCGTGTAGTATATTATGTAAATATAACTTCGTATTTATAAAACTCTTTTTATTTGCAAAAAATTCAATTACTTTTTCAATATCAATTTCTTGGATCAATTCATGTTCAATTGCAACTACCGGTAATGAAAATAAATAATGATAATAAAATAATAATTTATTTTGTCCAATAGTGATATATGAATCACGATAACGAAAACATTGAGAAAACAGTATACGGGTAATATAATTATTTCTGGCTGTAAATTATTATACATAATATTTTACTTGATTAAACGTGTACAGTAGTGCCGGTTGTATATATAAAATTATAATAATAATAAAAAAATAAATAAAAAATATTATAAAAAAAACCATAGCTACATATTTTCATAATCCCAAAATATTCATAGGCCCTAAGTGCCTATAGTGGCTATGCGCTAATATGGCCATGTGTATATGAGGAAACTCAAAATGATATAATGCATATTTAATATTACATTTAAATAAAATATACCTGGCTGAATAATACCAGGAATGGGAATGTGTATTATCTAAAATTAAACAACTATATTTTTTTTATCGGGATTTTAATATTGTATGTACACTTCCATAGGTAAATTATATATGCTTTGACAGAGTCATCTTAAAATATATATATTTGTCGTTGTAAATAACGATTAATAATTGTTATATTTTTTAATTTTTTTATTATAAAACGAACGGAGCCCTTGAGAAAAAATTGTGGAGCACAGTTTGAGAGACGCTAAAATAGAGGATATACATCAATACATATATCATACAATAAAAAATATACTTTCATCGAAGCTACTTTCAAAAGAAACCAGACCGAAGCTGTGTATAGCCTATCTACACTCTATTTTTATGTATACATGCGATACCTGAACAATAACGAAAGACAATGACAACAATTTTTAATATTCGAAAGAAAAATCTTAAAGAAAATATACCTATGGTCCTACAATAAACTAGGAATCAGTAAATTACGAAAAGAGAAAAAATAAGAGATCGAAAAAATTTTCAATTTACCACATATAAAATAATATCTGGAAGCTAAAAGGCTAGGTTCGGCAGGCTCTGCATGATGGATAAAGAAAAAACTAATGTAATGTAATAATATAATTAAAATATAATAACATAATTTTTAATGGTTCTAAATGGAAAGAGACAGACTCTATCAACGTTGGTTTAATAGAGAATTTAGAAAAACCTAAGAACTACAAGAATTAACAAGAAAGATGCCGATGACCAAGGAGGTTGTAAAAAACTTGTGGAAGTGGCAAAAAGTCTTAAAAAGTCTTAATGGCTTGTAAGCGTAAAAAAATAAAAACCGTAAAAATAAATAATTTGATTGAACATTTTTTATTTTTCTAAATTGAAGACCAGATATGTTACGTATAAAATAATATTGATGTCATAAAAAAATTTGGAAATTCTCGATCAATCTTGATTGTTTATTTTGTTGTGTAAGCCATAGATATTTTAACAGACTTGGGTAGTATTCCGAATACAATATTCGGATTACTGTATTCAGAATACTTTTTTAATACATTTTTTGAAAATATTCAATTAAATATTTTGAATAATTATAACGAGTATTCTGAATATTGTATTTCGAATACCGTCAAATCATCTCTTTTTAAATAATTTTATTAATTCTCCATCGTATCTTGTATAAGCTAATATCAGGTATTTATTATTGTTGTAAATCATAAACTATAACAGTTATGTAACATAAAAATACAATAAAATAACATATATTTAGTCTACAATGTCAAATATTTCTGTTGAGCGGACATCTATTATTTTTATAGTATGAAAAATAGAAGTATTTTAAAAGTATTCGGAATACTATTTTTTGGAAGTATTCGAGTATTTACCCTAAATACTTTTAAAAAGTATTTTACCCAAGTCTGTATTTGAATAATTTGATACATCTACATAATACCTAAATAAAATATATTAATAAATTATGTTAACTTGATACCGAATTTCACAATTAATATATTTATAATTTACTTTATGAAATTTAACACACCATAATTATTTTAGTTGTTCACATACTAAAAAATATATTTTGTATAGACAGATTTAAATTAAGAAATTATGGAAAATTAATATTAATTATTAATTATTTTATAGACTATGTAAAATTCAATTTTATTAGAAAGCTTTAAATATGGTTGATTATATGTATAAATTATAAAATATTTAAATTTATTTAATAAATTATAATTACAATAATAGTATGTTTTACAGTGATATTTATTGTCATGGTGAACTTTTGGACGATGTACAAATGCAACAATTGTATCCAGATTCAAAAACATTCGTGGATAAAAAATTACGCCGAAGCGAAGCAGAAATTGTAAAAGCGTACAGGGAATTAAAACTCCGAAATAACGGTCGTGTCCCAACACGAGCTGTACTTTCCAAGTTTGTTAATGACAATTTTAATGACGACCCATTGGTCGAGTGGGTACCACCAGATTTTGTTAATAATCCCTCGATTGCTTCTTTTGTCCAGGATCAAAATTATAAGTAATGCTAAGTCATACTTCTTTTATTTATAATTACATATTATTTTTAATTTACAATCATTGTGTAGAAAATTACATATTTTTATTTGTATAATGTGATTTTAAAGGAATTGGATTTTACAATTAAATCAAATTTGGAAAAAATTGTCCCGAAAGGTGGACGAAGATGTCAAAATAAACCCCGATCGGCATTCATCCATTTACTTACCGAACGGATTTTTCATAGCTGGTGGAAGGTTTACCGAACTTTATTATTGGGATTCGTATTGGATCATAAGAGGTGAAAAATTCAACCAAACAAAAGACATCATAATGAATCAGCAATGAATCATTTAAAATATTTGTTCGTAGGAGCAATACTGTGTGACATGAAAGATTCTGCCAGAGGAATCATTCAAAATTTCCTGTATTTAGTGCACCGTTTTGGATATGTACCAAACGGAAGTAGAATTTACTATTTAATGAGATCTCAGCCTCCACTTCTAATCCAAATGGCCGCATCTTATTATACATATACAGATGATTTGGATTTTATTAAAAAAAATATTCAAGTAAATAACGTTTCAGTTTACATTTTTGTTTCGTATGATTTATATTTTATAATATGAATCCAATCCTAATTAAATTGAACTCAATCATCATTTCACTTGATTCACTAACTGATAAATGATAATGATATTTAATTTTACTCAATTGCAATTCAATAAATATGCATTAAAGGAAATTGACGTTGACACTAATCCGTACATTAAAATGATTTTTTGGTAATACTTTAATATACTTCTATAAAACATAATTTTTTTATTTATTTGTATGAAAAATTATATTTTATTGTATTCAAAATAGTATTTTAATTATCAACGAATAATTAACTCTTACCGTCATTTTTTTTAAAATTAATTTATTTTTAAATTTTTAAAACTTCTTATTAATTTATTTTGTAAAGTCTTATTTGGCTGTGACCTAATAAAATTTAAAAAATTTAGTAATTTAAAATGTAAATGTGTTTTTTTTAACCAGTAAATTATACTTAATAATTCTTACTAAATTTTTTCATGGTTTCAAAATTAAAATTATCATAATCAATGCAATTAATACAAATCTAAACATACTCTCATATGATACCTATCAATTATTTTAAATAAAATTCCTATTTTTTATTACTATCCTGTAACTTAAAGAATAGTTGTGTTTGAATTTTACAATAATTAAGAAATATTAACTTAAAAGTTAATTTTATAACTTATTAGTATTTGGAAGCGGAATTCAATTTTTGGATGACAAACCGAACAATAAAGGTTGAAAAAGCAGGTAATACTTATGTAATGGGGCAGTATAATACGCATACCAGAGAACCACGCCCTGAATCGTATTAGTGAGTTTATACGTTTTTTTTTTGACTGAATTATTTTTTATTTTCACTATATTTTATGAATGTTTTTTGTAGCCAAGATAAGACATTGGCAATGCCTTTTCCAAGTGAAGATGATAAAAATGAATTGTATTCCAGATTAAAAGCTGCTGCAGAAACTGGTTGGGATTTTTCTACCAAACATTATAACAATTTTGGAAAAAATACTGGTAATATTTGTATTTATTATAATAAGTACCTAATTATTATTTGATTCTAAAGATTTTTAACTATTTAACATTTATTTTTACAGGTGATTTGTCTAATACTGATCCTCAGAATTTTATTTACGTAGAATTAAATGCTATATTACAGGCCAATGCAGTAGTTCTTGCTCAAATGTTTAAACTGTTGGGTAACCCAGATAAATTCAAACACTACAATGACATTGGTCACCGTTTCCAAGTAGGAATAAATGCTGTGAGTGAAATATTTAATAATAAATGAGATATATAAGATACTTCAATACTATATTTAAGTAAATTTTTATTTTATGTGTTCATTTAGCTGTTGTGGAACGAAGAAGAAGGGATTTGGTTAGATTATGATCTAACTACTAAATCAAGTCGTAAATATTTCTATACATCTAATTTTGCACCATTGTGGACAGGTAGTTACGAGAGAAAACTTAGAACATATTACGGTAAACGAGCATTGGATTACTTGATTGTTAATGGTGTTATCAATCAAGATGGAACACCGAAACTAATTTGTAAGTCTAACATTCGTATATGTTTTCTTCAAAATTATATTGTTGTATAGAAATTTTAAAATTTGTTTAAAAAAGTAGGTATATTAAATAATATTTAAAAAATATGATCTATACAATGTTTAATCATGTACATTTAATGAGATAAATTGATAGTCCCGACGTACACATAAATTACTATTTTTTTCATAACCGTTAATAAAAATAATATAATAGCTTTATCAGTAGTTTGTATAATATCAATATCGACTGCCGTTACAAATAATTTGGGATACATGAATGTACCAATTTTGCCAGTACAATACGCCTCACCAAAAGTATCATGATATTGTTATTATAAGGGTTAGGATTTGTATGCAATACCATGTTTTTTTTGCGACTTATAATTATTGATTTTGTCAGTAATGTCCACTAATCATCTCATGATGATATAAATAGTGGTGTTTTCATTATGCATGTTTTTGCATATTTTTGATAAAATGTATATTACCTATTGCATATATTGAATAAAATTAATATTATTGCATATTTCGATTATAAAAATGCGAAAAATTAATGTTTTATAGTATATTTCGTAATTAATATTTATAATTTAATATTAATATTTCGTATTTAATTCTATCCTTGCTGATTAAAGTACAAAACTTAGTTTTTTGTAAAACATACATTTTATTTTAGTTTTTAATTATATTAAGACAAACAGCTAACTACTGATGTATTTCAATAAATAAATATTTTTTTAATAACTTATTATTATCATAATTATTTTAAATGAACATGAACTCATTTGTATGTATATAATATTATATATTATATATATTATATTTTACATTATTATTGTTATTATTATTATATTTAGTTGATAATTTATTAAGTATGATTTCATATACATCCTTTTTTTATATTAGATTTAATTAATATAAATCCAATATAATTCCTTATGTTTCAACTGTCAATTTACTCATAGGTGTACCTACATCGAATGTTAATTCTTCTCAACAATGGGACTATCCGAATTGTTGGCCTCCGCTTCAAGCCATGGTCATACAAGGATTAGATCGTACGAATTACAAACCTGCCCAAACCGTAGCTATAAATTTAGCCAAATCATGGATTAATACTAATTACGTTGGATTCATTACCAGTGGTACAATGTTTGAAAAGGTAATTTTTAATGAATTAATTTTATTCTATCAATACCAATAATATACAATCATAATTAAAAATTTGAAACATTATGTATATCTAATATATCTATAAAAAATCGACGATTATTTTATTAATTTTATAAAATTTTAACTTTTGTCTAAACTTACAGTATAGTGCTCTTGAAGTTGGTACAACAGGAGGAGGTGGTGAATACACACCACAAACTGGATTCGGGTGGACAAACGGAATTGTATTCGAACTATTCCGAAGATGGGGACACATATTTCGATCAACATGAATATAATGAAAACCTATTGATTTTGTAAACAAAATTTGTTTACATAAACTTACTATTTTTGTATTTTTTTCTTTTTAATATTCTAACGTTTACAAAAAAAAAACGACACATTATGTGAGCATGTATTTAATATTTAAATGCTCATTTATAATAATGTAAAAAGTTTCTTAAGTGTATGTATATACTTATTAATACTTATATGATTGTTAAATATACATAGAAGTTTTTTTTCATAAAATCTTAACTAATTGATACTTAAACTAAAGTTTTTTTTAAGAATATCTAATCCATCAACAATAAGGTATAATAATATATATTTTTATTATTACATTACATCATAATTAGCCAGGCAATATTTTATGATCTTCTTTGTAACTTTTTTTTACAAATATAAATATTCGTATGTATGTGTTATTAAATAATATATTATTTGTTTTTCCTATAGTTTTTCGTGGAAAATCATAAATCTATAGTATGACTATTTATATAATTATATGACTGAATTTTCATTTAAATATTAAAAAAAAGTTATACATTTTTTAATAGCATATTAATTTTAGATGGTTAAAATTTATAACCTAGTAAATCATTATTTATTATAGCCGGAATTTAAGAAAAATTAATTAGATTTTATAATTAATTAATGATATTTGAATACATTGTAAATACTATAAGTTTATCAAGATAAATTTAAATTAAATAATATTTTGTATATTTATATTTTACACATAATCTGTATTCTGCACATTTTACATTTACAAAAAGCAATGATGGCGAACTAAAATTTAATTGGGGAGAAGGGGCAAAAATTATTTCTTCCTACCCCCACCTAACACCATAGAATATATATAGTAGTTAATATATAAATAGTTTTTTTGGGTAACCTCCAAAAAAAGGAGAGGGTGGTTACCCCTTATGGGTTATAAGTTCGGCGCCACTGACAATAAGTCTATATGATAATTTGTGTATATAATTTATAAAAAATATACTTATTGAAATATTGAATATATTTAGAATCAATTTTTCCAAAAATGTTTGTATTTCCTTCAGACTTAAAAATATTTATAGTATGGTTATATCAGTTGTTTTATTTTATACTTATCTAAGGTATTAATAAAATTGAAGTACCTTTATATTATTTAAAAACTTCTTAAAAAAAAAAAAATATATTTTAATTTATAGTTTCAATTTTTTGTTATATATAAAATTTAAAAAATGTATCTAATTTTTATCTAGATATAAATTATTTTTATTTATCTATATCCATATAGATTAAATTTTTGCCCAATCTGTCATTATCAAGATAATTTAAATTCCATTTATCTTATTGTATATATTCTTTTTTTTATCTGAGTACAACATTGGTAAGGAACATTTTTAACTATTTTAAGTATCATATTTTTATTACTAATTTAATACAATAATAAGTTTTGTATAATATAATATAACTAGTCCCCATTTGGCATTTGTGACATTATCTGGTTCGCTTACTCCGTTTTGAAATATTCGCCAATCGTGAACTATAGTGTATTGTACACACTCAAATTATTTGTGTTTCTAAGGTTCACTTGTGTAAGGCATAATAAATATTACACTTGTTTAATGATAATAATTAATTATTCTTAACCTAACCTTTTGCATACGATTGCGGGAAACAATTTATAGGTAATCTGCGCGTGTTAACTACAGTTTTCAGTCGCGGCTTGTTTGTGATTGGTTTATAATCGTCCGGGTATACCAATCATTTTTAATTTCCGTAAATTTTTGAAGTATTATTCTATAGGTATGAGTTTACGTTACATTGAAACTACAAGCACGTATTTTAGAGCATAAATCATAAATTAATCCTAGTAAGTATAGGGTATCTGTTTACTAGAGACTAGTTCCATAATATATGTACGAGTACGCACAATTTCAGTTGCAATTAAACCCTGTTAATTTTTATTATTATTTATTCTTAACAAAGTTGAGTCGACAACCTTTGTGCACATATTAACTCGGTGCTCACGAATGGCGTTCCAAAATTCCTTTTCCACATGAAATGCGGGGAGTTTGTCATTTGCATCACTGCTGGTAGTAAAAATTATTGTTTGTGATTTGCACCATAATAACAGTATGTAATTCGCATCATAATGAGTATCTTTTTGTTCGATTATTGAATATTTGATATTATAATACTCGATTATTCCTCGGTATCCTCGTCGACGTCAAGACCTAGATATACTCGAATGACAATAATAATTTTTCGGGATCTTTCGCCTTATCTGGTAATATTTTAATAATATTAGGACATTTGACGTCTAATTATCGGTCGTATTCACGTCATATGTATATATATTTATATAATGTATATCAGTTAATTATTTCGATCGAACACTAAGCTAACCGTTTAGCCTTTCCTTTCATGGTAATATGTACCTAAGTTTACTTTATTTCAATTAAAAATTATTATTTCCAGATTATTCAATTCTGTTTTATCCACTTTTTATATCTCAATATATAGAAACTTGTACGTTGGTACTATCGAGAAACTATCGAAAAAATAATAGATTTTACATTTGGTGCAAATTACAATTCCTATTTCTTACTACCTGAGGGTGGTGCGAATTACATATCCTTATTTTGGAGCAAATTACAATCGCATTTCAAAGCATTTCAAACATTTTGTTGCAAATTGACTAATGCCTATTGCGTCCCGGGGTTTCTAAATGACTACATAAATCGCGCTCCAGCGATATTTAACGACTTCACGAATTGTGTTATAACGATATTTAACCACAACACGAATTGCATCCTAAATCATTTAATGGTATATATATATATTGTAATAACATAGTGTAGTAACAATAGTAACATAATTATAAATATATTTCAGTACTGTAAAAATTATGATTATGTGGCCATCAATATATAGAGTTATACGTTAAGTCACATTTTTAATTGTTTTCAATCGCAGTAAACCAAAACTTCATTGCTTGGAAAAAGTGATTTTTTTTTTTAATCTGTTATTTGCTTGTTTTAAATGTTTAAAGAAGAATCCGTTTTTCTGAACTAACATGAAATTTATCAGTGAATTAACGCTCTTAAAATAGAACTTTTGTGCCATGACTGCCGACCAGAAACAATATTCATAATATACAACCAATTAAATTATTCTATTAATAGTGAAATAAATGTAATATTGTATTAAATGTTCATAAGATTCCTCATAAGTCAGATTTCAACGTAAAAATATCGAAAATGCACAGGCTCGACTTTTGTTTTAGAAGCATTTCAATATTCACACGTGAACCAAACTCAATCGGAATCACGAAAATCTGAATTTTTTTTTGCAATTCCGTGTTCGATTTAGGTATGAAAAATGAGCACAATATTCGTTTTTATTCAGTGCTCGACTTGACAAAATTAAAGAAGGGAGACTCTGTTTACTTCAAAAAAAGCATCCCCTAAACTTGTTAAGCATTATAATTATAACGTAATAATAGTAGGGGGACGTTAACATTTTTGAAAATTAGTTGGGGTAATCCGTCCCTCTGCTTCCCCCTTCAAGTTGAGCACTGCTTTTATATAAAAGAGGCTGGTTTTATTATTTTGATAATATGCTGTTCATTTATCATACTTTTTACTTAATTATTTTGTCATTATTGAGTTATCAAAATTATATTCTAGTGGTTTCTATAATATAAATAAAAATATATCAGCTTTATTAGTCATCCTACATCCGTTCTTATATCTCACCCGACCTTTAAATCTCTATCCTTTTTGTTATTTTGCTTCGTGAAATAAATCTGATAATTACTTACGGCTTATGGCTATTGTAAATATAATAGTTTTGGTCAGTATGATTCGATTATTGTAATTAGAATTTCCAGGATCCTTAATAACATGCGAGATAAAAACGATTATCGATATAGCCATCCAATTGAAACATAATTTATTTCTGCGTATACATTATAATGATGGTTATAATATACATTGCTATCTTCATTTACAAGAACTACATGTTTAATGATGACGCACGCCCATAATTATTAAATATCATTAAGGTACACAAAGAGAATTTTGATAATAAATGGTTATATACTTAAAAAGCGAATCTTTAAACAATTTTAATATAAATATAATATGCGCCTGGTTATTAATTCAAATACAAAAGTACTGATTTCTAATCATAAATAATTTAGCACGATGTGAGTATTATATCTACTCGAAGACATTGAATAAGCTCATTAATATAGAAATTATGAAATAATTAGTTTTAAGAAATAAAAATTAAATATTGATCGTTTTTAAAATCATATTTACTTATTAAACGCTTGGAAACGTCGATTACTCGACGAAATAAATATCTTCTATCACGTGTTCGTGTTAAGACCACCAATCTATGGATCATTTAAGGAAACGTGTTTATTACTCATTTCTATATTATAATTTGATATTAAATACTTCCTTAACGAAGTCGTTTGGTAAAATTGTATATATTAATATCGGTAGTGTTATAAAAAAAAAAGCATGAGTCACAGAGGATCGGGTGACTAATATAAGCGAATTGTATTACAGTTGTCAATCAACGGGGCTTTCGATTATACACGCTATATGATTGCATAATTTATAGATTTTTCGCATTTAATTTTATTGAACTTTAAATTTTTTGTACATGCTAATAAAATTTTGACAGACGCGTTTATCCCGAGATAATATATATAAGTATGGTGTGTGTAGATTTTTATTATAAATAATATATTTAAACTAATATTTTTTTTTTCGTTTTAATAGGGTAAAATATTCAAAATGTTCACATCTAGTGACAATTCTGTGAACAATTATCTAAAATGTTAAAGACTTGTACAAATATTTGTCAGTCCGAAACCAATATAAAAATTGTTTGTATATTATTCCACGGAACACTCGAACAAGTTATAATGGCTTGAAATAGTTAGTACATACAATTATAATATTTTCCGGTTTTCGTTCCTAATCATTGTCATTTTCAAACGTTTACAAATAACATGACTAATATATTCGTTCCGCTGTGACATACGCAGGGTTCAAAGTATATTCTACCATGAATGTATGAATTCCCAAGAACACTATAGGTACTGGCCCAGCAGCGAATCAACGAAAGACCACATTAGAATTGAGTTTTTTTTTCCGTTCATGCTTTATATAATATAATATTGTTATACGATTGCTAGAAACATACTTTTATTTTATTCCTAAACATATATGTAAATACTTACCGATTTACTAATATAATATATATATAATAGTTAATACTTTTATTTAGAATGATTCATTTTTAGTTTGAACTTTGAACATAAAAATTAATTCTTTTGAACGATTTTCTCTATTATTTTGTGTTTTTGTATATTTAAGTGTATTAATTATTTAAATTTCAGATAAAAAGATTAAATTTATCAAAATATAAATATATTCGACATTTCAATCATTCCATAACACCTTCTAATTATAATTTAGAATGTTTACACTAAATAAACCAGACGTTCTGTATTTGGTTTATGTTTGTACTACCTATTTAGTATAGTTAATAACAAATATCGATTTTATTTAAAGACAACTGAGTAAATATATGATATGTCAATATGAATTCAATAAATGTATATAAGGTTCAAAATTGTATTTAAATAATTTACATTCATAATTAATAATAAATAAACTATTTTAAATATACATGGTTTATATAAGTAACATTCACAGCAATTTACTTTAATATTGTTACTGATACAAAGTTTTTATTCAAATCGTATACTTAGCGCCAATTAAAAATTAAAAATGTACTGTATAATAACCAGTCTGTTTTTAAGCACTCAGCTTTTACGAAGCTCTTCTCAAACTTCTAATAGTGAAATTTGTTCAAGGTATGAAAATGTGCTAAATTTTAATTTAAACTTGTATATCTTTTTACTATTAAATAATATTAATTTAAATGACATTGTAGCTTGAAAATTGTTATACTGTAGCTAAATACTAATTTAAAATGTTCATGAATATATACAATTTCTAAAAATAATACATCTACCTTTATCGTGTAGCTATTTGCTATTTAGCTATATTCATATTTGTAGGAGTAGATTAAACATTATAAAACAATCCAAAATTCGACAAATATATAATGTAGTGTTACTATCTATTTAACCTCGTATGAGATTATAGTTATACATGGAGTTTTTAAATCGATGCTAAAAATATTAATATACTGTTAGCAAAATTGAAGATTCTTATTTATTACGGGAAAATATGTTAGTAGAGAATATAATTATTATTTTCTTATAATAATCACTTTAAGTAATTAAGTAATTATCAATAGTTATTATCAATATTTATTTAAATTACTTAGATATCGTGATTTGGTGATTTACCATATAATTTTGATAATTAACTCAAATATTCTTACGATATCGTACATTTTGGAACAGTATATATGTTTATTTTAAATTTAAATTTATTAGGTATTCTTTGAAGTATATTGTAAAATTGATAGGTAAAATAAATTAAACAATAAAACGAACAATTTAGTAACCGAAAAACCTTGCGAATAAATGCTACTTAAATAATTATCTTCATTCGTAATACATTCAGTGCTATATTCCTTAAGAACGCTGGAATTTTTTTTAACGTATATCTAGAGTAAGATTTAAAGAAATTAAATTTTTAAAAAAAATTATCCTTCTTTTTTTTTCTTGAAACTTGTTCTGGTAAGATAACATCTAACAGATTTTTTAAACCTTAAATGTATTTCTTATTTTTTGCAACAGTATTAGTAAAAAATAATGAGGGTCAAGTTCATATCGAAATGTTTACTTAGTCTTAAAATAATTGATGGCAGTGGCGTGTCGAACTCAAAAAATTTTAGAGGCAAGTATATTTTGTTGACACCCACCCACTCCTCAAAAAATTGTGAGGCGGCCGTCTCTCGATTACCTACATCGTCACGCCACTGATTGATGGCATATTAACATCAAGTTGCATACAGTTCTTAGAGCATTCTCGTTTTCATCTATAAAATATATAAAATAATTTAACAAATATTATTATCATTGATTAATGATAACACTTTTTAGGCTTTTTGGTAAAAAAAAGACGATGAAAGCCGTGTTTTTTTACAGTGAATGCTTCCTCTAAAATATTTAATCGAAAAACTCAATCCATAAAAGGTAATACGATCATCGTAAAACTTTCTTTCCTCTCTGAAATGGTAAGATCTCTAATGGCGAACTCACGCCTTAAATGACAAAATACGATAGCGGCATTCTGATACGTGTGGTGCTAATTTAGTGTAACGAACAATGTCGGATCTAAATCTAAGAAAGCCACCCCGGCAAATATTAATTGGAGGCTTCTTAAAAAAAAATTTACTCAATATGTATATATATATGCTTATAATTAATTTGATTTAAAAGCAACAGAATAAAATAAAAAAATATTCGAAGCCCGAAAAGGCAAAAAAAATAACAAAACATACGGTTTTAAATTTTAAATTTTGGTTTTAGAGACCCCTTAAAACTTGAGGCTTTGCATCCCCTGAACCCCCGCTAAATTTGATACTGGTAGCCAACTTTAATAATCAATCAGTCCACCCGCATCGGAAGCCATAGTGAGAGTAAACAACCGTATTGTTATTAAAATTGTCCTGTTCATTTCCGAAAATAAGTATCACACATTTCTTTTTTATTTTATTTACTATATTTTTTGAATTTCGATTAATTATTCTAGAACTAAATCAGAACCAATTAAGTGTACCGTGGAAACATATATACTCAGTGCTCGACTTGAAAGGAGACGCAGGGGGACGGAGTATCACCAGAAATTTTAGCATCCCCTACTATTATTACGTTATAATTATAACGTTTAACAAGTTTTAGGAACACTTTTTTTAAAGTATACGGAGTCCCCCTTCTTTAATTTTACCATGTTGAGCACTTACTTATTATACATGTTCAGTATAGATAGATATGATACATTTTTTTCTAATCTCATAAAAATAAAATAACGATGTGTAAACATGAAATTTTAGATTTGAAATTAATATGAAACATTATATAACACGTATAGTAGACTTAAACTGATACTAAAGTGTACACTAAACTTTTAGGTATACAATTTGTATTCTATTTTTAAATTGAATGAATCCCTATTCAATTTCATAAAATTGTTCATAATTAACAAAAATACAATTAGGTAATAGTATGTATATTTCAAAAAAAAATTACATTAATTATCAGTTATAGTTTGAAATATAAATAACACGAATCAGTATAATAAATATATAACATATGTAAGAATTGTTTTGTTTATATTAATAGTAATATATATTGTCGAGGGGAACTTCTGAATGATGTGCAAATGCAAAAAATCTATCCAGATTCTAAGACGTTCGTCGACAAAAAGTTACTTCGTAGCGAGGAAGAAATCCTGGAAGCATATAGAAAGTTGAAAATTCAAAATAACGAAACTCTGAATAATGATGTACTTGCCCAGTTTATCGAAGAGAACTTTGTCGACGATCCTTTGGCCGAATGGTTACCACCAGACTTTGTCGATAAACCTTCGATCGTCAATTTTGTACACGACAATAAATATAGGTATTGATGATTAACCTACCATCACTATATTAAATATACGTTAAACCGTATTAACTAACTAAACTAAATACGGTATGTATATAAGTAATACATGTATGTGCGTAGTAAATATAATACGAGATTCAGTAGGCAATATTAATATTATTATACTTGTAGAAAATTTTAACCTAGCCTAGAAACGTATATTTTTATACATATGTGTGTGAATGTAATGTGTTTGCTTTCGTTTTGAAGACAGTGGATCTTGGAACTCAATAAAATTTGGAAAGTTTTGGCCCGGAGAATGGACGAAGACGTCAAAACAAACCCCGATCGACATTCGTCCATTTACTTGCCCAACGGATTCTTCATAGCCGGTGGAAGATTTGCCGAACTTTATTATTGGGATACATATTGGATCATAAAAGGTGATCAATTTTATGGCTCCAAAAAAATTACCGTACTAACATATGATACTTAAATATAATCTTATAATGATAGGGGCATTACTGTGTGACATGGTAGATACTGCAAAAGGTATCATAGAAAATTTCATCTGTTTAGTATGCCGTTATGGTTATGTACCTAATGGTAACAGAATTTACTATTTGTTGAGATCTCAGCCCCCGCTCCTGAGCTTTATGGCAAAGACGTATTATACGTACACGGACGATTTCGATTTTATTAAAGAAAATATTAAGGTAAATTGCATTTATAATTGCACGTACTCGTATTATGTGAACTAAATTCTGTGATTTTAGTTTTTATTTAGTATAGTTTATGGTTTAGTATGGTTTATTACACGATTTACTCGTAAATTAATGCTACTGATTTTTAGTTTTATTTAATTAATTGTAATTTTAAGACAATTACCTACGTCCAAAAAAATACTTTTGTAGTTTCGTCAATACCTATACAATTAATTTTTAAAGATCTGTTTTCATTATATCATAGTCAATGAATAATATTATTGTAAATAAAAATTGTTTGGCATTTTTAAATATTAAATAAGCGAATATTTTACTACATGTCAATAAAAAAAACTATAGATACATTGAATATGATTCTAAATATTATTTTCCAATAATTAATCATTAATATACAAATATTTCAATATGATTTAATAGAAACATTTTTATTTTCTTATATCTGACTTAAATTATAATTTTATACAAAATTATGTAATTTAAATGTATACAAATAAGTGATTTCTTTTCATTCATTTTTAAATTTCATGTTACCTCTATTTCATTTAAATTAGTTATTTAATAATACTTGTATATATAGGATTCACCTTTTATAATTCAAATAAAAGAAAAGATTATTAGTAATGTTTTAATGTAACTATGTCACAATGCAACATAATAAAATTATTTCATATAAGTACTATATTTAGTTTAATAATACATTTTACAAATAATTACATTTTTGAAAAATATACATCAGAGATTATATATTTACAAATTATTAGCATCTAGAAACAGAATTAAATTTCTGGTTGACAAACCGAACAATAAATGTAAAAAAACACGGTAATGTCTATACTATGGCACAATATAATCCACGTACAGAAGAACCACGTCCTGAATCGTACTAGTGAGTGCATTATTTCTTAAATTATATAATTGATATTGAATATGACACATAAGATGATTATTTTACAGCGAAGATAAGATCTTAGCTATGACCCTTCCTAATGAAGACGATAAAAATAAATTATATAGACACCTAAGAGGAGCTGCTGAATCTGGTTGGGATTTTTCTTCTAAACATTTTGATAATGGCGGCAAAAACACAGGTACATTTATTTTAAGTAAACGCAATACATACAAATAATACATAATTATATTCATGTCAAAATTAAATAAAGTGGCTAAATAATTTTTGTCAATAGATTTCTACAGCAAATTTTACAGTTTTTGAGTAGAGTTTATTTTAAATAATTGGGAGATTTATAAAATTACAAGCTTAAGTTAACCAAGTACAATTTTTTGTATCAATATCAAAATATGATGCACATATAGTATTTTTTTTATTGCAATCGCTATTAATAAGAATAAAAAAATGCCTTTAAATACATTACAAGTATACATTTAGACATATTCAAGTCGAAATATTATAAGCTAAAAATAAAATTCAAAATGAGATCCATAAATCGGATACCTATGTAAAAAAAGTTTGGACTACGTATGCCTACGTTCTTTTAAAATAAGAAATTGCTCTGTTTATTTTTTTATTGTTTATTTGTTTAAATATATCAAGTATGATTAATTATACTCATATACATTAGACTAAATTATTTTATTAAATACAATTACTTTATTTTACATAACTATTTACATATCTTTTGTACAAACTGATAGTCTTTAAAAATCGCTTTGTACAGGTGGCTTGATAAAAACAAATCCTGAAAATTTTATCTACGTGGAACTAAATTCCATTATACAAGCAACCGCTGATTTTATCGGAGAAATGTATGAGCGACTGGGCGACGGGGTTAAATCCAAATACTACTACGACATCGGTAAACGTTTCCTGGTCGGAATAAACGCTGTCAGTGATATATTTTACGAAACATCTATCAAGTGTACATAGAGTGTATACTATATAAATAAATATATTTACGTGTAATTATATTTTATGTGGACATTTAGCTGTTGTGGAACCCAGAAGAAAAAATTTGGTTAGACTATGACCTGACCACTGAATCGAGTCGTAATTACTTCTATCCATCTAATCTCGCACCACTGTGGACCGGTAGTTACGACAGAAGGTTTAAAAAGTACTACGGTAGAATGGCGTTCAAATATTTGGTCAAACACGATATTTTCAACTCGGACGGAACTACAAAACTGATTTGTATGTACTTATTCAATTTTATATTGATACAACGTATTGTCATTTTGAAGTATTTTTTACGTAAACATATTTTCACCAATCAAGCCGGTTACATACTTATTATTGTTTATTTTTTAAGTCACATCTTCTCAGTTAAATTAATTTTTAGTATATTAATGATTTATAATAATAGTATGATAGCTTTTATTTCTTTACAGTCGTTAAAATCGTTCTAAGCTATAATATTACACTTTATTTTGAAGAATATACCGTTCATGTTCCTATACAATGCACCCAAATAAGAATTTAATGAAGTTACTATATTTATCACAGTTTTTTTTTTTATTATTATTATTAATTTATTAATACAATCGGTAATAATATATTTTTACACTGAGCATATTTGAGGTGAAAATTGTGATCGGAATGTAGTCTTGATTGAAGAATCCATCCAGCAATATAACTTCATGACGGAGGACAATTATTAATCGTTTAAAAGGTCGCAGCACCATTTACGTTTATAATGTTTGATATCACCTGCGATGTTGAGAACATGTATAAGTTATAATCATTAAGATTGTGGTGTTTGGATATATTTGAGTGGAAGAGTTTATAGAGAATTTTAACTACTTTTTTTACTGTTGGAATGGATACGTCAATATGGAGTATATTATTTGAGACAAAGAATAGAACTTTTGTAATTTAATGAAGGCATTTAGATTATTACGTTTGAATTGTATTAATATTCGGAGTCTTGGCTAAGCCTCCGAGCTCTATACCATATCATTATATTTGTTTCAAGACGAGTTTATAAATGAAAATTGTATTGTCTACTCTGATGTGTTTGGAATTTAAGAGGAGTCGCTGTCGACATCCCGATCAGGATCGGTTGCTGAGAGTGATTCACTTGACATGGACATGGTGAGCACATTTCAGTCGTCGGTCCAAATGGAAACCTAGATAGCAATTTATTGTTTGACTAGGGTGGATAAATTGAGAATGGTTTGAATGGTTGAGGAGATTTTTTGTCATAGTGTCAAAATACAATAAATTGATTTTGATTTGTCTATTTCCCCATTCCTTGTACCAGGTTTATAATATGTTTATGTGTGATTAAATAAAATTGGTTACTGTTTCGGGTTTTGAACGAAGGGCCAAGACAACTGATATGTTATATCGTTCGTATATTAACGCTCATAATTTTTATTGCAGGTATACCAACATCGACAGTTAACACTACCCAACAGTGGGATTACCCTAATTGTTGGCCTCCACTTCAAGCCATGGTAATTCATGGTTTAGGATCCTCTAACTATGTACTTGCCCAGAAAGGAGCCATAAACTTGGCCAGGTCGTGGATTAATACCAATTACAAAGGATTCGTGGAAAGTGGTACAATGTTTGAAAAAGTAAAGTATTTATTGCAATAATTATACTGTATTTTATTCCATTGAGTTGATATGTTCTTATAAAAAAAATTAACAGCGGTGGTGTGAAACCAACTTCAATTTTAAATATTTCACATTTCACAGATAAATTCATCGCTGTTAGCGATCAAAATTTAATACTTAAATCAACCGTCTGATATACTACTGTTTGACTTATATTTACAGTATAGTGCTCTTGACGTAGGAACGACAGGCAATGGTGGTGAATACGAACCACAAACCGGATTCGGATGGACAAACGGATTTGTGTTCGAATTATTCTGGAAGTGGGGAAGCATATTTAAATCTGAAGATTGAATTCAGTACTTATACCAATTTCAGTGTTCATATTATATGAGCATATACTTAACTACTTTTTTTTTTCATTTTAACATTTAAAAATAAAATTGCACGCCATAAGATGATAATTTTAGTAAATATTTTACAAAATCTTCTAATTTTTGGTAAATAATATTGCATTTTATAATTCTACGATTATTACTTTTAAAAACATTTACTGTACAAGAGAAATACTAGATTCAATATTAAAAAATTAATAATATTGATTAACTATGGGTTTATCATTGTTTTAAACTTTTTTCGATAAAAAATGTACGTTATTTTTATAATTTCAAATTAATTGCAAGTTAATCAATTTAAAATTTAAAATTTAACTAAATGCACTAAATTAACGTTTCTCAACCTTTTTAATGTCATGACCCTCAAAATAAAAAAAAAAATAAATTCAGTCATTTCATGAGCTCCTCTCCCATTAATAATAATAACTAATTTAAACTATTTTTTTCTTTTACCAGATACAAAATATATTATGCCATTTATCATAATCTAAACAATAACACGAGTTTTTTAATTACAATTTTTTTAAAGATCAAAACACCTCATTTTTTTCATGTTTTTTTCAAGAAACGATTAAAAACATTGAAAATTTGGTACCATTCGTTGCTTTTTATCCATGTGAAAAATATGCTTTTTATTAAAAACATTAAAAACTATACAGAAATAATTTGTTACCATTAGAAAATAATTTACTAATATGTATTTCCAATGTCAATTCACGATTAAAAAAACTTATGAGTATAAAAAAAAACAAATATTACATTTATTTATACTTTTTACTTCATTATTCGTAGTTCATAGTGTATTTATAAATACTATAAACTAACTTTTTAATTTTTACCATTACGATTATGTATTAATTTTTTATTTTTAATGTAAATTAAAGGTTGTTTTTATACATCAGTGATCAATTATTTTTGACCAAAGTGACCTCCAGGTTGAGAAACGCAACTTTAAATTATCAACAAAATCGTTTAGACCCATAACACAAAATTCTACTCTGAATTAGCTAATTACACTCCAACCCACTGATTGCTATTCAAGGCAGTGTAAACATACCAGATAATTCTCTCGTTGGTTAAAAAGACACTGGTACAAGGACCAACTAAATTTTTAAGAAAAACACTAAACAACCATAAGGGTTCAGTCACTGTATAGACTCTCTCATCATATGTATTCCAGTTATGTAAGAAAAAAAATACTCTTACAAGTGTGGTGTTCAAATGTTGACTTATTATAATTTAAGTAGGTACAAAGTATACAGTTTTTTTTTTAATAAAAAAAACGAAATAAAATTGGATCACATTTGGTGCGAATGTTTATTTTTAATTTTAATAAAAATTTTCAATAAAACCTATTAAACAATTATTTGTGTACAGATTTAAAAAAATAGATTCCATGTGTATTAACTGTTAATTTTTCGTTAATTGTTATCAACATCGTTTTACTTATGAATCATATTAATTAGTCGTCTAAATAGTACCTGAAAACTGAATTACTGAATACTGTATTTTTGAACTATTTTTTTTTCTTTAACAGTTTCATGCAGTATTAACGAATTAGAGAGATGTAATATATTATTTGATTCAATATGCATTTTGTTATTTGTTCTTTTCTTCAAGAGAAAATGTATTCTGCATATAAAAATTAAATGATCTTATGATTCAGTATTGATTTTTACAATTTGATAATCAAAACAATTATTTCCAGGATCTTTAACAGGTGAGATAAAAAACAAATGATTTATGCTCGTTTATGTATACTGCTAAAACTCTCTGGAAGTGTTAACAAATACATCCGCAACCTTCACATTTTATAAAAACAGTTTCCACTTACAAAATAATAATAAACATCTTTACTTACGACGCATACTCATCTAATAATTGATATCAGTAAGGTAGATTCTGAGAATTTTAAATATTGATTTATATTAAATTGTTCTTGATATAATAATTATAGTAGATACCTCTGTAATTATATTCAATATAAAACGCTTATTATTATTATTAATTTAGAACAGAAATGTTTTTAATCAAAATAATTAAATTTATTTGAATAATATTCCAAGCCGTTCATTAATTAACTTGACAGTAATGATTATAAAATAATCGATTTTGAGAAACAAAACATAAATATTGAACGTTTTCTTACATTTTTTATATGTATATACATATGTCAATCGATAAAAATATGAGATATTAATCATTCATTTATTAATGTCCTTTATCAAGTGTTCCACAATGATTCGAGGAAATGAATGATTAGTATATTACAGAAAGCATTTAGTTTAATTTTTAAATAGTAAACAATCATATATTATGCATATCGGATGTGACAAAGTACATGTTCCGAACGAGTTCAATAACAAAATAATTAAACGGCTTAAGAAATCTTAATTTTAAAGAAAATTCAATGATTAAAAATACATTTACAGTGATTTATTGAATCATAAAAATAAAATTCAACAAATTTTACGTTTTCAAACATAGAATATTATATGGGACCAAGTACCGACATGGTGCTTTTTCAGAAAAAAATATTTTACGATTTATTTATACATTTACACGTTTACACAACAAAAGAGAACCGAATATCGAAATGGCATTCACTACTAAAACAAGATTGTACTTTTCGTTGAACATAACGGAAGTGAAGCCAATATAAATAATGGTTTATCGTTTATGACGCATAAAGAAATACCGATTCGTGTGTTTAATTATAATCGATAACCGGGTACTCGTAAAATATCACAATTATATAAATTAACACACAAGAACAAAAATATAAATACATTGGTTGTTTCGATCAAGTTATTAGAACGAGTCGATTAGATGTTCAATGATACAAAATCGTTTTAATAACTTAACTTTGCTGAAAATCAAAAATCATTAGTACGTTAATGCTGGTTATGAATGTGATGTATTGATAGTGTTTGAGGGCAGCTAAATGTTCCGGAGTGAAACTTTTTTTTTATTTTTTATTTTACATTTGGAAATACATAATCTGTACAAGTATCACATTTAGAATATATAATAAATTAATTATTAACATGACATTTTTGAATAAGAAATCACCCATCAATAACAATTAACTGGGAATTTAATAATGTTATCTAAATAATTTTTTTTTTTAGTTTTGTAACAAATCATGGCATCAAAACTTTTTTAGACAAAGCCCACCCTGGGTTAGGTTAGGTTAATCTAACCCACCCTGGCCTAGTATGATAAATCTGAAATGAAACTTGAATAATTTTGCATAAGTTAGCATTTTGTCTTTTATGTACAAATAATTGATCGAATAGTTGAGGCTTCATTAATAATTTTATTATTATTAATATATAGACTTTAACAATCTGTAAGTATCATGTACAATAAGTATAAGTGATTATGATATATAAGCGAACAAAAGTATTAGTAATAAATTAAAAAAATCGATAGTTAAAACAAGTTTTGACAACATGACTTCTAGTAACCAATATTAGACAATATTTGCCAATAAAACATTACTCAGACTTTTCGGCTGGGAGAGAACCATATTTTTGTATTTTATGATAATTATACTTTAATATATTATAATAAATGTATTAAAAATAATTGTAATTTTATAATCTTACACTATGTGACTAAGGGTGTACTCGTAAGTCATATTAAAAATATAAGGGGAGAAGTGGTACAATTATTTTCCATAAATATAAATAAATAATTAAAATAAACGCTGCAATTGTTTTATATCTAATCAAATTGATAAAGTCACCACTTTTATTATAAATTAATTATCTTGCATTTTTATAGTTTGTTCACTATATATTTTTTTTCAATTCGGCCCTAGAATAATACCTTAAAAGTGTACGCAATTTAGAAATTTAGTTAGTTACAAACGCTTAACTAAAACTAAAAATATAGGTCTATTATTATTTTTAATTACTTATAAAAATATGGTTTTCAAATAATATTATATAGTTACTTAAACTATGCGAAGAATAAATTTAACACTTTTCATGTGATCTTTAGATTATGATTTATGTATATAATATGGTAAATTTGTTATTTGTTTACATTATTTTAGTTGTATGTGCACTTAAAATAAATATAATAACAGTTAAACGACCACCATTGTAGACTATTTCAATGTATTAATGAGGGTGATAAAATATTATAATCTATTAAATTATAAATTCTTAATAAAGTCAGTATAAAAAATTAATAATCAAAACTAAAAAACAAAACCTGAATACTGATGTGTTATTTAATAATGTAACTATTGATTATAATGATTATAATTGATAAATAATGAATAATGTTCATATTTAATTATCATCAATGAGTGTTTTACGCAATAAAAATGACAAAATATACCAATTGCGATTAGTCAGTTATCGCGAAACAGTTTTTTTTTTTTTGGCACACAAAAATGAATGTAATAATATAGATTTAACCAGGCGGCTAAGTAAAATAATCGTTAAATACTATAAGTATATGTCGATAAAAATCGTCGATTAAAATTATAACAATACATGCGTATTTATATTGAATATTTAAATTAACAACTTTGAAGAGTAAAATTATTAAAATCATGCAATCATGTATAGTGTAGATTGTAAACAGGAAAACGTGATCACATCCAAAACACACACACACACACACTACATACATTATAACAATGATTGTTAAAACAGTTGTTCAAAAGTGATTTGACTAATTAATATTTAAAAATCCTTCTCAATCCGAACCGTGATAACTTCATAAACTATATTCATTATTCATTATTGAAATCCCATTTAAAAAAGCTAATGCGCATGTGTTTATTTACAAACATTATTTACTGTGTATTTGTCTGCCTAATCCTTAGAACCATTATACTATTTCTGTAATAATTCCAGTCAAATTCATAATAATTGTAAAGGCTTTAATATTAATTAATAATAACTATGTTAACCATTCTTGCAGTCAGGTTTGCCAATTGGTCGACTCTACATACACTCTACATATGGCAACCGTCTCTGCTCTGGTATTACATAGTATACGACTACGTAGATAAATACTGTCATAATATCATAAAACGGTTTTTACGCGTAACATGATTGTTAATTCTCAAACTAATGTTATTGTATGGTACTTTAATTAACAACGAATAGACATTTATAAAATGTACAAAAAATTACTTGAAAGTCGCAAAAATCTTTAATAAATGTTACAAAATTAAATTTTGACGAAAACGTATCTTTAAACGAATTTCTATTTAACGATATTAGTTAATATCTTATAAATATTAATCATATAGATTCGAAACATTTACTGAATACTTATATTTAAAATATTTTTATGGCATTTTTGGTTTCCATGGGAATTTGAAATTTTCGATTTTATCTTATTTTAGATGCCTTTTTTTTTACGGAAATTAGAATACTGAAAAATCAGCCCAATTTATTAAAACAATTTGATTCTACTACAATATCAATGATCGTTAAAAATATAAAATCATCAACTAAACCTTTTTCACTCATAATAGTTTTTTTGAGAGCAGTAGTTCATTGATTTTAAGTTGAAATGACCACTACAATAATATCATTCACCCATTTCTGTACTCACCTGACCTTGGAGTCTCACCTATTTTTGTTTTACAAATGTTTTAAAGATAATGCTTTATAATTTCATTGAAACAAATTCCATTTGACAATTGCTCATAGTTTCCATAAAATGTACTATATAGTACTTCGTATAAGTATAAGTTTATTTCAAATTTAATTACACCTATTTAGGGACTTAACATAAAAATATATTTAAAAAAGAAAAAAGGTATAACATAATATATTGTTTGTATTATGAGTACGTAATTCTGTATGTCATAAACGAGTTACAATTGTTTTAAAATTAAATATTCAGTGTAGGATGTATATTATAATCCGGCCTTTACAAATAGAATCATTAAAATATAATAAAATAATAATTTAAAAAATTATAACTATATTATCAACAATTTTGAATCCAATTAAATAATGTTACTAATGTTTGACCATTATCGTCACCAACACAAGGTGCAATGTAATACACAATCATCACTATTTTATAGTAGGAGCGTAGAACAAACATTCGGTCTAAGCTAATAATGAATTTGTAATTATAATATATATTAATTATATTTTAAATATATTACTGGCTTCACTAATTTATATTATTCATCCCAAAACATTTGTGTAAATATTTAAATAACTGTTTAATATATGTATATAATATTTTTATACAGAGTTATCGTGACTGTTTTCTATTGGCAAGGTCGCACATAGTTATATGATGAATTTATACTCAAATTTATATATAAAAAAAAAAAAAGGTCGATGGTTTTTAAATTTATAAATTACTCTGTAGAACATCATGGTTTATCAATTTTTTACCAATGGTAATTAATTTCACTGACGGCAGAATTACTGCTGCGGTACTTTTGTAAAGAATGTATACTACATGAAAAACTCGAAAATGTATCGATATCTAAAGTGCGTAATTACTTATATGTTTTTAAATATTCAGCTATCTTTGGTTCAAACGCTTTCACGAATACCTTATCAAACGCTTTCAAAAATACCTTATCAAACGCTTTCAAAAATACCTAATCAAACGCCCGTTTACGAAATATGTGAAAGGTAATATTTTAATCACACATATATTTACACATTATATACTCTTGTAAAAAAGCAATGCTAGTTGATTTCATAAAAACAAGATTTAAATCTAAAAATAATGAAATGCACAATAATGATTGTTAAAAGTAGTTATTTCAGTTTTTGTAAGGTTATTTATTTTTGAAATGAAATAGGGTTAATTTTATAAAAATATTTATCTTAGAATACCTCTAGTACAATCAATTAGTTGAATAAGTTCGATATTGTTTGTTAGTAATAATGTTTTTTGTTTTGCTATTGATATAGTACAAATTTGACAGCATTGGTCATTAGTTTTTTTTTTTATATTATATTCACATAAATAATACTTAGAGAAATACGTATTTTACAATATATTTTTAATTATAGTTATTAATTAATATTTTATTCATTATATCATTTTAAATTTGGTTGTATATATATTGATTTTTTTGAGGAACTTATTTAAATCTATATTTTGCTGATACTTGGATCCGAGAGTAGCATCAAGGTTATGTGTTATCTTGTGTTCGATCCTATCTTGATTATATTTTAAATGGTCTGTGATGATGTGTACTCCTATGACAGAGTTTGATTTCGCACGTTGAGCATATTTATGAGTAATCTTTAACCATAAGACAACCATACGTGATTCTAGTGTGTCCATAGGCGGACCCAGAGTTTTACATTTGAGTGTGCCCTGTCATTTTTTGGTTATTTTTTCAAAATATAAAGGGGAGATTATAAAAACGTATGTGTAGACAATCTTATGATTTAAATTCTAAAAATAAAGGATTCGTTAATGATGTAAAATAACGATTGGTAAAAAATTCACGTAATTATTATTTCAGACTTATTCTGAACATTTGCAGTTTACTTACAAAAAAACTAAAATTTAATTAATTTGTATGCACATATATTCTCAATTGTAATTATTCAATTTTTTTATTCACATTAGGGTGTGCCAAGGCACATCCCGTAGAACCACCTATGAGTGTGTTCTATCCATTACTTGTTTATTAAGTCTTCTTTCTGTTTGCGGTTAGGGTTTAGCCATCTGATTGTTTCTCTTTTGATTTGACTGAGTTTAGTAGATACTTTATTTATACATTAAGACTTGTGTTTATTAATATTTTTGATGTATAATTCTTTGGTAGATTTTTTTTTTTGAGTTATCATAGGATATTTGTTCGATTAAAGAAGTATTAAGAATATTTATGATGAATGAAGCTTTTTCGTCAGATATCTATTTATATTTTATTTACGTATGGCCTGGAATCCACATGATACTTATTTGTTTTTGAAAATTTCATTGGATTTGTTTAATGCATTCTGAATTTTTGAATTATTTGTTTTGAACCATTTTTGTAGCGCTAAGCGAACAGCTAAAAATGATGAACCTTAAGCAGTGGCATATATAGGTTTTCATTTAGGAAGGGGCCAATTATGTATTTGATTTTTTGGGGAAAGGAAGGAAAAAGACACTATTATAACAAAAATTACTTAAACACTATAAGACTTCTCGACTGTCTTTACACAATCTGAGAAATAAGAAAATCTATTTTTTTGATGATTAATAATTTTTTTAAAGTATAAAACCTATATTGTAATAAACAATTTTTTTATTAGAATCACTCAAAATTCACTACGTATTTTCTTAAAAGAATAAAAAAATATTATAAAATATTTTATAAGTTTAAAATTTTGAATTATCACATTAGCAACATTCTCGGTGTCGCGACAAATTTTCGGAAACCCCCAACATAAAAAAATATCCATGTTAAAAATAACAATCTTTAATAATGGTGTTTTTCATTTCTGAGGGGGGCCGCCTCCCCCCGCCCCCCATTAATACGCCTTGCCCTTAAGTGTTCTTGACTAATGAGCTAGGTAGCAACAATATTGTTTTCCTCTTTATTATTATTTTTGATGTACACTACATAGGGCTGGATTAAGCGAGAGATGATAAAGGAGCTCAACCCTGAGCCACAAATTGAAAGAGGCCACAATATGTTTTATAACTGTAACAAATAAATAATACTATTTTATTAATTAATTTTTACTATACTACAAATTACAATTATACTATATTTATTATAAATTACTAAATCTAAATAAAAAAATGAAATTTTTTTGGATGAAAAGGTCTCACCAGAAGTAATAACCCCCTTTTATTAAGACCATAATCTAGCCCTGATACTACAGTACTTTTATCTGTTAGAACGATTATGCTTACTAAATTAACTTTTATACTTGAATCATTAAATTTATGGATGTATTGTTTAGTTCTGTATACTGTCAAGGTGAACTATTAGATTCGGTCCTGTTGTCAAACATCTATTCAAAATCTACAGAATTTGTGGATATGCAAATGAAACGAAACGATTCGTTTCTACTTAGTGATTTTTATAGACTAAAAACAATGTACGAATTTGAAAATTCCATTCCACTATTTTTACTACAGAAGTTTCTTAGAACAAATTTTAAACACGTACAACTTGAAAATTGGGAACCACCTGATTTCAAGTACTACCAGCCTATTTTCGAATATTTGAAAGATAATTCATACAAGTTAGTATTTAATTTTAATAAAATTAATTTTAAATACTATGTATAATTGATACTATATCAAAGTAAAATGTTATTTTTGTAGGCAATATTACGAGTATAAAATTTAAAATATTAATTTAATGCACATGGTGCAAAATTATTTTAAATACGAAGTAGTAATAAATATATAAATTGTATTTTAAAACACTTTAATAGTGTTTCCTAGTATTTTAAGATGAATTTGACTAATATATAGTTTACAATAATGTAACTTTTACTTTATAAAAAGGGAATTCTTGTCGGGAGTAAACCTGATATGGAAAAATTTGGCGAAAAAAGTATCAAGAGACGTTCTAGATTCTCCACATCATCACTCTTTGATGTATGTGCCGAACGGATTTTTTGTAAACATGGAAACCCAAAACGACTTCGGTTATTGGGATACATATTGGATGATAAAAGGTTTTTTTTTTTTTTTAATTTTTATTAGAAATAAACAATCTATACAAGTAATGCATAATAAGCTTATGTGCTAAGAGAAGACATGACATGAAAAATTGAGTAAGAAGCCACCCACTGGCAACACTTAGCATGAATTATTTATATATGTTTTTTTTTTTATTTATTTTTTTTTTTTTCCCCATATGTTGAGATTAAATGAATATATACATGTAACGAGCATAGTATATTTTAAATTTATAATTGTAGTAGGTCACGACACCATTTCCTTTTTAGCCTGCGCCTTGGATTCCCCGGGAGAGTTTGAGAGGAGAGGGTTTTAATAAGAGGATTTTGGTGGGATAGAAGTCGTGTGCGGTACCGCAAGTAAAATGATTGAGCTTCTTCATTGATGGTTTTTATGTGAAAGTCATTATGTAATGTTAGGTTAGAAACGTATGGTGGTGCATTGGACAGACGACGGAGAGCTAGGTTTTGGAATACTTGGATTTTATTGGTATTGGATTTTTTGCTGAGCCCCAGAGCTGTATGCCATAAGTCCAAATAGGTTTTAAGAGGGTTTTGTAAATTAGAAGTTTGACTTTCAGACTTGTTTTATTATTTCTCGATATTAGAGGATTGAGGATGCGCATACGGGCGTTGAGAGTCAGTCTTTTGGTTCGAATATGATTTTTCCATGTTAGTCGTTTATCAAGATTGAGTCCCAGGTATTTTATTGTGTCAGATGTGGGAATTGGGATGTTATTTAATGTAACAGTTGGACAAATTCCCTTCTTGAGAGTAAATGTAGTGTGACTTGATTTGTTTTGGTTTATTTTGATACGCCATTTGTCGTACCAGTTAGACATTAGGCAGAGATGGAGTTGCAGGTTTGATGAGGCGGCTACCGGATTTTCACTAATTGACAAAATTACTTTATCGTCAGCATAATCAGCCACCATGGTTTGAGGCGTGGTGGGTTGATCAGCGACATATATGTTGAATAGAGTTAGAGATAGGATGCCCCCTTGTGGGACGCCAGCATTGATTTTAGTTATTTCTGAGTATGCAGAGCGATAATGTACTTGAAAGTGGCGATCGGTTAAGTAAGATTTGATAAGAAGAAAGAGCGGGTGGGGAAGAAAACTTTTGAGTTTGTAAAGTAATCCGTCATGCCAAACCCTGTCAAACGCTTGGGATACATCAAGAAAGACACAGGTACAGTAAAGTTTTTTTTCCAACGAGAAAGATATTGCATCGACAATCCTATGAGCTTGATGAATGGTACTATGTGAGGGTCTGAATCCAAACTGGGTGTTCGGAAGAATATTGTTCCTGACAATATATGGAGTCATTCGTTTGAGGATAAGCCTTTCAAAAATTTTCGATAAGAAGGGCAAGAGACTTATCGGCCTGTATGAGGATGGGTCGTCTAAGGGTTTATCAGGTTTAGGAAATAATATAATTTTTGAGAATTTCCAAAGGATCGGAAAGTAGGAGAGTCTTAGGCATGCATTAAATATATATGTTACCAGTACTATTGCTTTTTTGGGGAGGCATCTAGCTACTTCTGCCGTTAATAGGTCGTAACCTGGCGATTTTTTTAAGGAGTATTTTTGGATAGCTTGTTTGATTTCATTGGGCGTGAAATATTTTTCAAGATGATTGGAGGTTGAGGGAAGGTCTAAACCAGCCTTTACCTCATCAACAAATTGAGGTATGAGTATGTTATGATGTGGTTGGAAGGTTTCATGTAGGTGTGCTTTAAGAACTTCGGCTTTATCGGTATCAGAAGAAGCAAGTGTATGGTCAGGTTTCTTTAGAGGGGTAGAAGGAGTTTTAATACTAAGTAATTTCTTGGTTTCTTTCCATAAGCTACCGTCGGAAAATGAAAGATTGGTTAGTTTTTGTTCTAGTGTATCCGCTTTGTTTTTAGCTAGGGTTTTTTTTAGGGAGTTGGCTAACTTATTATAAGCGTTTTTGTGTGACGGTAGACGCGTGCGTTGATAAACTGCTCTGGCTCTACGTTTTTCCACAATTAGTGAGCGTATCTGTTCAGGAAGGGGAGTCTGCTTCTGGACTGAGTGCTTAGAGGTGGTTAAAGTATTGGATAATGAGGTTGCTGAGTGGATAAGTTCGGATAAGTTATTGATTGCTTCGTCAATATCGTGCTCGGTCTTTAACTTTATTGAAAGATCAACTTTTTGGGCAATTATGTTATGAAATGTATAACGATTGGTTGATGGTGAGAAAAGAGAGTGGCTAACTGAATTTATTTGAGGAGTCGCATCAACATTTAGTATTACAGACGAGTGATCCGAGTTTAAGTCTAAGATGTTGTTTACAGCACAGTATAAATTACTCGGAGTTTTTGAGATAAATATGTCCAGAATATCAGGTTTTTTCCTGCGCGATGTTGGCCAGTATGTTGGATCAGGTGGTGCAAGTATTTTAAATTTTTTAACATTGGTAAAATTGTGAAATAGGTTGCCGCGTGGGTTAGTAACTCGGCATCCCCAGCTTTGGTGCTTAGCATTAAAGTCACCACCCGCAATAAAGTTGTTAGGAAATGTGTCAAAATATTCGGTGAGATTAGTGTCTGTTATAAGGTGCTTGGGAGGGCTGTAAACTGCTGCAATACAAATAGGAATATTATTAAGTGTGATTGAGATGGCGCAAGATTGGATATGATTTTGAGAGAAGTTGGAAAGAGGATAGAATTTTAAGTTAGTTTTAATAAGTATAGCTGCCCCACCATGTGCTGTACCATCAGGGTGGTTAGATTTTAGTAGGTAATAACCTGGAATGGAAATGTGAGAATATTTGGTAAAATGAGTTTCTGATATTAAGGCGATATCTATGCGCTTGTCAAAGAGTACTGTCTGGAGCTCATTAACATGATTTCTTAGGCCGTTAGCATTAAACAGTAAAATAGATAATGAGTTATTAGTGTAGGAATTAGTCATTGTTTTTGTTTAGAAGTGAAGTGATGACTTGTGTCAGGAGAGCAATTAAAGGGTTAATAAGAGATTTTAGTTCACCTACAAAGGAGGACATGAGTTGAGTTAGGTCGGAGGGTGGAGAAGGTTGAGGTGGTTGACTAGCTGTGGCCTGTGCATAAGTTTTTGTGGGATTAGATTCATTCTTATCCGAAAGGGTAGCGAGTGGGTGGCTTTCTTTTACATTATAAGGTTTAACATTTGGTTTGATAGTATCATGTAAGAAATTACTTTTATTGGTCGGCGTTTTTCGGCGTTGAAGTTCCTTGTAGACGATGCAACCACGGTAGTTGGCTGGATGATCTCCAGAGCATAGTACACATTTGGCAGGGGAGTCGGGCGACTTAGTGCATTCGGAAGATGGATGATGCGCGCTGCATCTAACGCAGCGTGCTGAATAACCACAATACGCCCGGGTATGGCCGTAGTCTTGGCAATTTTGGCATAAAAGGTTTTGATAAAAGGTTAACTTCATTTTTATAATTTAATCTATCGCTATGTTTAAAACTATTAAAATTTAAGTATACAATTTATCAGATATTTCTGGGTATCATTATAATGAATCGATTGCTCACTCTAGTTTTTTAGAAAAGTAGATACTCTTTTGTTCATTGAATTAATTATTGAACTCTCTTAATTTTAATGTTTAGTGTTTTGTGGTATTCATTATGTGGTCATGTCCTTTTATTTATGTACTATTTACTGTTATACTATATCATAAAATATGCCGATTAATGACTTAAATTTTTTTAAACTTATATGGGTGTATGGCTTAGTTCATAATTTAAATTTATTTTTATAAATTTGGCCTTATAATAAATGGAAATCACTTCATGTTTAATTTCTAACTATTCGAGTACAATAAATTACCAGAGAAATTATAATATTGATATATAAATAATTTATGTTAGTACTGTAATATGACTATTCGGTTTCAGTAGCCGTAACCATACAAAATACTTATTATTTTTATTTAATATTATCAAACTAGTTCTTTCTAAATTGCTTATCTATCTAGGACTATGACTAAGAAATGATTGATATGTAGTGTTATACATTATCTAGATAATTTTATCTATATAATTCATCTAGATACAAACATTAATTGTTTTATCCTATTTAAATAAAAATAACTGTAAGTATCCTTTTATCTATATTTTTAAATAAATTGGTTGTTTAAGATAAATTACCTAGATAATTTTGAATAAGATAAAATTTTTTTGTAGCCAGTAAAACGAGGAATAAAAATTACTTTATAGTACATTTTTAAGTTTTAGATATATTTTATAGACGAAGTAAAAGGTATTGTATAATCATTTATAAAAAAAACATATTATCAAAATCAGAGTTTAAAGTGGTGAAAAATAAAAATGCATATGAAATATAAATGGTTTGATAGTAGTTATTATTAATTATAAATATTGTCATTGATTTGATACAATTGACATATTTGTAAATTAAATTTAGTGAAAAATAAAAATGCAACTAAAATATGCAATAAAAAAAAAAAAAAAAAAAAAAACATCACTTACAATATTTTAATAACGCTCAACATTTTATCGTTACATATTATAATATGTAATGAAATTATATCTAATTGATTTTCCTTCGACTGCACATAATAATATGCTAATACTAATATAATATAATATTATTATTTCCATAATAAAAACTAAATGTACAATAATATTTTAAGTTCATAATATTTAAAATGCCTTATTATTTAAACATTCTAAAATTATATGTAGGAGCGTTAATTTGTGGAATGGAACAAACCGTTAAAGGAATTTTAGAAAACTTATTATTTATGGTAAAGGAACACGGATATGTATTATCCAGAAACAGAGTATATTATAAAAGAAGATCAGAACCTCCACTTCTTATTCAAATGATGGCCATTTATCAAACGTACACCAATGACACACAGTTTTTAATTGATAACGTCCAGGTAAAATTTCAATAATTTATAATTTTATTTTTAACCCAATAGCCGTATTAAGAGCACTGAATTTTTTTGAGTGAAATCATATTTGAAATGTTAAATTAATTTTACTCGCGCAATAAAAAACTGTATCTACAACTCATTTAATTTTTATACACCTAAAAAACTACTGAAAAAATTCCATTTTAAATGCACTAGGTACCCGGATACAATTTTCAATCTAAAAAATCGTTGCATGAAACTTTTGACGAGCATATTCATATACAGTAGAACTCCGATTATACGGACTAATTAATATCAAGGGTGGTCCGGATAAGCAAATATCCGGATGATTGATATACGACATATCAAAAGTTATATAATTTAAGTTATATTATTTAACTGAAAAAAATAAGCTTTAATTATAATATGTAACATATTTTAAAATTAAAATAAAAGCCGACATGGCACATTATTTATTTTATTTTAAAAAAATTATTATATTTTAGTTTGCTTCAGAGTTGCCTTTTTCATTAGAGCAGCTATGTCTCTCAATTTTCTTAATTGTAACAATTAAGTGGTGTTTGATTCTTCTTGCCTCGCAGACTATTTAAACGCCAAATCCAATGCATCAAAAGCTTCAGAATGAGACGGCCTATTTTCACCTTCAGTCAAATCATCAATTTCATATTCCTCTCCTTCAGTACCATCTTCTTTAAATAAGCTACGAACTATTTCATCATCTGAAAGTATTTGATATCCAGGATTATTTGTATCCTAAAGCAACCACTCATTTATATTCTCTTCATCACAATTCTCAAATACGTGAACTCGGAGTGTGGCGTTATCTTTTTTTTTCTCGTCCGGTTAATTGGACGTTCGGTTGATTGGCGTTCAGATAATCGGAGTTCTACTGTAATTTTAGATACTAACTCCTAGATCCTTTTCGTAAATTATGTATTTAAAGATCAAAATCAAAAATAACAAAAATCATTGATTTCATAATATAATTATCATTAGATACGGTATTATCTTTGTTAGGTATTGGACCAAGAAATGACGTTCTGGTTAACGCAAAGATCAATTAATGTGACAAGTATTGGTAATATGTATTCCATGACACATTATTCATACGATACTTTTAATCCTCGACCTGAATCTTATGCGTATGAATTAAATATGAAATTAATTTATAAGGATTTACTTAATTATGTTCATAACATGTATTATTCATTTTAAGTGATGATGTAAACATATCAAAACAGCTGAAAAAAAAAGAAGATCAAGATAAATATATTTCTAGAGTAAAAGCGGCTTTCGAATCCGGCTGGGGGTTTTCGAGCAAGCATTTCCACGATCGCACTCCTTATGATGATTTAAATAGTAAAATATAATATTCTAATTTATTGACAGTAATTTAATTTTATGATCAAGCAATTTAATCAAACTTTGTTAAGAATATTATTATAAATACAATATATTATACTTAGTGTTTATTTCAGACCTTCTATCACGGGGTGTATCTTTAATTTTCAAGGGGAGGGAGTAATATCCCCCGGGAACCCCTCTTTAATAAACACTAATTATACTACCTAATACGATGATAAATGAAATTTCAGTAAATAGCGAAAATATTAAATCATACAATTATTTTCAATTTATGAAAAATTTGAGTAACTTAAAACCCAAATGTTTAAAATTTTGGAATGTTTTAATTAAATTATGATTTTCTAATGAATTTCCAATTCTGAGACATACAATTTCAGTATAGAATAAAATCATGTTAATAAATATAATATATATGAATACCTAATATATATGAATACCTAATGTAATGAAAAATACATTTATTTAATATACAAAAATTACATTCATACGTTCGTATGTTACAATTTCCACGTATATAGAGACAATGCTGAAAACAAATCCTTTGGATTTTACATACGTTGAATTGAATTCTATAATGCAATCAAATGCAAATGTGCTCTCAAAAATGTATCTCTTTATCAATGATACTATAAAATCGGAATTTTATAAACAGATTGCACATCGGTTTCAAATTGGGATAAATGCAGTAAGTATTTTAGAATAATTATTTATTACAATATACTCATGAACATTACCTACACAACATGGCTTTTTATGTGTAAACAGTTGTTATGGAATGAAGAAGAAAAAATGTGGTTGGATTTCGATAATTTGTCAGGAAAAAGTCGAAACTATTTTTATGCGTCTAATTTAGCACCTTTGTGGACAGGAAGTTACGACGAAAAATTAAGTAAATTCTACGGTGATGCTGCCGTGGACTATTTAATAAGAAATCAAATTATAAACGACGACTTGGTACCACGTTATATATGTGAGTTCAACTTTAATGTCTTATGTTTTTCATGATTTAAATATTTTACAAAATGCCCATAACAATAATATTTACACCAATAATAATAATAAAATGTAATTATTTTAATAAATATAAGACGTATACATTTTTTTACATTAAACGTATATATTATATATTAATTTTAGACTTTTTCAAATTGGAAATATTATGTGTATTATGAACTGTAATAGGCATACCGACATCTTTGTATGACTCAAATTTAGAATGGGACTATTACAATTGTTGGCCACAATTACAATCGATGGTAATTTTCGGTCTACAATCAACGAAAAGTGAAAGAGCTAAAAAAGTAGCATTTAATTTTGCTAATATGTGGGTGTATACAAACTACGTTGGATATATGCAGACCAGAACTCTGTTCCAAAAGGTCAACCAAGTATTAATTGATATAAATAAAAGTATAAAAATATTTTAGTTCAATTATTTATTTCATTTTAAACGAACAGTACAGTGCGATTAAATTGGGCGATGATGGCAATACAACATCGTCTGAAAATCGTCCTAAAGGATATGGAGTGACAGTTGGATTATTATTCGAAATATTTCACAAATGGGGCCATTTACTGATGACTAAAAATGATGAAAAAAAATCGAAATTGTGAAAAACCTATTAATTCGTTTACATATTATTTGTACTTATTATGTATACACTTCAATAAATCAAAAATTTATAGGATCCTAATAATTTTTCATGCTATATGATACATATATACATATACATGTATTTATATCCTATACATTAATATGTATTAATTATAAAATACATAATATGTAAAACAGAGAGGTGCTCGGGAATTTTGAATGTAGGGGAGTATCGACATATTTTTTACTATTTCTGTAGGAATCAATATAAAAATAAGTTATATTTTACAAAATATAAATAAATAATGTACAATTTTTGTATTATAAAATATTTATTAAATTTACCTAATAAATTATAATACTATAAATACTATATAATCAGAGAATAAAATCAAGTTTACGAGACTTTTTCTAAGCAATTTTTTAAAGTAAAATTATTTTATAAATACAATTATAAGGACTCCTAGCTAATCAGGATAAATTCGTTATCTTTAGCTCAGATTCTTTAAACGATTTTTGAATCTAATTTGTTGTGTTTTCTTGTAATTTTTAAAAAATAGAAATAGTAAACAATATGAAAATAATAACTTAAGAAAAAGAAATAATTATAATTGTAATAGTTGAAAGTAATAACTAAATTGTAATAAAAATTTATGGCAATCATTTTTAATATTTACAGAAACTGATTTAATTATTTCAAAATATTATATTTACTAATTTGTAACTGTAGAATTTTAAATTTAAAGCACTTATCACTTCATATGAGATCAGAGATATTTCTTATAAACTATATTGCGATGACCAAAGTCAGTACCGGACTTGGAAATGGTGCAGGGAGTGCAATTCACCGGGACCTTACGTTCTAAGAGGCTTCTAAGATCAAAATTGAAAATTTAAATTTATCTGTTTCATTTTTTTCCCTTTTTCTAATTTTACCTATTAGTTAAGGCAATTTTATTTTTTGAATTATTTAATACATCAATGTGTATTAAATTAATATATAAGCGCAATGTGGAACAACATTTTTTTTAAGGGGTCTCCAACTGGTTCAGTCTTCTGAGACTTAGATTCGACACTGGACGCGTTAACCAGTGTATGATCTGCGCGCATTGCAACGCGATGGCGGTTGCGATAAAAAATATCACAGCACAGTTAACACAAATATTACGCTAGATCTATTTGTACCGCCACCGCGATGCGGTATTTTCTTTAAAAATCTAAGAATCAATACTGTATATAGTAATATATTGTATCTTGTATGTAGTTGTCTATGAATATAGTCTTAAGTACATAAATATATATAATGTATTGTAGCTGTATTACTAGTACTACTACTAATACTGTGCTAAGATATCAAATATTACTCGTTGTAATTACAGGTATACGCAATTCGTGTTTTATTTTATTGCATAACATATTACAATGTAATACGAACCTACATAAAAAAATTCTATAGTAAAACCATTTATTAATTTTATTGTAAATGATATAATACTGAAAAATCGTTACCGCCACAAAGTGAACGAGTGGGGGTATCGCTGGTGAAGTCGTTACCGCTATCGTCGCAGTGTACGCAGACCTCAAAGTAGTAGGTAGGCATGTTTGTACAATTAAAATCAAATAATACCATTCTACATACCTGAATATATTTTTAACCTCGATAGTAATATAATTAACAAATAAAAGTGTTTAGAAAACTATTTGATACCTGTAATATCGTAATTTGAAATAAAAATTATTCAAAAATATAAAATCAATAATCACTTATAATAGTCAATGGAAGGAGATGAACTTCCTAAACCATCTACCCCCTTGAGCATGCCTATAGTTAAGTATATAATATACTTATAATATCCATGATGTAACTAATTGATTATGTATCAAATAATGTAGCCTAACCTTAAGTTAAAACGTCTAATATTTAATGACTGGAGAAATATATTTTTGACCATTTTAATAAAAAAATTTATACTTTGTTGCTGCATAAATTAAAACGTTTTAACGTTCTTCGGTATAAGTTCATAATAATTAATATGCAAACGTGTTATTTGCAAGGCAAATTACGATCAACGAAAAAATTGAAATAATTTTTTATTTTTATAAAATACTTAACGCAAATTGAATGATACATATATGTTACAATCAAAAATCAAGCCAAACGCAGAATCAGTTAGTATAATCAAATTGATAAAAATTATTTTGCGAAATATTCCAATTAAAATTGTATGTGTACAAGAAAACATAAAAACGAATATAAGGAATTAGTGCCGGTGTGCATGATTCGAGTAGAGGACCACGAGCGACTGTGCAAAAAGAAAAGCGAAATCACTGCATAGTTACATTTTTCTTCCTTAGTACACTAAAGTCCGATAAAAATAAAAGCTGTTGTAAGCGAACCTATGGTTGTAAAAAAAGAGTATTTAGGTGTTTTTACAATATAATGAGTCATACAGCAAGTGTAGTATTCCATATTTATTAAATTAAAAGTCATATTGACAGTAACGTGCTACAGATAATTGTTTTTTAGTGCATACTAAAATTACTTTTAAATAAAAAAAGAAACTGGTTGTACATTTTAATAGTTTATATATAAAAATGCGGATTAACTGTCAATATTTGTCATTTAATCAATTAAATAACATAAATGTTTTGAAAAAACTATTATGATTACATTTTTTAATCAAAAATAGATAATATTTAAATTTTTATTAAATAGAAAATAATTAAAAGATAATTATATTTTATATTTTTTCATCTCATTGTGGGATTGACTTCGAGTAGAATTTATGTAAACAAATTAATGCTGATTACTATAAACATTTGAACAAATTAATCATTACAAAATTTTAATTTATAGTTTTATAGTTGTACTTAATATTATACTTACGAGAATTTTCAAAATCTTGCCTTTAAGGTGTGTAATATATATTTTTTCTCTCTTAAAAATTGTAATTGGAGGATTAGTATTTATTAGACATTGTTATATTAGGAACATCTTATAGGTTGATTTTATTTATTGGTAGCTATATATTTACATAACTGACAGAAAAGTTTATAATTTTTATGTTGTGTATTATTTTTATCACCACAATATTTATTGTTCATAAATATGTTTTATAGTAACAACTTATTTGCATAAATGTATCAATGTATCAATATACCATAAAAGTAAAAATATTTTTATTGTAATTATTTATATTTGTGTACTGGCCTAATCAATAATTATTAAAATAATAATCATAAAAATGTCTCATAAAAGCTAAATATTTATTTGAGTTATATAAAAAGAATTAATATGCCATTTGAATTCCATATATATATAGTGATGTATAAATTTCAATAATTATGTATTTGTAAAAAAAAAAAATGGTAGTAATTAGTGTACATCATTGAAAATTGAATGTGTTACTTTTTAGTCTACTTATATTAAATTGACCAACACTATTGGCTATTTGTATCTCTTTTTACTATTTAATTTGATAATGATTGTAATTTATGAATAATACAACCTAAATCAATTATAGGTTACTGTGGGAGAGAAGTAGTATATACACAAAGGAAGCTATTCACATTTTCTGGTGATAAAAGATCAGAGTTCATTAAAAGATTAGATAAAAAATTTAATTTACATTATATTATCCAGGTTTAAAAGACATTTAATGTTATTAAAGAAATAGTAATACAACACACCACAGCGAAAGATGTGCTCTGAAGCGTCCCAGAAATATATTCAGCAAGTACCACAAAACATGTATGTTGGAAGTAATGGATTAAAATACAACTACATTACATCATCACAGTCAACCAAACAATCTTTTACATCAATTCAGGGGATTGTATTAACATTTTCTGTTCTGCTATGCATATTCAGTTGTCTGTTAACCGTTTCACTATCTTACAAATGGCACATGGATACTAATAATCAAATTGATCAACTTGTAGGAACAGTTAAAGAGGTATTGCGAGATTTAAATACATTTGCTGATATAGTAAGAAATGAACTAGTGGCCAAACATGTAAACAACAATATTAATAAAGAACACAAAAATAAAAATGTCCTAATCGATTATGATGATATTGATGAAGATTATGAACCAGATCGATTTATGGGCAAGGAATTATTGGATAATAATTGGCCAGTAAAAAATCACCAAGCTAACGGATCACATAAATCCAAAAACCGTCAACAACGTAGTGCTGAGATTGATGCAACAAATATTGTTAAGAACCAATTAAATAGGTAATTTTTTGGTTTATATTAAAATTATTTTATTTATTATATATATTTTTTATACATAATTGCTTTTAAGTTATAAAATAAATAACATTTTTTTTTTTAATACATGTGTGACAGAGCATAAACAATAGCCTATTAAACTATCTTCTGTAAAAATATTTTAAATAATTACCTAACCAGTGACCAGTAACACGTTAAATGATACATTTTTTAGCTATTCTGAGTATTTTCAGGATTCTTATTAAAAAAATAATACTTATACATTTTAAAATATTATATTTAATAACAAATATATTTTATTATTAATTTATATACTTAATGAAAAAAATGATAAATAACTTTATAAATTCACAGTCTAGTAACAAATTATATTAGTTATAAATATGTTTATAAACAATGAATTTAATATTGAATTTTAAATAGTATGTAAAAAGAACCATACGTAATACCTACAATAATGTATAATTGTAAAATAAAATAACTGGTAACTGAATAAATTTAAATAATTGTAAATTTATTATGACAATTTTTAAATACAAGACTATTACAACTTTTACTTCATAAATATTTAATAAAAATAATTTAAAATGTATGAATTAGGTTAATGAATATAAAATATATATATATATTGTATAATGGTATAGTATACTATAGGGTCCAAAATGTCTTTAGAATTAAAAATGATTATCTCATGTTGTACTGGTTATTAAAAATTTTTAAGGAAAGTTAAAGTAATAAATTTTACTTATTTATATAGAATTGTTTTGTTTTAGTTCTAACAATGCAAAGACAAATATTGAGTTAATTCAAGAAGGAAATCAAGATGAAAATACTTTAAAACCATATAATCAACGGAAAGCTAAAAAATTAGGATCATTGAGAAAAAAAACTACAATAGAACCAGAAAATGAAGAATCAATAGAAGACTTCATAGAATCATCAGAGATAGCAGCAGCTCATTTTACAAGTGATTCATCAAATTATACTACAAGAACACATGCACATTACCATGGTAATAATAACTATAAATATACTTAAATATTTTAAAATACATGGGAATTCTGAATTAAGTAATTATGATTAGAATAATTTTAATATGAGTAATAAATTTATGCTATCCAAAAAGAATTCATAAAAATGTTAAATAATTAAAACAAGCTATTTAATTGAAATTTTATAGGAAATGGACGATTAAAACACCCAGATGGTGATTACAAAGATTGGACTCAATATATTTGGGACACAAATTTCAACAATCAAAAATCTTTAATATTAAAAAACGGCAAAGTTGAAGTATTAAAACCCGGTCTTTATTTTGTTTATGCACAAGTAAGATATTATATATTGTTAAATTATTTAATATTTGCAGTTTGTCATACAATTTGAACTGTAGTTATATGTAATATTATGAACAGTTTAATAAAAATCTATTTAATCACATATATGGAGCTAAATTATACCAAAAAAAGTATTTTTAATCTACTAAATTTAAATATCAATATTAAACTCCTTTTTAAGTTTAACTGTTTTTTATGATAGCTTGGTGAAGATAAAAATGTTTTTTATTTTTTATAATTAATTATTCATTAAGTTTATAATAATCAGAATTATAACTGAATTCTATGAAGTAAAAATGCATTATATTATGGAGAAGAAAACCAAGGTAAATTAAAAAACAATAATTTCTAATTTATAGATATTTTAATTTTTCACACTTTTTTAAGAATATTAAAATAATAATTTACATTTTTTAAAAAGCAAAATCTAGAATTATTAATTATAAATTATTCTTTGGATTATCAATCTTAAATTTATTGAAATTATTTTAGTGTAATTTTTTGAGATACTACAGAATGTTATTTTAATTTTATGATATTAGTCTATATGTATAGACTAAAGAAAAATATATATGTATAATGAAAAATACTACAAATAAAAATATCTTTTAAATTTTAAAAATAATATTTTGAACGAAATTCTGCAAAATGAATTACAACTATTTATGTTGTTCAATTAATTATATTTATACATAATAATTAAATAAAATTAATTTTTATTTTTTATTCTAACAGATATATTATTCTGATCAACATGACATCAATGGTTACTATATTATGAAAAATGATGAAAAGGTACTTGGTTGTACTACGACACGACATCGTGACACTCAATCAGATTCATGTTACACAGGAGGTTTAATATATTTAGCTTCTAAAGATTATTTATCTATAAAAGGTTTGGATAGTGAAAGATTTATAATTTTAAATTCTACCAAGACTTTTTTTGGTCTTTTTAAAGTATCATCAAGAGACAATAAGAAATAATTCAAGCTTGTTTTGATAATCAAAAAATAATATAATTTAATTTAATTAACACATACATAAAAAAAAATTATATATATAAATATATTGTATATTAAATATGTAATATAAACATGATTTAGTTCAGTCATACAATTGGACGGATTTAATGTATTACAATAATCACAATTATTATTACTTCTAATTAACTGATATACAATTTAATATATTTATATTCCTAGACTTATGTTAATTTGAACACATTTAATAAAATAAATGAACAATAAAATGTTTCATTCTTATATATTGTACATTATTATACCAAAATATGTTTTATAAATAATAAAATATTTTATTAATATTTTTAAACAATTATGATTTTTAGAAAGAATAAACAACTTTTAAATATATTTGTGTATTTATGACTAACTACTAACTATAATTTAACTTATGAAAAAAAGAATTAAACTTCATAAGATCAATATGAGATTCAAGTAAACATCACATTCAATAATGTGTAAATGGAAATATGAAACAATTTTAAGTATCAAATATAAAAATATAATACTGAAAAGTTATTTGAATTATAAATTATATATATCAAATTTTATAATTGCATGCTTACTTTTACAATGACCTAATACAAGAATTTAATACTTAAAATTTTTGATTATTGTATGTTTAATTTATAAAATTGAAATATTAAATTAATGATATCAAAGTACTGTATAAAATACCTACAAATAATTATTATCTATAAAATGTTGACAGTTGATAATGTCAGTATTTAAATTAAAATCAATTTCAACATTGGGAATAAAGATATCACTATTAGATATCCATATAACTTTACTTGACTTGAACCATTACAACCATCAGAATCACATGTATAAACACAAGTCCTATATTCTAACTTATCACCTGGTTGACGAACATAGTTGCAATAATTTCCCAGATCATGAGAAGAACAATAACGCTTTACCCCAAGTCCACCTAAGAACAAAAAGAAAAATATGCTATTAAAATAATAAAACTATGATTGTTTCTAAATACAATGACATACGTTCAAAGCGGCCAATCAGTTTAACACAAAAGGCTGCATTGTAAACATTTGTACAAGGTTGCGGCTCTAGACCATAAGTATCCATAGTTTCTGTACATTGAAATTGGTTGTGGATGTCAGTACTGTTGCATTGGTAACAAGATAAACTAGTGGCTGAAACGAAATAAATAGAAAACTGACAGTTACTTCTATAACCACACCTTAAATTAATCATGCATTAAGTTCACTAATATAGCACAAACCAGACTTTAATGTTGAAATAATAACAATAAGTACTGTAAAACCAAATACGTTGCTATAAATCATTGTTGGAAAAAAAATCAGAAGAAAATGTTATATAAAATTGTAAGTTTAGTCAAGAGCGTTCGTTATAGTATATTATATTATACAACTGCACAACGGATTATTTTCTGTGTATAGGCGAAAAATATGTTTTTGTTTTTGTCTATTACAAAATACACCTACCTACAATCATATAAGAGAAATGAATGATAAGATCATGGAAAGAACGATAAAATGTTTAAGCTTTCTACAAACTGATACAGGACATAAAATTATGCGATAAAACTCATTAGAGAAATCAGCTGTTTAAATAAACAATTTAATATATTTATTTTTCCTCGTATAGTAACACAGTGTTAATTTTATATATGCAATGTTATTGTTACATGATATCAAATTTCGCGAAGAAGAATTTTTCAATTTCTTATGATTCGGCTATAACATGAATTACACCGAAAAAGGATTCTAATCATTATTGTACTCAATATTACGCGAAAAAGCGTTTGGAATCGTTGCTCTTTTTAGGACTACATTGTCAGGTCCATTTTATATTTCACAATTTTCAGTCGTAGCTGTTGTAAGTTTTACAAAATAGGTCGATTTCAGTGTTTTAACCTTTTTCAACTTATGTAAGATAATTAACAGAAGAAACTATAATGAATATTACCTCTGATATTGTACCCGAAGTACAACCTGGTGTGTTCACCTATGAGTTATATACAATATTGAGCAATTTCGAATCTGCCAATCTTGCTCAAGTGAAGTATGTGCGAAAACAGACTCCTGGTATTGGTGCGATATTTCTAAATATTTCTGTTGTAAGTGTATGCTAAGACTATGTATAATATTATAGATGAAGACTTGGAATTTAATTTATGGACAAAGCCAGATTGTGGTGGCACAGAGTTTGAATGCAATTACAAATCATGGTTCTATTTTGCCATAAAAGGTAAAAGTACATTAAAATTAATTAATATGAGTTCATAATTTTTAATTGAACCATTATGTTAAAGGAGGTATTCCGGGTACCGCTGTAAGGCTAAATTTAGTGAATTTAAATAAACAAAGTAAAATGTACAGTCAAGGCATGACTCCTGTTTTTAAAGTTGATTTAGGAAAATCTGAAAAACCAAATGCAAAATTTAGTAAAGCATCCTGGTTCAGAATAAAAGAAATACCCACATATCAGGTATAAATAAATCATGCGTACATAATACATATAACTACAGCTATTGAGTTAATTGACTTTAATAAAAAAATTAGCTAATACATTTTTTTTAAAGGTAAATGAAAACCAAGAATTTGTATTGAGTTTTAGTCATCGTTCTTTGGAAAACATTGAAGCCACAACATATTACGCTTTTACTTATCCTTACACTTATACTGATTTATGTAATAGTTTAAGTTTTTATGAAAAACAATTTCCATTACCATCAGATTTAAAAGGTATATTAATTCTTATTAAAAATTCTAATTATTTTATTTTGATATTAATACTGTTTTATATCACATATAATTTAGAGAAAAATGAAAAGGATATATATTTTCATCGGGAAACAATAGTCAAATCTTTAGACAATCGCTCTGTTGATTTGTTAACTATAAGTTCATTTAAAGATATTTCAGAAGAAAGAGAATGTCGTTTGTTTGGATTATTTCCTGATGAAAATAAACCTAGACCATATGCATTTAAAAAAAAAAAGGTATACAAATAATATTTTAATACATTATTTGAACAGTATTATAAGTAAAGGCTCTTAATTTGTTTGTTGACCTATACCTATAGAGAAAGACTTTTTTTACAGGCATTAAGTCCTTGGTAGAACTAAAAAGTACAAATGTTCAATTACTATTACTAATATTGCTACAGCTTGGGTATGGATTTAAAAGAAATCAAAATTTTTCTCAAAGAATTTATTTTTGTTCTATAAAATACAAAACATTTTTCTAAATTATCTTACACATTTTACTCCAAACCAAACTATTATCTTTGTGTATTGAATTTATTATTTCGGTGGGTATAAATACTAATTAAAATTCATATTTTGAATGACCTTTTTTCCTATACTCTGGCCTGCTGGATTTTAATTTTCTAATAATTGGCCCTCTAGTAATTTGGAGTTGCCCATCCCTGCTATAGAAGAAAAAAATCATAATGCATTTTCTATTCAAATTCATGCTCTAAAAATTAATAGATCATTTAGAATAAAGTAGCTAATAATAGATTTCCCTAAGATAATTATAATAAAATCATGATTATTATACTTTTTAAAGTTAAGTTGATATAGATATGTTATGTTTTTATTTTGCATTTACAGGTTGTAGTTATGAGTGCTAGAGTACATCCAGGTGAAACTCCTTCTAGTTTTGTTATGAATGGTTTGATAAAATACTTGCTTAGTAAAGATGAACAAGCTAATATTCTCCGACAGAATTACGTTTTTAAACTAATTCCTATGTTGAATCCAGATGGAGTAGCTAGAGGATTTTATAGAACCGATACTAGAGGTACTAATCTTAATAGATTTTATCTTAAGCCATCTTTAAAATTTCATCCAACCATTTATGCTGCCAGGTACCTTTATTTGTATTTATTTTTATTATAAAATTAGCATTTATAAATTAAATTTTTTTTAAATTATTTTATAGATCATTAATTTTGTATCATCATCTGGGGTATGAATTACGAGACGAATTAATTAAAGAACATTCAAATATATTGGATTTAACTACTTCTTCATCAACTTTTTGTAGATCATCTGATAATGATGATGATTTAAATATTAGAATAAAAGATATGCTTGCAACAGATTGTATTGTATATGATGGACAAAATAAAATAAAACCAAAAATTATAAATAATGATCCAGATTCATTGAATATTTTATTAAAGAAAAGTCAATCATGTACAGCTGATTTTTTTACCAACAAAGGTCTTGATTCAGGATTATATTTGTATGTTGATTTCCATGGTCACGCATCCAAAAAAGGTAAGATACTATAAAGCTGTTAGTATAAATTAAAAATTATACTTTTCGTTTGTATATTTATACATTGTGTTTTACACTAGGAATATTTATGTATGGAAATCATTTTGACAACATTGTTGATAATATTGAATGTATGGTTTACCCCAAGCTTATGTCTATAAACAATCAAAATTTTCATTACACTTCTTGTAATTTCAGCGAACATAATATGTATTCTAAGTAAGATATTTAGTAAATATACCCGAGTTTTTATTTTAAAGAAAATGGATATATCTGTATAAGTATAAATTATAAATATTTAGTTGTGTATGTTTAAGTAAATAATTCCTGAAATTTATGTACGACTATAGTTTTGATTATAAAAATGGAATATTTTGTTTTTACCTAGTTTATTCAAACAGTTAAACTTGACATAAATCTGCCTTAAATATTATTTTTTTATTTCAATTATCACTATTGAGTTTTAAATAATACAGTAGAAGTAGACTTAGTCAACTGATAAATTATTTATAATATTAACAATACCTTTTAATAGTGAGTAATAGATATTATATGGTTATAGATTGTATATTACATTATTTTTATTATTATTTAATTATTTATTTATTTATTTATTTTGAATTTCAAAAAAATGTAGTAATTATAAATTTAGAAGTCTTCAGATTAATTTTTAATTGAATACAAAAGGGTACAAAAAAAATGTATGCATTTAAAATAACATTAACTATCAAATTTAAAATTAAGATTAATTTGTGGATTTAATGTTTTTTTTTAAATTTTCAGAGACAAAAAGTTTGGTCTCAGCAAAGAAGGAAGTGGAAGAGTAGCTGTCCTTAAATATACTGGTCTTATACGTAGTTACACATTAGAATGTAACTACAATACTGGCAGATTTGTCAATTTTATTCCACCTACAGTACATTTTGTTGCAGAAAGAAGAACTCAAAGTCTGGTCCCTCCAAAATTTACACCAACCATATTTGAACAGGTAAAAATGTTCGTATAAAAATCATAAGCTAAAATATTTATTTAAGCTTTATTTGTTAAGGTTGGAAAGTCATTGGCAATTTCTATTTTGGATCTGTCAAATTTAAATCCAAATAGTCGGTTGGAGAATAGTGATTTTAAATCATTGACAGGATTAAGAGAAATGTTACGTTCAAATATTATTTCTGATTGTAACCGTAATCGGCGTTTAGGATCAAAATCAACTAGTAACATTAATGTTGATATACCAATCACATCAAAACAAGTAAAGACTTTTATTATTTTATGTGAAAAATTATTTTTTATATGCTCTTAGAAAAGCATCCATTCCAAGCTTTTTTTTTTTAGTTTTTAAACTTGAAAAAGAGAATTTAATGACTCCTTTAGGTTGAAAAGATGTTCTCAGCTATTTCAAACATTTGTGTATAAGTAATGGCAATTATCCTCTAAGTAAGAATCTACAATTCTATTTTTTTCATTGTGGCTCTTTTTGGTAATTTAATTAATTTAAGAATTAAACTTGCTTTTGATTATATATCTTTGCTTTAAAGTAGTGTTATGTTTTTACATTCAAAATGTCATTATGTATTAAAAAAAAAAATCAAATAATTAAATCAAAAGATTTCATTTTATTAGTTTATAATAATGCTTTTGATGATGAGTAGACTAATTTTAACTTTGAATTAAATTATAGATAGTGAATGTTTATTTATTTATTTACATTTAACTGTAAAATTCTTAATTTTTTTTCCAGGTAAAAAAATCTTCAATTTCGTATGATTTGATGAAACCTACCACATCAAAATTATTACAACCAATTATGGCTATTTCAGTAACACCTAAAACCAAACCAACTCCACTTCATAAAACTATTAAAAAACCAACAAGTGGTGGAATAATAAAAAAAAATTTAAAAAAACGAAAAATGACTGCAAGCAAACAAAAAGCAGTTGTAAATACTGCAGATAACAGCTTAAAACTATGGTGTTTGGAAAAAAAAACTGATTTGAAACCATTATGTGTATTAGGTGCTGAACAATGGAAAAAGAAAAAATAATAGTTCATCAATTTTCTAAGACATAAATATTTGAATAAACTACTAACATTTTAGTACATAGAATTTCTATATTATAAATATTTTGTGTTCGTATAAGACATAATTATCAAAGTTTCATTTTTATTAAGGTGCTATTATGATCAATATTTATATTTACTGATATATATTTTTTAATACTTTTCCTATAAATCCCATTTTTGTTTAATTTTTTTAAATTTTTTTAAAGACTGTTTATTATTTAACCTTGTTATTTTATTTATAGTTTTATTTAATTTAAAATGAATTAAGTTATGTGGTATAAATTACTGTACATTATTGTTTATATTTATCATATAGATTTTTTTTAATAAATTTAAAGAATAATATACTGGCCAATCAAGTTTTGCGTGTTTCCTTTTTTATTTAAATAAGTAATGAAAATTTAATATTCATTTTCATCTTAACAGTGTTATCAATTCATTTTTAAACATTTTAAAACATGTTTTCCCATTGGGGGGAATGTATTGGGACAACCCATTCACTCATTGGTGTTGGTTCAAACAGAAATATTTTATTTTTATTTTTACATCATGATATAATTTAATTGATAAAAATAATGTATGTTTTATATTTCACTTCAAACAAATATCACTATAATACCTATATAACTATACAAGACAAATACAATCATTAATATCCAATCAGTTCATACTTTTGGATTTTTAGGTTAGTTATAAGTACATAATTTTGAATAACTAATTAACAATTTTAAACTGTTGTTGTTTATTAGAAATAAGTGTAATGAAATTATCTTAATTATACATATTGAATGAAAAATTTCTTGATAGATTTTAAACGTGCATAGACACCAGCAAGCAGTCCATATATGCATAAGTAACTAATAAAAGGGTTAAAATATATAACAATTAAGTTTTGTAAGAACCTTTATAAGAAAGATTGAAATATTTTTTGTAATTATGAGTACAACCATACTATAAACAAATAATGTCTATAAAATGCCTAAATTTGCTACAGTACTATGTATGGTAGTAATTTTTTATAACACCAGTTCACTTAAGTGTTAATCTTATAATTGTGTTACATATATTAGCTGATAATGTGAAAAGTGAACAGTGAGCTTAATTGCTCCTCGAGTACATATAATTGTTCATTGTTTATTATTGGTCATATTGATACTTTAGTTTAATTTAATAAATATTGAATCTATTCTATGACTATGGCGGTAAAACATTAAATTACACATAGACAAATCATTACAATCGAGATCATAAATATTTTAGAAAATAATTTACTTAAAAAATAGAATTATGAGAAGAGAACTGTTTATGAGTTACCTTACTGTTCTGTAATAACTATTACACCCACTACTTTCACCATATCATACTGTTAATAATAGCGTTGAGACCGTTGACATTGATTAATCTTTGTATGTCTACAAATGAGATTATTTACTGACAATTGTTGCTATTTTGCCTTTATCAACAGGATAGTGATGGGCGATTTAAATCGATTGTTTGGTTGATTTATCGATTTTAAAATCGATTCTGCCTGAGCGATTTTATTATTGAATATATTTTTTTCTTTCGTCGATTCGTCCGATTTAAAATTTATTTTACTTGGAATATATAATGATAATTTTATTAAATAGGTAGCAAAATAATTAATTAAATAAAGAATATAAAGAGTAATTTAAAAAAAAAAGAAGTATGCATATTATGGAACTTTACTTAGGGTTGCCATACGTCCCGATAAACCAGAATTGTCTCCGGTTTTGGACTTCGTGTCCCGATGTCCCGAAAAACGTTTTCGGGATGTCTATATGCCCTGACTTAGACAACTAGAGCAAAATGTAGGATTGTTTAATTTTTAATTTCGACGATTTTATCTCATAGTACATTTTTAATGGTAATCAATTAACAATGTATAATAAAAGCATAATTTTGTAATTTACACATATAAATATATAATATATTTTATTTTACATAAATATTTTTAAATATTATATTGCCAGCCATTAATGGTACTCTCAATATATTAAAAGTTATATAAAAAATATGTTATTAAATAATGTGTTTGTTTTGTCGTTGTTTCGCTTTATAAATGTATTGTAATCCTAACTATACTACGCATAGGATTTGATTAAAACTTAAGTAGAAATATTTAATGAAAAAAGATATTCAATTAAGACATTGAAAATATGTTGATGAAAAATGTATGTATATTAATTTATATATATATATATATATATATTGGTGCAATTTTTACAGTAAAAGTTGTACTACAAAATATTTAATTAAATTAATTTTGTTCGATAATTATATACTGCACAAAAAAAGACTTGTTATGATCCACTTAACTATTTTTTTACGATTTGGCGCTTATCCTATTTAATATACAATATTTTTTTTTAAGTGAGTATTATTCATTTTCAAATGATTAAACCAAATCTTGCCTATCGAACCAAGACAAACTTTTTATAATTTATAAAGAATTAGAGATGAAATTTATATTCAATTTTATCGAAAAATAACTTGTGATGAATTTAAAAATATGGTTCTGTGTAGACTAAATAAATTAAATAAATTAATGGTTTTATAATATTTTCTCTATTTAAAAATATATATTGAGTGACCGAAACTCCGAACCAAACCCAACTAACACAAAACTAGGTAAACTGCAATATATATATAAGTACCTACTAAATATACCTATATTAAAAATAAAACCAAAAGACCAACCACTATGGCGAACTCACAGCACTTCAGCAAATGTTTAAATTGTATTAAGAAGTGGAACATTTAATTACCACAATAACTTTCAATTACACAAATGCATCAATTGAGTGATTTACGTGAGTTCGCACTTACATTTCTATGTACCCTATGCTAAACATTTGTAAAAAATGTTCACTCACTAGAGATATTAATTTATTGTTCTAAAACGATATCTAGTTGATTATGCCATTTAATATCGGCGTAACTGGATTATTATAATATGTATATATGCAATTATAAAATAATTGATTTTTCAATAAATTCACTTATTGTATTCGATTTTTGAATCAATTCACTTTTGAGAATCCTCCATCTGCAGATCGGAATACACCGCGCGTACAATATTTACGTGTACAACGAATGACGGCACTGCGGTCAGTTGATGTTTTTAACCTTAATGCGCATGCGTCAGATACGTGAACCTGTTTTGTTTGTCGGCATTTCAATTTTAAGCAGGTGAGTCAGTTCACTTGCTTTCGTTCGTTGTGTGGTTAGTGGAGTGCGCTGGGGTTCGCGACGTTATCCGGAAAGAATTTAACATTGTTTATGTCGAAATTAAATACGAATGGTCTTTTCAGTACACAATTGAATGTTTTAAATTAGATTTTTTCGTTATTATGTTACAAGTATAATCATTAAATTAATTAAATCACTGAATATTATCAGCATGTCAGAATTTTTTTTTATTTATGTGAGTAGATACTTTGAGTTATTATTTTTTTTCCTGAGACACCGCAGTGTATTGTAATTAAAATACAGTTATTATAATAATATAATATTAGCTATTTTAGTACTAAAATTATGATTTTTACGGCGTATATGAAAATTATGTATTTTTAGTGATATGTGTATAAATATATTTACACTAAATAGTTCATAGATTATTTTACACTAAAGTTGCAGGTATTTTTAGTAAATCATTGTCTGTGTTTTTGTTGAAATTGATTTTCATAATTTTTATCTCCATTCTATAAGTGTGTACTGCCTATAGATAGATCCTAGGTAATAAAATATATAGTTATTTTTAGGCTATTTGAAGTAGAAACATTTAAGTTATTCATATTCATTTAACAGAGGTAGGTACATCAAAAGTTTATGAAATCAAAATATTTTTAATAGGTATTATATAACTTCATATAAATATATATATATAATTATGATCGAAAATGTTAAAATTGATCCTTGGGTAAATGATATGAAAAGTTACAAAATGTTATACTTTTTAGTTTCAGTTTCAATATTTTTCCACCAAAATAAACTTACAAATATATGTCTATTTATACATCACACAGAGTTTAAAGTTTCATTTCAAGTTAATTTTAGGAGTTTTGATTTATTTTATTTTTTTTGTCAATTTCATAATTTATTCTTTCAATATTGTAAATTAAAACTAAATAACTGATTTATTTAAAATACTGATAAATTAATTGTAACTTAGCAGATATTACACAATTATGTATAAAGATTTGAACTACTGAAATGTATATTTTAATTTTATTTTATTATATTATAATAATTATTATATTAGCTTAAAATTTAGAATTAATCTGGTTTAATGTAATATATTAATTGTTATAGTTCTATAACTATATAGATCTAGAACTAGAACGGATCTAGAACTAAAACTTGGGGAGGGGTCATTTTTTCAAAAGGACAAAAAGATAATATGCAATTAAAAAATAAATAAAGTAAATTTTTAAGTAAAATTGCATCTTTATTATTTATGGTAAATTTTTAAAATTAAATGACAAAGTTTAACTTTCTTTATTTTGTTTTTCCAAATTTTGATATAATTTCATCAACATTTATTGATATATTTTTGAGAATATTGAGCAAAGCAAGACCGGTGAGGCATTTTTTTCCAATGTTTGAATAAAGCCATGTCTTAAAGCGCCTGAGAGTAGAGAAAGATCGCTCTGCTGTAGCTGCACTTACAGGAAGTGTAGTATTTGCAATAGAACATGAATATTTGGGTATAAATCTGTGTCACATTGTTCTATTACCTGAGGTAGGGACTCAGGTAATTTATTACCATTTTCTACTTCACGTTTCCATTTTGTAACACAAAGCTGAAATTCCGACAATACCATGGATATATGAGGACCATGTATAAGTTCATTGTATATTTTAACTGCTTCCCATATGGCTACCAAATCAACTTCTAAGTACTCAGTTTTTGGTAAAAACACACTCAATTGAAATAATGACGCAGTACCTCTGGAGAAAGTCTTTCTTTTAAATCTGTTATTATTGAATTTATGAGAGGAATATACATAGTTTTGCGGAAATGTGCTTTTGTCTAGGAACAATTCTTGGTACTCTTATCTCCACGTCTAACAGCTCGAAAATCTCTTTTGATTCCAAAAATAATTGCTGGAAAACAGAATCACTCTCTGTTCTCTTTTGCTTCAGAACAAAAATAGTGTCTTTCATTTCATCGGTTGCCCTTTTTAAATCAATAAACGAAGTCTAAAGAAAACGACTAAGTGATACAGTTGTACCTAAAATGTAAAATATTTAAATATTTGTAAATTTAATAAAAAAGTCATCACATTATTTATATAAATCTATAAATCATCACTTACCTAAAACATCATTCAAGCATACAGAAGAAATAATGGATTTAGAACTACACAGATCATGTAAGTAACATTGAGCATCACTCGCGGTTTTGTTATCCTCCCAAGTTGTAATTCTGTGTAGGGCATCACACATTTTGACCTAGTTATTGCCCTGAAATTGTAAGTGTCCATCGTGCCTTTCGACCTAACAAGTTTCGCATATTCTTAATACATTTATTCCTTGAAGCTCCTCTTCAAAGACTTTGTGTCGTTTTGCTGAAGCATTAGCAAAAGCTACTACTGTGGTGTAGTTGATGTAGTTATAATGGATATACATAATATTATATAATACCACATTTTTAGTGTGAAATAAATCAAAAAGGCAATTTATGCATATTAATTTTTCAATAAACACAAAATTACGTAGTTTTGATGTTTTGGGGGGTCATGAACCCCATGATTCCCCCCTTGGATCCACGCCTGGTTATAGTACAAAATGTCTAGTCATCAATAAATTACAGTATAAACTATTTATGATATTCCCTTGAAACATGCAGCAAGTGTGTTTTGTTTCAATAATAAAATATCAGATCATAGGCTTATAAATAATTACTGTTTATATTGAAAATGTGTATAGTAATATATAAATTAAATAAATTATAATTCATATATTGAAAATAGTTCAATCTTCTCTAGATTTGATAACTTATTCAGTATAATTAGTATTAATATAAGTAGATTGAATGTTTTTGTTTTAAGTCTCAGTGTTTATTTATTTTTAACATTTGTTGTAAAAAGTTAGTAAATATAATTTAAACAAATATATATATATATCTAATAAACATATAGGTACAAGTTTAATTTCTTAATTTCAACCATATTTCAAACTATTTTCATCTAGACTGAGATCTGCTCCAAATATTTTTTTCTAGAATAATTTTTGTGCTTCTATTTAAAAAACAATTATTTTTTAAATGTTTAATACATTTTAAATTTGAAATATGCTAATAAAAATATTTGAGATTAAGCGTTAAATAATAAGTATCAATAAGTTCTTATTATATATATATCTTCTACTTTTTATTATTATTAACCTTTTTTTAGTAAAATGTATATTTCAAAATTGAAAGTAACACTAATTGAGATATAATTTTTTATTTTATTTATTTCATACTTTTATAGATTGAATAATTCCACTTAATCATATTTTTTAAATATCAAATTAGTTTAATTTTTACAGAAAAATGTAATGCTTTTTAAAATGTTTTTTTGATTTTTGTGGTATATGATTTTATTTTACATGTTAAAAATTATTTAAATGTAGTTTATGGCAATTTTATGAACAAGTTGTTATAACAGGTATGTCTTTTGTAAAAAAAAAATTACAGACGAGCTGACATCGTCAGTATTTTTACATGCCATATTAGAGTAATATGTGGTTAACCTATAATATTTAACTGACAAATCTTAAAAATTATCTGAAACTGCAAACAATGCTATATTGTGTGCATTTTTCTAAAATAAGCTGATTATTATTTTTAAATTAAGATTAAATTATTGCATACATTTGATTTCATCAATTATACATAGATCCGTTATTATGAAATGGGATAACATTGTTTAATTTAAATGTATTTTTCCCAAAATTTTACAATGGATTTTCCTTATTACCATTCCGTTAGACAATAAATAAAACATGAATATCATTATTATCTCTATTGCTATATAAAATTGTAAGGGATTTTCCACAACATCGCTAACCAAGAAAAATACTGAACCAATTTGACTGAAATTTTTACTGTTATACCTGACAGTCTGCTGAAGGTTTTAGTACCACTTTTGTTAATAAAATTATTAAATTTATTTGAAAAATTCAAGAACAGACCTTTTTTATGTTCCCATTTAGTGACAATACTATTTATATTTTTCACATTTTTTTTCACATAGTTGTACCAAATACTTTTTTGTATGTCACCACACCACCCGATTTTTAATATTTTTGTCGGATGGGTTGGAGAGTGGAGATTGTATTTTTATGTTCCCATTTTGTGATACTTACAACTATTGACTGTTGATTTTACCGTCGTCAAGGTTGCTAAGTTTGATAAAAGATACTACTTCTGAAGGTTTATTGGGCATACTAACGGAGTTAAATTTGGGGAAGTTGCCAATTCATCATCATGCCGAGAGCGCCAAGAGCTACTTGAATATATAACAGAAGGCAGCAAGAGAACACACCTAAACATTCTCAAAGACTTGCACAGCAGGAACGTAACGCTTTGAGTCTGAAATCAGCGTTTAATTACCGATCAAAGATTGATTCTTCAAATATTCCAACGATTCAAATAGGACCAATGACTACAATACCTATGCCTAAAGTGTTGTGCAAAAAAATGGAAAGATGAAATCTATGAACTTTGATGCGCTGACGGTAGAGTTTTTTTTACACCGATTTGATGATCCTCCAGACCAAATTAAAAGTTTAGTTGATAATTTTCACCCTCTATCAAAACATTTTTTTGATAATTCTAGGCTATATAATACTCAGTTTCAAACGAAATCGTTTGGAACAAACGAAATAGCTTAAGGAAACTTCATGTTCACTTTTAAAATTCAGGGTAAAGTACATCATTTGATAGGTAGTTAATTACCCGAAATTGGAAATAATGCTACATTTTTACAAATATGTTTTATGCCAGAGTCGGATCAAATATCTACTCGAACAAGTATAATTCTAAATTAAAAAAGAGGTCCCATTGAATCTTTGAATGAAATGCCGCTAGAAATATTTCAATACGTTTTCATTATCCGTTTTTTATATTTACTTGCCGATCACATTAAACGATAAAATTTGAATAAAAATTCTACATCTAAATACATATTAACTTATAGTGAACAAACTGAATTATTTTTTATTTGTACTGTTAATGGTTATTATTTTGACATGTTATTATTTGTATATTATAGAGAATTTTTTAACATACACGTTTAATAGTGTTGTTATAGTTACACAACTGATTTTATGACTATGTTAATGATGTGCCTAAAGGTATTAAGTATTTCTATGCTATATAATCAGTGATTTTTTTTTAATTACAAAGTGATTCATACTATCAAAAAATGTTTTTCC